TGGGAAAACTAAACGCTGACTTGGATTTAGGAAAGTTTCAGGAGCATGTTTATTGTTGACGTACAAATTTGGGGTTGAAGGAAAGCCAGAATTAGCATCGAACAAATATCAAGTTGAGCATGTCTGCAGTGGCGGAGCCAGGGGTTGGCAAGGATACCCAATTTGGATTGGCTAGCCCAAGAGCCACCCTGAAATCCAATTGAAATCAACTATTTGGGTTGTTTTAACAGGCTGCCAATGGCTTCTTTTGTTGGAGCTTTCAATGATGACATTTGACAAAAGTCCTCCAAAGGAATGGGAGTTCAGGAGATTGTCATGTTGCCACCTAAGTCTGTGCCGCAGTTTGACCAACCCTGCCAAAAACACTCCCCTGCATATCTGTTAGATCCTTATCTGTCAGTCTGTGAGGACAGCTAAGTAAATTTCTTTACTTACGATGGTGATTTTAAATCTGTCCTCATGGAAAACCACAGATATTTCAGGGATATAGATATAGACTGTATATACTATGGACAACTTGGTTCCGCCTTCCGCCAGTATACAGATTTGAAGTCAAAAAGCTCTCAGTAATTCTGCGATTTTTCTCCATTTCCTGAAACCAACATTGCGCAGTAGTATTGTACGCATTTGGTGGGAGAGTCGCCGAAAGTTGCTGCGATGACGCTCGGCTCAAACAGCGTATACCCCAGCTACGCAATCTTCGTACGCCAATAGGCTGTATCAAGTGTCAATCATAGAAAACATGAACCCCGGGAGGAGGCGGGATTTATGACCTATACTGCAGCCCGTCACTAGAGGGTGCTGTTTTCGGAGTGGCTTCACCCAGCGAGGAGGCAGATAGTGTTTATTCTATATACAGTCTGTGGATATTATACAAATGTTGCTGAGAGTTAGATACAAAGATTGATACTCTGTGTGGTAAGGTTGTAATTGCAGTCGGCAGTTGGTTTGCTAAGCTTGGCTCAAAAACTGTGAGAGGTGATAAAAGCACCTATCTGCACGAGTGTAACCTCATTCAACATTTCTCATAACCCACACTAAAAAAAAAAACAAAGATCTATTACTGAAAGTTACAAACCCAGGAGGTGTTGAAGGCGGATTTGGTTAGCTGTGCACAGAGCCAGGCCAGCTTTTTCATGTGGTTTTGGCAGCTGTTGTCAATGCCGACCACTGACCATAGGCCTATTAATGTGGACACCGAAGCCCTGTGCTCATCCTATTCCTAAAAAGGATATATATAAATATATAAAACTCGTTACAAGTTACCAGACGTGTTTCTGTGCACTTTAAATTCTTTAGATTCAGATTTTCCCTCTTTGTGGCTCGGTTTTATCTTCTCATTCCTCCTAGATTGTCGCATTTTTGTTGTCTGACGTTATCTCATTGAATGAAAAATAGTCAAAGTGGAAAGACTGATGAGGAAGTGGAGTCAGTACGTCAAGTTTTGTTACACCAGCCCAGTTTTGGTCAGGCTGGTATTTCACAGCTCTGCGACTATGGAGGAACATCACCCACAAAACAGCTCCCCTCGAATATTTGAATAAGAAGCTTCCCTATCCGCCTGCAGCTTTCTGTGTGTCTCTCTGAGCTGCTAAAACTAACAATCTGGTGCCGGGCTCTAAATCTGAACCTCCAAGAAAAATACATATTGACACAAAACTATCTGAGCTGTAGCTCATGCAGCAATCATGATCTCATTCTTGAAGTCAATCCAAACCAGCACCTTGTGACATTTCTCTAAAATATTTCTGCCGCATGGAAACTCTTCTTGATCAATCTTTAAGCGTTTCGCAGCCAGTTTTCTTGAAGTCATTAATCCTTTTAAAATACTTGCTAGTTCCTTAATTCTTGCCTCAGCAGAAAATACTGGTTTACTGTGTCACACATTGACATCCTCTGGCAAAACTGCGTGAACCACTCTGGAACGTGCTCCAGGCTGTGAACCAGCCAGCGGTGCCAGCCCCATAAAGCCGCTCTCTGGTCTGTGACACGTGGACTATTCCAAATCCTCAACCCAAATATCTCTGCCACAGAGCTACGGGAGCAGGGTCTGACTTCCCCCCATTTTCCCTAATAGCGCATTTTTTTCCTGGCCTCAACATCATTTCGTTAACCCCTTCATTCCCAGGTTTCTGCAGAAGGAGGCAGATGGTCTTTGGAAAAACTTTGAACAAAACCCCTTTATGCCCCTGAATACCATCTTACAGGATGGTGATGTTTCATATTTTTCCACACAAAAACACCATAACTAATATAATAATAACTTAATAATAATAATAATTTAAAAACAGAAGTTTACAAAGTGCTTTGACAAACAGTCATAAAGCACAGAACATCAGCACATGGAAATAAAAACAAATAAAAAACAAAAGCTTGGTTAAAAACAAGGCCCCCAAATTGAAGGCCAATTTCATTTCATTTCATAACTAGACCAAATCGACTACAAATTGATCCTATAATTCATATTCAATGTCCCTAAAGTAAGTTATTTCTTATTATTTTGATGGTATCAGCCACTTTAAAACGTGCAACTTTTGATCAGACAAAAACCCTCCTATTGATGATAATACTTACTGGTTTATCATATTTATCTTAATATAAGAGCAGAAAGGGTCCTCATGTACAGTTTCAGAAGCAGCAACTAGAATCTACAATGTGGTGATTGAAAAAAGAGGCTGTTTAAAAAAATACTCAAGTCTTTGGCATTTATTTAAAGGTTTAAAAATCGGTCTGATAAAGATATAGATATGATATTAAAGTTCAGAGTTGCAAAAAGAGGAAATTAACTCACACAGCTTTGAGAAATCCTTTGTTGAAAACAGTCAAGCAGCAGCCTCTGATGCCGAAAAGCTGAAAATCCTGCAGTTTCTTGAGTGTCCACTAGAGGCAGGCTGGAAAGGTCAAAGCAACCCCATTAACACCCATGTAAATGTCAATCTCATCAGTAGAGAGAGGTGTGAGCACACACTGATTGCTCTGTGATCATTTAGACCTCAACTTTGAACATTAACAGATCAACTCATTAACTCCAGAGAATTTTATAGAAGTTTAGTTTTTGTTGTTTAAGAATAAAAATAAATGGATCCCATCACATAGATTTTTGTAGATATATAGATATATGTTTTGCGACTTTTTTCAACATTTCTACATTTCTTAAAAAAATAAAAAAATAATGAATTTAAAAAAAACATCCTCCTCTTGTTTCCCCCCCAGGCCCTAAAACTGCTCCATAACCTCTCATCCTGCTGCTGTAAAACGGTCAAATCTGCTCTTTTCCGCTTTCAGTCAGATTGCCTTGTCCCTGCTTCACTCTGGTCTCTTCCGTTCCAGCGTTCAAGTCCAGCTCTCCGGCTCATCCTTCATCCGTCCCTTCAACACCACCATCCCCCGAGTCTACTCCATGAAGGTATAATATCCTGCTCTTGGCCTCACTAACTCTTTGGGTGCATCCTTTCCAAACAGAGTCTCCTCGGATTGAAATACTATGACAGTAATCACAATTCAATCCTCAAGTATTTATTAGACAAACTGGTTTACAAGAGTTTTATTTATGAAACAGAACAATCTTACTCTAAGATTTGTAGAAAATGTATCTCAAACAACACAAGTATACAAAAAAAACATTTACATTTTGTGCATTGCAAACTCTCAACAAGGTAAACGAGATGGAAACCAAACATGGAGGAACACAAATGCTATACAGACGAATAACACGAACACCCTGACACTCCACACGACACAAACACACAGTCACACTCAGAGACCTTCATCTGGATTCCTTTTCCATCAAGACTGTAAAGTTTCACGACATCCATAAGTGATATTAACGACTAAAATATGCATGAAAAGAGATTCATATAAAAGGTTTTCACTGTATTTGTTTCACTGTTTCTTCATGACTCTGCCGTTGATGTGATTAGTCACTTGGTGCTTGGGAAACGACATAATTGTAACACTTAAACTTTGTTTTCTAATTTTGTAGAGACAGAAAAGGTTGCTTGGTTAAAAACGAGCGACCCTCGAGAAGTACGATCACTGAAAAATGTTCCTCATGCACCAAAATGACCCATCACCTCTAGGACGATGAGCGTCTGTCCGGAGAGCTAACAAAATAAAACACAGCGGCCTTTAAACAAACACACATACAACCAGAATTAAACTCCTCTGACACAAACATGCTGCAAACCAGCTGGTGTTTACCGTTTCAAAGCTTCACCGTACAGTTAATCCAAAACAAGTATGAGACAAAAAGGAAGTTTATAAGACACTGAAAAACTTGCAATACTGAAATGTGATATCTTGGCGTTTGTGATAATCAACTTTACGTTTTGTCAGTGTAAACAAATAAATAATTATTTACAAACTCTCTCAAAAAATGCGAACGAACGAACACAAAAAAGCAGAGCATTAATAATTTACAAAAGGAATTATAATACAGACTTAGTATAAACATCTTTGGCACCTACTAGAATGGCTTACTGATATCTTTCACTCAAGTTCTCCTTTAAAAACATTCAGAATAAAACAAAAAAAAAAGAGAAAGAGGAGATATAGTTATGGACTTGATTATGCTTTGGTTACAGATTATGTTTGTAAGACACATCATGGTCAGTTGTTCAGAAACAAAGAAGCCGAGAAGGAGCCTAAAGAGAGAGGACAACTGAGTCACTTACAGTCTAAATGAGTAGGAAACTGTAGGAAAGCACATACAGCATGTAAGTGGTTGCACAACTGATCCTTTAAAATGAAGAAAAAGGTAAACATGTTATAAGTAGATAATCAACCGAGGCTTTCCTCAACAGTTTTTCTTTCCCAGCTTGGAAAAAGTATCAAACAAGGAAAAGTGAAGTTGGCCGCAGTTTCCTCTGGAGGATGGATCAAGGAGAAACAGGGCCCGGTATGGAAAGTCTCATCTCCGCTGAATTAGATTTGATGTGATGTTTACTTTCAGAAGTTCTTGTTTTTTGGCTTGCCATGTTTTTCTATCAGTCCTGATTCAGTTATCTGTGGAAAGATGGAGAGGAAAAGCTCCATTACTGCCATATTCATAACAAGAAGGAGGACGCTGAAGGAGATTCTCACAGTCAAAGTGCCAGAGCAGCAACAACATGTGCGCTGTGTGCGTCAAAAAAAGCGTGTCTTCAGTGAAGGGGCTGCAGGCTTGTTTTCCACTGTTTAGCACTCAACAGAAGAGCCTTGGACCGACAAGCAAGGTCTTTCACAATGCTTCTGAGGCATTGTACACAGGCAAGCTGACAGGCAGAAACATAGCGTGATTCTTTGTCTTGCGTCAGCCAAACAAACAACACATAATCCCTCTCATTGTTACCTGATGAACACTGCTGGCAACTCCGGCTTATCTGAGGTTTGAAAAAGATGTTGGAGGTTCAAAAACTTTACCTAGATCATTCATGCATGAGGAAGGATTCTTCCCCTTTATACTATACTGGATTTTTTAGATGTGGACTTTACTGTATATGCACACATGTTAATACGTTCATAATATGCACAATTGTATCGCAGTAGCAACCCTTTCAAAAAGATACTGCGAACCAACACTTGAAATACCAGTGAATACCAATAAGCCGTCAAATCTGTCAATGCAAAGTTACTTACATTTACCTATATTATGTTACCGAAACCACATTTATGAGGCTGCAACAAAATTTCTATTTTACGAGTTAATAAAAACTTATAAGTTCTTAGTATTTGGCGAAGTTGAAAGTTACTAGCATTTGTTTCAGTTAGAAAAACATCTAAATATAATTACAAATTATACGCAATTTTTTAATAGCCCAAGTTTAAGAAGCTGAAAACAGCTCCCCTGTCTGGACAGATTAGGGTATCACAGTTTAAATTACTGTAAAATTCAGAATACACTGCAAGTTGTACGAGTATATATGATTACGTCTCCTTTCGGGGGCCTCCCATAGAGTTAAAAAAGAAAAGTCCACAATGTTCAGATTGTATGCAACAGTGTAGCTCAGTTTTTAATATTATAACAACTTGGAATTTTCACTCCGTCTAGCTACCGTAGCTCATCTCGAGCTATGTTAACTTTCATTGTTAACTTCTAATTCGCCTTTTCTGGTCACTCATCGTATCTTGGAGTATTTTTCATCAAACCAGCTCTCCTCAGGGTCTGTTTACTTCATAATGTACCAGGCTAAATGCCTGATTATGACTGATTAAGGGCGAGTGGTTGTTTTGAAGTGGCACCTGGTTTACCTTATCATGTATCCAGCATGCTTTTACTCAAATGGCAACTTCTGGGATGAAGCTTATTTGATGGCAATTAGAGGTACTAAATGTGCATTTTATATGTCAAATTTTAAGGTAATTAAAAACAGTTTTTGGTATCAGACAAATGACGAGCATGAGACGGAAATTTGAAGTAGATATGAAGATGTTTGTACTAACCTCTGCACTCATACTTGAGGTCGGAGAAGAACACCAGCTCTTGTGAGAAGACGAACAAGCCTAACCTTCCTCCAGCAAACGTCTTGTCGTAAACTGGTCCTGAGTCAGCCATGATCTGTTTTCCCTCATAGACCACAACCCTGGGAAAAACAAAACAAACAGAAACCTTTTTAATGCACAATATCAAGACTCAGGGAATAAACAGAGGGACCACATAACTCTGTTTCTACTTCCAAAGTCTCATCAGTGAACACAGGCTAAAATGTCTTTGGATCCTAATCAAAGCAATAAACAGGGGGCATAGTGGCAGCTGCTAGGCTAGGTAGTTAGTAAGGGATGCTCTGAAGTGGCTAATTTTCCAGTCAATTAAACAGCAATTTAAATTCCAACTGTCTCCATGTCAGAAAAAAACTCAGAGGATGGCACAATTCATGTAACGTGGCTAAACACGGGATTCCAGACTCTGAGGGTAAACAATGTCAAATTGCCTGGTCTTGTGCGGTTTAAGTTAGCAAAGCTAGCACCACCAGCCTTTCGCCCTCTTTGCAGGATAATGCACATATGCCTGTGCTTGTTATAGATTCCTCCAGTTAAGAAGACACTGCTTATATACAACTTTATCTCAATTGCTACATTGTGCTGTAAGAAACCATCCATCATCTGTGCTCGTTTACATCCAGCTAGTAGAGCACTATAGTGTTTCAACAGTAGACTATATAACCAGAGCTTTGTGTGCAGTAATGCATGTCTACTGTTTCACTTTTTTACCTTATAAAACCAGTCTTTGGTCTGTGGATGAGATGCCACCTGTAGGCTGTGTAATCCTTCCAGCCGATGTTTTTAGGGTCATGCCACAGAGTCCGCACCTATGTGGAAAAAAGAGTTAACCACACTGCAATACCACAGCAACATCAAAAACAGATGAAGCAGCATTCAGACTGAGGCCCACCTGTCCAGGAGTGTTCCCCGTGTGCCACAAAGCATTCCTGAGGTTTTCTCCTGTGCCAGTGGTGGAGTTTACGACTTTGAGTGAAACGCCGGAGATGCCAAAGGCTTTAGAGGGTTTGTCTTCCCAGTAAGTCTGTGTGATCTGCTTCCACATCACCACATAAAAGCGCCCGCTCGACTGGTAGCCGAACACAAAGCCTGCGTAGTCGTCGTCTCTGTCTGTGTTCACATACATCGTTCCACTGAAGTCCACAGCGTTGAACTCATCAAAACCTGAAGGAGTGAGAGAAGAGTGCGGGCTTTGTGAAGTGAAATCAAGTTTCAAATCAACGTGAGGTGGTTGTCAGAGAGTAAACATTCGTGTGCTGCTCACCAACTGCGATGCCTGGGTCAGAGTTGGCGGTCTGAACCAGCTCTTTGCCTTGGTGTCTGACCACCCAGTTTGGATCAATCTGAGTGGTTCCCTTAGGATCCAAGTGGACCATCTGGAACTTCCTGAAGTCTGTGACACTGATGGCGTTGTTCTCCGGACACACATCAAGAATATCTGGGATGCTGTCGTTGTCAAAGTCGTCTTTGCAGGCGTCTCCTCTTCCATCACCTTTAAAAAAAAAGACATCAGATAAAAAAGTTTTACTTCATTCAAATAAAACCTTTCAAATCCTTCCTGTTTTCCAAGGTTGGAAAATTTCTATGACAGCTGATTAGAGTGTCATAACACTGATACTGCAGCCAGGGTTAAGGAGCTCCTCCAAGTCAATATTAAAAATGAATGGGGAAAATAGTAACCCCTCCAAGGAAACTTACTTCCCTTTGTCTGCCAAGTCTACTGGGGGAAAATCAGCCTTCTTTTCATGCTGTGACAACTTCCACTGATACTTGTAACTATTTGAAGTTTGAAGTCTATTAGAGCAGACTGCAAGCCAGGAGCTCACAGCGGAAAGGGGCGCCACTGGCTAATGAAGGCCTCAGCGTGGGAGCAGCTAGCTGCTTTCTGTCATCATCTTTATTATTTCACAAGGGGCTAAAACCATTCTATCAAATAAACACTATCTGACGAGCTGTGAAGAAAAGCTAAAGTGTCCGGGGCCTTCCTCCCCTCCCTTCACGGTCTGTTTCTAGTTACAGACAGCTGTACAAACTCCAGGTAACCTTTGCTTAAATTGGGCACTGTGGATTAATCATGAGCGAAGCCTGAAGGGGATAAAAAAACTCCACGGTCTGCTTTGTGCCCTCCTGGTCAGCCCCCTGAAGTCATGCAGAGTGACATCACCTCTGCCAACCTGGCCGATGACTTTTTCCACAGTCATCACATTTCACACCTGCTGCAGTTCAGCTAATTGCTAACTGTGAAAACATCTGGAAGGAGGCACACGGAGGTAAAAAGTGGACAGCACTGAGTTAAGAGTGCAAAGTCTCACCCTATGGAGCCAGATGGAGAGTCTATTTCAGAGGAGAAGACGGGACTGTTTGAGAAAACATCAATCTATTCCTATCCAAGCAGAACAGCCTCAGTCTCAAGAGATTAATCTCATGGAAGATTAATGGTGATGATAATTTATGGTTAATTAAATGGCGGGTAGTAAAGCAATAGTGACGCTTGGTTGTTTTTGTTTTGCAAACTGCTGTTGCACATGCCAAGCATTAATCCTCAATCTTAAATTTAAGCTGACAATGACGAAGAGTCGGTTCAGCTCTTCACCAAGTGGGAAATTAAGTCTCTTAAATTCTATCAAAAGTGAGAAACTTTATCAGGCAAGAACTATTGATTCTAAACTCAAATTCTAATGTTATTCCAGAAAGAGTTTTGTCGCTTGCATTTAAATAGTTGCAGTCTTAGCATAAAACTTAAGCATTGCTGTCTAAACATCAACACATGGTTGAAAAAGGAGGTAAGAACCTGGTCCCAAAAAAAAACCCCTTCAAATGTGACATCCTCACCATCAGAGTCTAGCTGGTCTGGGTTGGGTGTCAGTCTGCAGTTGTCCTTGTCATCAGGAACACCATCGTTGTCATCATCGTAGTCACACGCATCCCCTTTGCCGTCTTTGTCGTGGTCAGCTTGATTGGCGTTTGCCACGTAGGGACAGTTGTCCAGATTGTTCTGATGTCCGTCTTCGTCAATGTCCTGGTTGTTGTCGCACTGATCTCCAACCAGGTCGTTGTCTACATCAGTCTGTCGAATAAATACAGACAAAAGTTAGCAAGATCACCACTTCTCATCAGTGTTATGTTACTGGAATAAAACGAGTCCGTCTTCTATCATTTAGTGAGAATACAGGCTCTATGGTAGACACCTTAAGGTCCAGCTTTAATATGCAGATACCTGTTGATAGAGATTACATACCTGGTCTGGGTTGTGCAGCAATGGACAGTTATCACACTGGTCACCAACTCCATCCATGTCAGTGTCCTTCTGGTCAGTGTTGTACACGTAGGGGCAGTTGTCGCTCTCATTCAAGATTTCTACAGAAAATAAGAGCAATGACAGAATTTTAGAGTTTATTCAGTCACAAATATAATGTCGAGTTGCCTAGGTGGACCTATTAGGATTTACCATCTCCATCTATGTCAATCGCACAGGCATCCCCTTCCCCATTGTGATCTGTATCTATCTGAGCAGGATTGTGTTCATAGGGACAGTTGTCGCAGCGGTCTCCTACTTCGTCCTTGTCAAAGTCAAACTGGCGAGGATTGTAGAGGAGAGGGCAGTTGTCCTGTTGCAGAAAGTACATGATTATTAGAGATTCTTTCCAGTTACATGAACCTAGAATAGAATAAAATATGTCCATGTGAACTACTGTACCCTTTCATCCAAAATCCCATCGCTGTCGTCATCCTTATCACAAGCGTCTCCCTGACCGTCTCTGTCGAAGTCTTCTTGACCAGAGTTGGGAAGGTTGGGGCAGTTATCCTAAAAAGCAAAGAGGAGTTCAGATAACTTTCAAACTCTGTTGTTTATGATCCATACCACACAGTACACATAATGTAAGGAAATTTGATTGAATACCTTCTTGCAGTGGTAGGTGGCATTTGCACCGCACACAAGGTTCTGATTGGGCCAGCCATCCAAGTCAGAGTCTTCTCCACAAATGAAACCATCTCCAGCGTAACCGGTCCTACACTCGCACTTGTACATCGGGTCGCTGAAGTGGCTGATGTAGATGCACTCGGCGTATTTGTGACAGTTGTGGGTCTTGTCCTTGCAAGGGTTCTCTGGCTCACATACCTGGAGAAAAGAAATGGGGCATTGGTAACATGAGATCCAACGCTAATGACACTGTATCGTATCGTTTGAAGATTTTTGCCAGTTTCCTGCACAGAAATTCTTGCTGTTTTGGATTTATATCTGATGTACTTCAATCAATGATTGTAATACTTTTTGGCTGTTACATTCTGGTACAGTATCTTTTACAAGTCTCTGATTTCCCTTAGCATTGCTGCTTGTACGGTTTCCATCTTGGATTCAGCTCCTGGGAACATTTTCAAGTCAAGTGGACTTATTTAACAACTACTGCTTGTAACCTTCGTTTTGGAAGCTTCGCCAAACTGAGGACTTAAAACTGAAGTGAAGGTTTAAGGGAGAGATTTTGGACACAGTCAAAGTGGGGGGCACTTTGGCACAGTTTACATAATGGAATCCCTCTAAATGCTCCATGTGTCCCTCTACGACTGACTGTTCCCCCTTTATTGCAGCATAAGGTATTCACAGCTGCCGCCCATTACCAGATGATGAACACGAGTCAAGTTTGGATGCCCCTCAATGATCTCATAGAGCAGAGAGTGGCAGCAAAGGAAAGCCTTTGATCAGAACTGCCAAATGGAGATCCTTAATCCCTGAAGAGACAATTCACTTTTCCTCCAATCAATTAGTGTAATGCAGACATCAAACCAGAGACAAGCAGCTGCGGTGCTACAAAGGATGTTATGGAAGTCGAAGGCAGTTTTTGAAAGTCATATAAGTCATTTGGATTCAGCAATCAAAAGTGAGGATATAACCGGGTTCCCTCATGGGGATATATACAACATATATGACATGTTATATACGCTGTAGTAAAAGTAATTGCCACAGGAGTGGAGAGTGGAAATATTGAGCTTTTTAATGATAAAAGCTTGACATTATCTTGCTGGAATAAAACCAATGATCCATTCAACATGTGGAGTCAAAGGACAGTTCAAAGACAGGTTTCAATCTGTCTCTGACCTTACAATGAAAGAACCAGACATGGTTAACACATGTTTGATGTTAACAGTTGCCTGTCTCCTCCCTTTCCGTCTTCCTGCTGATACTGGGTCAAGGTGAGTAAAATTCATAAACGGCGGCCCAAGGCCTCCCCTCCAAACCTGTGTTATCACTCTCTCTGAGAGGATGAGGCTCGTAAATCACATGAACTGCTGCTTCCATTATTCATAAATTTGGACCTGACTCACAGAAATTCATACAGCTGCTTTGAAAATCTGCCTGGAGTCTGAGACCCACATTGTTTCATTTCCTTGCCACATTTTGTTCTCACCTCTTCAAAAGCCTACCAGTGCTCAAACGGCATCCAGAGATGTGAATGTTTAGTCCGTCTGATTGGTACCAGAAATACTCGTTATCGTCATTAGTAAGGGCGCCCAATCGCTAATGCGCTACAGTCACTGGGTTATGATAACTCACTTGTTTGTTCTTCTTGGCAGCCTCCACACCCATACCAAAAGGCTGGGTTCCCTTGTAGCGCTTAGGACAGGGCAAGCAGTGGAAACCAGGATCGGTGTTGACGCAGCGCTGAGTTCCACCCACTTTGTAGCAAACATCTGAAACCATGTCACACTGGAGGAGGAGAAGAAGAGCATCAGTACAATGCCTGGAGGAAACCTCAAAAACATGAACGATCAACATGTGTTAGAAAATGAGTGACTCTTACCTCATTAATATCCTCACAGTGGGTACCATTTCCACGGAAACCAGCTGGGCATGGGCCGCACTCCCAAGATCCATCCGGTGAGCTGTTGCAGTCCACTCCGCCAAAGCATGGGTTCGACAGACAGCCATCTGTAAGACATAACAAAAGTTAACCGATTTAAAAACTGGTTGATGCACCTGTGTAATGTCTCTAAATGTCTAAATAGGCAGCATGTTGTGAAAACAGAATCTCAGGAGTAATTCTACGCTGGTCCGATGTAAGACATAACAAAAGTTAACCGATTTAAAAACTGGTTGATGCACCTGTGTAATGTCTCTAAATGTCTAAATAGGCAGCATGTTGTGAAAACAGAATCTCAGGAGTAATTCTACGCTGGTCCGATGTAAGATAAAAAACGGGGACTAAACTGAGCTGGATTTGCATCTCAACTGTTACTGAAACCTTGGACCAAGACCTACCATGAGGAATCAAGACACCATAACTCATTACATTTGCAGGTAATCTAACTGCAGATAAAGGATTCTAGTATTTCGTGATAACAAAACTGTGTAAAAAGTAATACCAAAGAAGGTGTGTCCAACTATATCACTGCAAAAGCAGCCAAAACCATTCGTTTCAAGCAGAGGCTGAATTTTGCCGAACTGGGGGTATTTTGGCAGTCATAAACAATGCAAAGCCACTCCATAGATGGGGGAACAGCTGATGGATCATACTTTGATTCTGCAGCTTGCATAGTTTAAAAAAATCATGAAGCTGTAGCTTACCGATCGGGCACATATTTGTGCTACAGCTGTCTTCATCGTTGGCTTCTCCGATACATTTTTTGCCGCCGTATTGAGGTTTAGGGCTGTTGCATTCTCGTGTTCGGCTTTTGATTCCCCCTCCACATGTTGCTGAGCAGGTTGCCCATGGAGACCAAGGACCCCAACCACCATCAACTAAAAAGATACAGAAATGAAGGTTATTTTTCAAATAGTACCATCACAAAATCATAGGTCTGACTTCTGAGAGCAGCCAGAGAATCAGAAGCTTGGAACTTAAAACTGCAAGATGAAACATATTGAGCTGATTTGAGTCAACATTTCCTGACAGACAGACAGGAGGCCAGTCCAAAACACATGGGGAATGTAGCCTCAGGGGAGCCATGAGACATGTCTGCATGTCTGGTAGTCGGACACAGATGCTGCTGAAATGGAGATGCTTCTTCTGAGTGTTTCCTGCCACACGCTGAAATACTCACCGGGACATGGCTTGGCAGTGCAGCGCTGAGTCTCCCTCCCACTTCCTTCACAGTCTTTGCCACCCAGCTGCGGCACAGGAGCGTTGCAGTGTCGTATCCTGGTGATCTGTCCTTCGCCGCAGGTCACCGAGCAGGACGACCAAGGCGACCACAAACTCCAACCTCCATCCTGGCGAACTGAGAATCAAATGTCAAACATATCAGACGAAGATTTCCAAAACTAACATCAAGTTTTGTCCTCTCTAGTCAATCAAGGCATGACAGACGTGCATAATTGGAAAAATTTTCCCTCAAGTAAACATTTTGAGATGCTGACGACTGTGGATCACTTTCAGATACGTCCCAGCCAGTATTTGTGTCAGTGAGGGTTGAACTGATTCAGTCACTCAGCAGATGCGGTGTAATTTGTAACAAACATTAATCCCACATTTATCAAACCCCAAACTCATCCGTCTCGACATCCAGCATAAATTGACCAAAGCCTCCTGACACTCAACTCCTTATAAAGCCCGTCTAAGGGTCAAATTCATCAATATTTTTGTATTTTCGCATGGCAGACTGATGAGTCATTGTACTGAGGAACACCCTCTCTGTCAGTGATTTACTGGGACTTGACTTGGACTGGGCACACTCCGCAACCCTACCATGGGATCCAGATCTTCGCTGGCATTCAGCCTCACTCACATGGATCCATTTTTAACAGATTTATGAAGGCGTTAATTCTTTCTTTTGCACTTTAAAAGGCTTCCATCTCGTATTTTATTCAGTACTGATTTTTCCACAGTTGCGATATGATCCACAGAAATAGTTGTGTAGTTGTGGCGATGGCGGATGCATACTGTGATTAAGATAATATCCAGTCTCCGAGGAGGTTGCTACTGGATTTTTTAATGAAAACCGAGTGGCAGGAGATAAACTGCAGCATATCTAATATAGTCTCACCACGGCTGTCGCATTTTCCCAGGCTGCACTTGCGGGTCTGGATGGAAGGTCCAGGGCAGGGATTACTGGTTGCGTCACATGAGCGACCTCTTTGTTGAGTTCCTGTCCCGCAGGTGACTGTGCACTCAGTCCACTCTGACCAGGGGGACCAGCCATCATTACTGTCTTTAGCTGAAACACAAAGAGTCACAAAGTCAGATTTTACTTTTTTGGGTGGATTTTTACTTCATAAACGTCTGGAACACTTTGCAAAATATTAAGAAATATACAATAACCAGATACTTGATTTCAAAATACACTAAAGACAGCATAAAGATGAGATTTTATTGATTGGCAGATAGTGTTTGCTCATTTTGAATTTGTCAAAATATCGTCCCATCTTTTCCTGATACAAGGATAGAACATTGGTGAACTTTTGCAGTTATGACAAGTCCCGTCTGTAGGCAGGACTCTTCTACTACTGAGCCATGCTGTTGTTGTAATATGCACAGAAAATAGTCTGGCATATGTCTTGCATAACTATTGGCATTGTCTGGATGGCAGCATATGTTCCTCCAAAACCTGAATATATCCTTTGAAATTCAAGGCGCCTTCCCTGAAGGGTAACTTACCCATGACATGGGCACTTACGCCGCTCAGTACCATCACAGATCCTGGCTTTTGTCATTTCTGGATCATGTTTATACATGGTTTCCCCACTGCAATGGTGCAGCTTAAATATGTACTCAGACAATGGTTTTTGAAAGTGACTGTGAGCCCATGCAGTGGTTTCCACTACAGAGTCATGTCTGGTTTCCAGCCTTCTACCCTTGTGCAGAGATCTTTCCTTGTTCCCGATGGTGAACTTCTTCCAATCTTGACTTACTTACCTAACAAGAACCTCAGCCTCTCTGGTACACTCCTTCTATTCACAGTCATGTTTCCAACCTGTTTAAGATCAGCCTACTAAGCTTGGAGATGTGCTGTATTTGTATTACACAACTTTTACAGGGATCTGTTGTCCCTGTCTCATGTGTTAACGTTTGATCTGTTATTCTTTTTATTATTTTCAATTAAAAATAGGGTTTAAAGGAGTTACATAAGTCTGTTCCCTTCAACAGTTTTACACAACGTCCCAACTTTTAAAGGATTGGGGTTATAAAAAAAGAACAAAAAGTGACATGTAAAAGATCGAGCCTGCTCTGTTTTAATTCTTTATGTCAGCCTGTTAACCACATGACATCATCTCAAACCCCACAGCAGCCTCTCTGAGCGTCTTTTCTCCTGACAAATAAATACAGTATGTGGTTCGCTGCAGAAGAGAAACTGGCTGCAGCAGCCCTGAGAAATTAGATTTAAATACATGTGGAATACTGTTTTTTTAAAGCATATGGAACCACTGAGTTAAAATAGCATGTATATATAAAACTGTGTGCGTGTTTATTGTCGTGTTTATATGCTGGAAGCGCCGGCTACTTACGCAAACACACAGGGCAGCACTCGCCGTCGATAAATGAGGGGCTCGCACAGGCCACAGGGGGGCACGTAATTTGGTGACAAACGATCTTCGACTCCTGGCGTGAATGAATATTCAAGATAAATCAGATCATTGATGTAAAACCGTTAATTTGTACATTTTTCTATCTGACTTGGCACTACCTGGCAGGTACACTTGGTGCAGCTGTCCACGATCCAGTCCTCTTTGTCGTCAAACAGGCGGCCATCCTGCCAGCACATGTTCTTCTCTTTGGAGTCCTTAATCTTCCCGAGGGCCTCCTTCATGATTGTGTTCTCCTCCGTCTGAACACACAACAACGAACAGATTTACACTCAGGAATGGTTGGAGAAAGGTGCGCTGTATTCCATTATGCATGTCAAGGTGTACACCTGCCGACAAGCTGATTCTTTTACGAGAGCACGTGTGAGGTTACTTCAGACCAGGTGGAGTGAGGAGGCATTGTTCATCATCCTGCTTCAAAAATGCTGTTATTCACTCAGAGCAGCTGTGAGATGATTTTGGCAGCCTGTCTGGACCAGGCGGGTAGTTTTTTATCTCGTACAACACTGCAGCTTAAAATCCTCGGTCTAACCTTTTACTGGCAATGAGGTCTTGTGGAAGAAAAGACAAATGAAGATCGATAACATTTTCCACCTGTGATTTGTAGTTTTAGTAAAGTGACTTATGGGCCTGTTTGCTTGTTTTTTTTCCCCATTTTTCACTCCAAACTTTTGCCAGTTCTATTAACTTTAACGAGAGGTGTCCAGATACAACTTTTTTACTTCTGATATGATACTGATATCATAGCCTTCAGTATCGGCCGATACTGGTATTGATCCTATATTGGCACAAACTTGTGCATGATAAGTTTTGCACTCAGCTGCAATGTCTTTCTCGGACTTTAATGAAAAATACTGCCACACAGCCGACGTCACTCTTAGTCCTTGCTACTTTATTTGTACCTCAGTAAACACTGATGTTGTGATCATGTCAGCTGTGATCATGTCATGCTGGATCCAGGTGCTGCTAGCTAGAGGTGCCGGAGTGGATTCTGGATCCAGGTGCTTGTATCTAAGTGCTGATATCAGAGATTTTAGAAGCAGGCCGATATAATCCATTATTTGTTTTTTGGCTGATATTGGACCGATATCCAATGTCAATATTGTATCGGGACAGCCCTAATTTTAACTAATTATATCACTTTTCTTAATAAACCAACTGTAATGTCAATCTTAATGAAATATTTAACTTGCATTTGATGAACTATTTTTGGATTACGAGCATTTCAATCACCTGTATGTGTTAAAATTGGTGAGTGTCGGCTGTGTTGAGCACCCATGTGGGGGGTATATCAGATCTGAGTCAAGATGCAAGCTGTGACTCAACAGACAGGGCAACATGTGAGTCTACATCCATAAGCAGGTGTTTGAGGGTGAGTCAATACCACGTGACCAGTTAAAAACTCCTTATAGGAGCTTTAATGTCATTTTTCTTTTACTGCTGTTCTGTTTTTGTTTGTTTTGGTGCCTCATGAATGAACTCGACTCACCATGCAGCTCATATATAAACAATTACAGTACAGCCAGTCTGTTTCCTAAACTCAGAAAGATTAGATCGTAACATAACGTAGTTTATTTATATTGAGAAGCAGTAAAAGTTTTAGAAACTCTATTGTTCAGCCAGTAAAACTCTTCTTGAGTTCTCATGTTAAGTCTTGCATCACATCATTTTGAACCATCTTTCCTCCAGACCCCCTGATTTGAGGAAACTCAAATGAACTTGAAGTGAGTAAACAGAAAAACTACTTTATCATATTTATGAGGACACTTGTAAAATGTGAATTTACACTGTTTCTTGTGATTCTACATAACAAATGTTCAATTTCTGTGATGTTCCTGGAATTAAAGCCCACTGCAGTGTTACTCAGTTTTGCACATCATAACCTCCAACCCAGTTGGAGACCACTGGATCTCTGGCTGGACTTTGAAACACTAAGGAGCTGTCAGGCGATACACCGCTGCCAAAAGTTTGTGTGATTGTGTGTATGTGTGCATGTATGTGTGTGTTTGTGGAGAAGGGAGGCAGCAGTGAGCAGCACAAGAATCTGAGACACCACTCGATCTGGAAGAGCCTCAGGGACCCTTCTCATCCCAGCCGTTTCTTTTTTTTTTTTTTTTCCTCCTAAGGTTCATGCCCAGACTCTCTTATTGCTGGGAGGCTCCCAGAGGAAACACATGGGCTGTTTAAACACAGCCAGACATTAGACTGGACCCTGCTGCTGCCAGGGGAACACTTCCTATATCCACATGTAACATGTCATAAAAGCTGTCTGACTCACACTGCCACAGATAGCCAGAGTCAAACGGGTTCAGCCATCACGGGCCACTCTATAAACAGTCCTGCGGCTACTAAATGTTTGCTTTTAAACCAATGTAGGTTACCTAGTAACCTAATTTAAACTTCTCAGCTCCTGGCAGCAGCCTGGGGATTGTTTCATTTGTTTTCCTTAAATGTCCAGCTCCTCTAAGATGTTGATTTTCTTTTCTCAAACCAGTCCGGGCTCCACAATGTCACATTCATCACTGAGCTTGGCCTTAAAAGTAGAGCGAAACAGGCAGAAGCTCTTCTAAAACAAACACATGTCAAGATTATGTCCATTAACAGCGTGTCACTGCTACTCACCACTTTCTGCAGGCCATCAATAAGGTTACTGACGACAACGCGGAGGCCGTTTAGTTCCTGGAACATGGTGCTGAGTTCCTCACAGGAGCGTTCGCACATATCTGCGCCCACATCGTCCGTCTTCTTGCCGATTATGTTTGTGGTGATGGAGGGGCTCACATCCACGATTTCTGTGCTCTCACTCACGATATTCGCGTCATCTGGAGGTGCAGAACAGGAGACATCAGAGAGAATGAGCTCCACAGACTTATGATGGGAAACATATCAGAGCGATACGATGATTGAAAAACAAGGACTCTGATCAGGCAACCGAGTGATTTCCTGTTTTCCTGAAGGCGGTCAAAAGATCACAACAATGTGGTGATTACGATGTTTATTGTGTTCTCGAAAACAGATGTTCAGACAGCGCTGTTTGGTTTGAAAGATGTATCAGTGTTTGAAATGGTGACGGTAAATCTTTCCACTACAGACGACAGCAGCTCAGCTGCGGCAGGACGACAGGAGGGGATGCGAAAGCGGAGCTGGAAAAGCAAAAACCCTGGGTGTTCCTCGTGTCACGAGAAACCAGCCGCTGTAAATCCCCGCAATGTTTTTGGTAAGTGGACACTTCCAATATGAACTGAACAGTCTGGAGTGACCACACAGATAGATTTAACGGTGGCCTGAGAGGATCATGGTGTTGTTCAGTTGTAAGGCTTTAAGAGTCCACAATCCTGCAGGTTGTCTTGTGAATCGCTGTTTTTTTACGCTTTAATTAAAGTGCAAATGAGGCCAATTCTTCACTCGTCTTCGCACAATCTATGTATCAGGTGCAGCCTTCAGTGATGTGTCTACCAGCTGCTATGGTTGTATGACACAGATATGCACAATTCAAATCACAGCAGAGGTCAGAGCATACTTTTTGCGAGCTGTATTCCATCTGAAATGATGAGTTTCTGTCCTTTAAATCACTCCCATTTAACCCTCAACTCATTTCCCTTTCTTAAACCCTTGATATTCAGTCATCATGATGAGCTTTGTGGATGCTAAATGCAAAAAACAGCACACATATCAAAGCTCCACGGGACGACTGTCAGTCAGCCAGAGCCACAGCACATTTCTGCAACTGCTTTGGACCTCACTGTGTAAATTGGTGAAGATTAACAGCAGGCCAGGGACTCTAAATCATGAAGTCGTCCAAATTGTCCAGTGTTGTCTCTCTGTAGCCAGCTCTGTGTTTTCTTTCCTTTTCAGTCTGCTGGATTCATTCAAATCTCAGGAGGTTTTCACGCTGTGTGTGCATGTGAACGCGTGCTAGCTCGTCTGTGAAAGCATTTGCACATTCTTCCCCTCCTGATAGGAATCCTCTGCTTTCTCCAAGCAGATAGAGGAAAGAATTAAGCAGCTAGGGGTAGATTTAATGCCGCTCATTACTAGCTTTGTGGGTTTAGGGGTTTAGGATTACTACCAGAGCAGAACTTTCACCGCTACCTGCCTGCATGCAGAAAACTTCCAGGCCTTTTTAGTGACGTTTGTTCAACTCATAAAGTCATTCAGCTGGAATTCAACAGAAATGCAACAACATCTCCATCAAAGCTCAACACGCACGCCACATATGGATATGTTTTGTCACATCGGGTCGGAGACGCCGCTGCCAAATTTGGTGACCCTTCAGCTTTGTTGTCCAGGATGATTATCTCCACATTCACCCAGATATCTGTTTCTTCTTAGCCGCAGCCGCTCCTCGCGTGAGCCTCGCTGAGGATCACGGGGTATTATTGCGCATGTGAGCGAAGCTTCAGCTGAGAAAAGTAACCTAATCAGCCAATATATGACTTCATTGTATGTGTGTGTTTGTGTGCGCAGCTGGAGGAGGAAGCTTCCCACTTTGCAGCATAGCATCCACTTTCTATTTTCTGTTTTCTTTCCCAGGGCATTAGCCCGACTCCGCCGCCAACAGAAATAAATGTAAGCATCTGTATCTCCTTTTGTTCACCACGCACGCTGCTCAGCTTTGAGCCACCGCTTCGACACGGCTGTTTCCGCAAGCATGAAGTAATGCTGGGGGATCTCGCCACACATGAAACCTGCAACACTTTTTGACCCATTTGAAGAAGCAGAAGAGTTAAATTCACGTGAAGGGGAGTCAACTGAGAACGCTAAGCAGTTAGGTCTGGAGAGTCACTGTGGTTGATACTTAACAAAACACAGATACCATGCATGGGAGGATCGCATGTGAAAGCGTTTCCCAATCCCATCTGTAAGGTATCGCAGCTTGAAAGGGGTTGCTAATATAATTATTTTGACTCATCATTTGGCTCGTGAAAATCACACAGTTCGAGACGGTTCCCACTGATCTAGTTTGGCAGGCGCTCTCTGGTGAATATTGGTTTAAGATAACCACATTTCTCTCACCCGGTTTTGCAACCTCGCAGTCTTTGCTGAGGAGGACGTCTTCCACTGCGGTGTCAAAGATGAAACGTACATTCTGCAGAAGGCCCTGCACAAGAAAAAAAGAGGGATGCATCTTAGTCACCGTGGTTACGCCACATTTTTATTTAATAGCTACTTTTGCACAAGTCTAATGTCTATTTTTCAAGCACTAAAAACATTCACATAGGAGCTTTGAAATCATCTCTTAAACTTGTCACAAACATTTTTACACACAGGGGCAATTTAAAGTCTAAATATGGACTCCTTTCCCCAAAGAGTAACAAAGAGAACCACTCTGCTTCACTTCAAGAGGGAGTGTGCTCTGTTTGTCTTGTCTAGACAACAGAAGGACATATCCTCTGCCTCACCCTGAAGTGGCTTTCCCGACTGGATCCCTTCGCCACATACATGCGGTTCCCCTCAGCCTGCAGGTGCTCGTAGAAAGGATCGTCCAGGATGATGCTGTCGATCAGGCTGCAGCCCACGAACAGGTTTGCGTTCTCCCCGTGAACATGAAGCGTGATATTCTTCCACTGAGAGTCGGACAGGTCCACATCCTCGAATGACAACACGTTCTGCGAGTCGTGCTCCCAGTAAACCAGGTCCAGAGTGTTGGCCCGTCCGTTGGAGACGATCTCAAAATGGCGTTGGCCATCGGGGCCCTCGAGACCCATCAGAGTCCCCCGAGAGGCGCGGTCCTGGCGAATGCTGGCCACAAATATGAAGCCCTCATTGTTCTGGATCTGTTGCAGGATTTGTTTGAGTACAGGGGGGCTCACTGGAGGCAGGTGGTCGAAGCGGATGAAGCGGTAAGCCGGGGCATCAGAGTTTTGGCCCCGGAACTGTTTGGCCCCTAGAGTCTTGCGTGTGATGTGGCTGATTTCAAACAAGTCAAATGATGTTTCGTCCTCCTGCTCGACATCTACAGAGGATGGAAATGGACTTCTACTTTAGATATCTTTCAATGTATACAGCATAAACTTAGTTTTTAGAGGTTAAAAGTTTGATTAATATCGACTTTAGTCATCACAAAAGTAGAATATAAGTTTTGACTTACCTTGAGCTAATGTGTGGAGGACATTTAATGATAAGAGCAGCAAAAACAGACTCCTCCTGAGTATCATATCTCCTTCAAAAACAACAGAAATGCTTTTTATTAGTTTTATTTGCACCTTCTTGGACACCTTAGGTTCATTTCAAGTTTTGCATCTGCACTTCTACATCTCATACAGTCCTCTCCCAGTTGCAGTGTTAAAAAAGGCAAACTTAAATCGAGGTGCAGCACTGGATATAAAAGAAAATCAGGCTGAACCGGCTCCTTTTTCGCTCTAGAGCATCACATCTGCAGCTTTATAATAGTAAGGGAATAAAATAGCAATCTGATATTAAATGTATCTTCAAATGTTAGGATCCAACAGGATATAAACTATTCCCATGAGTTGAAATCATTCATCACCACTCTCATATGTAAAAAGAAACGGGTTATTTTTACTTACCAGTAAGTGCAGCGTTTCTTTTCTTAATTCTGTCTGATATCCGTCAATAAAACAAAAATAAAGATCGAAGTCGTGAAAAAAAAGCACTCAATTTGCCGATCTGAGTTGAAAGTGAAATGAATGAGAGGTGGTATCTCCTGTCAACCTCGTGCGTAAAACCGTAAAGTCCACTTTGGTGCACAACATCCACAGCCTGGAGAACTTGAGGCACAACTGTGAGCGAGGTTCTCTCCTCCCTCCTCTTATATAGAGGCTCGCGCGGAGCCTGTCAATCAAACTGCTCTGGGTTTGAACGGTTCGAGGTCGGCTGTTAAGAGACGGAGTTACATAATTACCTTCCGATGGATGGCGTAATTTGTCTTACCCTGCTCGCACAGACAGGCTGGCCACGCCGGGGGGTTGCGCGACCACTCCTCTGCACCGAGATGCCCACCGTCATCCCCGCCTTGTCAAACAAACTCACCTTCTCTCTCTCTCTCTCTCTGTGGGTGTGGAGCTTATTCACTTTCACTGTGGGGCTGTGATGGAGGTGAAGTGGGCTGTGCCACTTTGCACTCAGAAAGTGACCAAAACTCGTAGCTATGCTTGATCACAGGTGATTTACAGTGTGTTGCACAAAACAAGAAGGTCAATATAGTCAGTTTGCTCACATATACAGGGCTCTGCTGAGTCTAAATAGCCTACTTTGCTCAAATTCAATTGTGAGTTAGCAAGTGATGCTGTTATCCTGTTTAAGAAAGTTATATGGCCAATTACAAGTTAGCTCTGTTTGGTCCTTGCATGACTTGTTAGCTGGACTGCGGGGAGATTATTCCTAAAAGACTTAAATTATTTGAGGCTAAATTGATATTTTTAGCTACTTGCATGCTTGTGTTGTGTACCTTAATGGGCATCAATATTGTTGGATATTTAGTGCTCCAAGCAGCAGCCTCCAGTCTTGAGAATTGCTGATGTCTAAGTGTTGGAAACTGCAGTTCCTCGATTGTCCAGTTGAGGCTTGCTTCAAAAGACCTGGAGGCCACATACACACCCATTACAGCCCATTTTACGGCAAAAGTAGCTAAATATTTTCATAGCCTAGTTAGAAAATCATGATTTTGGTCCGGAGAGCTAATTTCTACATCCACAAACACACTATCTAAAGATATTAAGGTTTTGCAGAATTGGGAGCAGAGAAGGTTTGACTGACAGACAGGTACTTGGCAGCAGTTAGCAAGACCGCTAATGGCTCTCCCTTTCTTTGCCTCTTGCTAGGTTGACTACAAGCTATAATTGGTCAGCATTTCCAATATGGCAACCATGAGTGATGAACTTCAAAACAACCACAAAAAAAAAAAAGTCTTGGCAAGGACCTCTGCACGGCAAACCCCACAGAGTTAGCCCTGGTAAGTTTTTTCTCAATTTTTTTTAAACTTAATTAAACTCAGTATTACACTGTAAAAAAGGGCATTATTACCATGAATGGTGCTGCAACAAGATTAAATTCCTTCTGAAAAATAAAAAAGACGGAATCAAGCAGTATGTATGTATTAAGTTGAAGTTAGTTGTTGTACTGGGAATGTGAGAATCAATCTAGTCTCCACCCCCCATATTTCCCCCCTCTGTCCATACGCCAATGCAGAAAGGCCACATAAGCATGCCAAACCAGTAGGTGGCGATAGTGTGCAGGCTAATCATTCTCCTAAATCAAAACACCATAAAAAATCATGCATAGGTATAAAGAGCGTCCACTTGAATGAGCAGCTAATTTTAAACAAGTTTCTATAAACTGTGTACCAAGCGGCAAATCAAACACTACTGAGTGTGATGTATTCATCCACTCCTGTGCCTCTATGCTGGACAACAGCAAAGTCTCCTCGTGTTACAGCCCAGTCTGTACTTCCTCTGTGTGAGTAACCTCTCTTAGAAAGCTCTGTGGGTGTATGTGTGAGAACTGCGGTGCGAGTCATCCTGCAGACCTGATACAATCCACCTGTGGTTCTACCTAAGACCCTGATTGGTGTGCAGCTACCGAGAGGCCACCCACCAATCAGAGGAGAAAGTATCTGCTGGACTTGAGTGTTGAGTTTGCCTACTTCATTAGTGAACATGCAGCTTTGTGATCAGTTTGCCCCTAGTCCTCATACTGTTTGGAGTCTGCACACTATTTTTGTTGCTTCCCTTCCCCAAACAAGCTTGATCGCAACAATCGTTACCTGTGATTTCCACCACATCCGGAACAGCTCCAATACGGAATGGCTGCAATTTTCACCGTCTGTCAATTCCTACCAGATCTGTTTGTGAGGCGAATTTTGTGGCGGATTACGGACAGCAGGAATCGCAAGAACTCACAAGAACCTGTGGATTCACGTGCAAACGTGCGATAACAAGTAACAATCAGCATGTCCTCATCCATGGTGTCATCGAGGTGAAATGCTTTCTATAAACCTTTCACTTATTTATCCCTGACCGTTTGCATGGTGTGAAATACGATCCACCTGAATCACAGTGTTTTATTTTGAAAAGAAGTCGGATGTTTTATTTTGTGTCTGTGCCCGACTTCCTTTCCAGCACGGGTTAATCTGTGCTGAATTTATCTGGCATGATACAGCGTACAGAAAAAATGGAACTCTTGCGATCAGCTGCGGAGGAACGGAAAGAAGCCGGTGGAAATCAACACATTAACTTGAATGGTTACGATCAGCTACGATCAGCTACGATCAGCGGATATGGCCTTTTCGTAGCCATTCCAAATGTGGTGGATGCAAAAACTTAATTGTACTGAGCGGATACTAACAAGCCATTACTTTGTCTCCTTGGTTCAAGTTCAATGCAAGTATGCAACAAATGCCATGTGCAAGTATGCCAGCATTTTGCACTCATTGTCATAAAACTAAATTTTGTGTGGGCAAGGGGCAGAAATGGATTATAGTTTCAAATGGATTATAGTTTCAGAAGCATCTGCATACATGTGGAAGGTGCCTCAGTGAATTTAATGTAAAAACCTTTTACTTTAGAGGGCAACAAAACTAAGAACTGTACGTGGTCGACTGCGATTTCTCAGAAACTTTTTTTCCAAGAGGTCAATATCACGGCTCAAAAGGAGAATTCCAGTTATGTGTGCAGCGTTTAAAAATAGAACATGAAAATAATCTCTAATACAATGGAAACTCAAGATGCTTCAACTCAGCTGGCAAGCAGTGACCTGTGTCTGGAGACTGTCAGGTTTTTGTTAAGCCCTCCCTCTGCTGTGTCAAGGAAAGAAAAGCTGATACGTCTCATTTTTGGAGTCCTGTAGAGGGATCATAGCAGGGCTGGATGTGGGTAGACCTTCGTGTACCAATAGGATACTTCTCTGCGCTGGTTTGCGTCAATTGGAAATGTGCATTCCATTTAGAGGAAAGAAAAAAAGGAGGAGGGGCTGAAGGACAAACAGTTTCTTACCAAATGGGGCGATTTCCTTTCAACAACATGGATTCACTAACCTGACAGAAATTAGAAACAGTAGTGAACGGTGAGTCAGACATAGAAGAGTATGACAGTGCTCGCTGGTGATTAAAGCGTTCTGCTGGGACCAGTGAACATCAGATTAGAAATGTCAGGGGTGGAAAAAGTTGAAATACTCCCCAGACTTGCTACTCATTAAACTGTCAGTTTTAGTTTTGTAAGATGGGTTTGTAATCAGTTTGAAAGTGTTTCATTTAAATTATAAATCAAAGTTCCCTTTTTAGATATGGAAGACAGGACTGTTCACTGGCTGTTTCAGTTTGAGGCTGGATCTGAATATAAACTTTAAGATACTGACAAGATAAAAGGAAAATTCTAACTATTTTTAAATATACAAAAAGTTATTATTACCCTGCTTTCCAACCAATTATACAGCTGTGTTGAATGCTTGATTTTGACAGGGACAGGGACAACCTGATCACTCCAGGGACACATATCTGATCAATTTACAATAAGGAGATTGGCACATCTAGTGCACTGTTACTGATTATAGCCTTTTGACGGTAATTATATGACAAAAATATTGAAATCCAGTAGTACCTGTGGACAACCTGAGGATGTTTGAACATAATTCTCAATTTGGCAAAGAGCACAAAACTCTAAAGGCGGGGTAATGGCTGACCAGAGTGACCGAAAAATATGGGAAAAGTGCCAAAATAAGTGAGGGATATTAAAACACACAAGTATCTAAATTAACAAGACATCATCCAAACTGAAGAAAACAGACGAATAGATCCTAAAACAGCAAAGGCCTTGGATGTTTACAAGTCTGGTTGTATGAAAAGAAAAAAAAAAAGGTTAAAAAAAAGTTATTTTCTGCATCTGTAAAAGAAAAAAAAAAAACTGTGATATTAGGAATTTACTGTGAATTTAGAAAGTTAGATTGAGTAAAAAGTTGACCCATAAGTGTAGATGGGATTGATGCTTTTTATTGATACCACTAAAATTAAAACTTCATCTTATCAATCCTTTTTTTTCACTGAGAAGCACTTCTTGCATTAATTAGACAGGACAGCAGAGGAGAGTCAGTAAATGAAGAGCGCAAGGTGGGACATGCAGCAAAGGGTCATGGCTGGGAATCAAACCAGAAACCACTGCCATGAGGACTGTAAACATTTGTGTGGATTTTCTGTATGAAAAAGTAGACCTGTAATAACGGCTCGAATGGCTCAAGTTTTATCACCTTGACCGCTCTGCTAAAATGCAGAAGCTTGGCCTCAGCCAGGTCAGTTGATCAATGACACACTTTGTGATTGGCACATTGGCTAACTAATACTAACACAAAAATTATCACAGTTCAACTTGAGGGAATGAATCTGGACAGCATCTAAAAAACCACTGACATTCTAAGGGATGGGAAAGTCCCTGGAAGTCATCAAAACACATGGAGTCTATCGCTGGAAAGTTGACAGTCTCACAGAGGGAGTGGATTTTACAGGGAACCAGTACCTGAAATTGTTTTATATCAAGAGCTGATAGTGTAAGCAGAGAAATATTAAGTCATATATGACAGTGTTATGGACTTTTTTTGTCTTCTTGATATGTTTCATCATCTTTAGATCAGATTTAGTTGGTAGTTGGTCAGCTAATTGGTGGGATAATGTATAGTTATAGTTCGTGGTTGAGTGACAAGAATCCTTTATTTTATGTCTGGGTCTCATCTCACCCTGTTAGGATTCTATTTTGCACCAGATCATGCCATAAAAAGAGAGTCGGGAACACACTGCTCTAATATCTAATCTGCTTGACTCAAGTTTCCATTACTTTTTCAGATTTTTGGGTGATTTGCTCCACATTATGAACAAATGCTTATCTAGTGTGCATCATATAACCTCAAATAAATGTGGAATTCCTCTTTTAATGGTTCAAACATCAGAGATCCAGAGGAGTCATGGACTCAAGGTGATGGATGTCATTTGGTTTGACAAACAACTATAGTTTCCAGCTCTCCTCTCCAAGCTCTGACTTCACCACCAAGGTTTATGTGTTTTTAACAAAAAATAGGGTCAGAATGACTCAGGAGCACAATCCAAAAAGGAAACCTGGCACCTGAAACGTTTGAAATACTCCGAGCTGGAGAGACTGACACATGTAACATGCAAATCACACATCCTCTACAAAATACAATAGTTTGGGGAATGATGAAAATATATAGGTCAGGCAGTATTGTGTTTTTTGCTGAGAATTACTTCATATAGCTCTTTAAGTTCGTCATGCCAAATGTTGAGTCATGCCAGTGAGAGAAATTTGGCCAGAGTGGCTGGCATTGTAAAGTTATGTTTGCGTAATCTCCCAAATGTAATGATGGCTGAATTTGCATGAGATTTGCTGTGTATAGATATTCAGTAAATATTCATATGTCTACAGAGGATGTCACTGTCCTCACTTTTTATTTATAGTACTCCTCACTCACTCAAGTAGTAAGTTTGTGGTTATGGCACTGATACCAGATGAGTCTTCTTTGCTTCATTGCCAGCGAGGCTCTTCTTCTCCATTTGTAAGTTAACAGATGATCATTAGCATCTAGTTTGGTGTAGCCCATTTCAAGCTGTCATGGATTGGGCTTCCCATAAACGAACAGTCTTGTCATCTTTGATCAAAATAAGCAACTTTGGGGGCAGACTGACAATATCTAAAGCACAAATGTGCTTATGACCAAATTATTTTGTTTTCTGACATCAGGGATTTAAAGCTGGATTTGCAGGTGACATAATCCGTCTGGCTCCACTGTGGATCGGCTCTGGCGGTCGGATCAGACATGCAAGGCTTCTATTTTTGCCAGTCGCATCAATTCAGTGCAGGGCAGCAAGAGCAGCAGCAGAAGTTGAATGCGGCTATGGAGTAAAATATCTGGTTAATTTTCAAAATGAAATAAAGTCAATACATTGAGCTGTTCTTCACGTGATAATGGGAGAAACCAGGGTTGTGGGATGTGGGTGTTTATATACGCCGCCGATCTCATCCAATGTCTCACGGTGAAACACATGAGATCTTGTGAGATCTTGTCCAGTCTCACGAGAAATATTGATAATATTGCAAGCTCTTCTCCTCAGCTTGCTGCAGCAGGTTAGAGCTGAATGCTTGCGTATTTGATCCACCTGCCGTTCCGGTGCAGAGCAGAGCAGATCTGCATGTGGTAGAATCCCCGGGTTAGGGCTCTTGACTGCCACGTTTTACCACCACAATGACCTCTTCCTTTGTAGCTGCTGATGTCAAGATCCCATGTATTTGTATTTTTAGCTGTTTACATGTCTCTGGTTGCAGCTTCTCAGATTCTATCCTCATCATCCATGCAGTAATACACTAAGGGGGAAAGGAGCAGAGTGGTGCACAAGGATGCAGGGATGGAAAAAGCACCAAAACAAACTTGGAGGGTGCACCAGAAGAACCTGGTTGCAGCCGAATTAAAACAGCTTTTTGAGTATTACTCCTAATTTTTTTTGCCTTTGTAGGGTTAGGGTTGGGGTAAGGATTAGGGTTAGAGGGACAGAATACTGACATTTGTGTTGGTTTTTGCAACAACAGAGCAGTTGGCATGTCTGGCCAAGGAGTGGGAGTGGGAGTGGAGCTGGTTATGCATGCATGTCTAATCTCTCTTGCCGTGACGTCACCCTAGGGGCCAATTCAAACCCCCTTGTAGAAACTGCACACGCTTAGGGGAAGTTTTCCTCTACACACATGCTAGATGCTTTCTTTTAAATTTATTGTCTGTAAACAGAACGACAAAAATCTCAGCATGAACACCAAGCCCAGAGCTGTGATGTATTCAATTCCGATGAACATAATCTCTACTCGTAAAAATTGTACAATCTGTACTCAGAGGTCTGGATTTTTAGCATGTGATATGTTCTGGTTCTGTTGTTTGTGTGTTTATAATCAGAGCAATAATTGATCAATCACAGGTTTTCGAGTACGCTAGGAAAACAGTCAGGCGAAACTAAATCTGCTGTACTGATACTCCATTTCCCATCTGGTGACAATTAATTTATCTCCATGAATAAATGTCTTTATGCAAGAGTCGTACACAGTCTGTTATGAATCAAAAACTCCAACCTGAGCTGTGCTGACACTAAGCCAGACTTTGGATTTTTCCCATTTCCTTGAACGCCTCAGGAATGATCAACTACTGTTCAATAAATAAGCATCTCAGAAGTCGTTTTCTTCTCCTCCTGAGGACAGAATCAGTGACAGAATTACAGCTACATAGCACGACTTTCCTCGGCTTCAAACCTTTCCCAGAGGAGTTTCTCACAATGGTAATTTCATTCATATTATAGAGTTTTCTCGGCCAAACAGAGGTCAGTAAAATTTTACCGTCAATGACTTCATTTGTTTGTGTCTCTTCCCTCGGTTTTAAAGAAACAACGTGCTCTCGTTTATTTTCTCTCTGCAAACTCTGGAGAAAAATGCATCCTCCTACCTCGTATGTTTATTTGATCTGATGACGCTGTTTATTTTTCATCGCCGGTTTAAGGAAAGAATAGTGCAAAAAAGAGAGCTTCAAGAACAAAATAATGAAAGCTTTGTGAACCGCTGTCGGTTTCAGCACATTTCATGACAAATGCACCAAATCTGTGCTTTTCCCTGTCTCTGTTATGTCATTTTTCAAACACTTTAGTGTCTGAAACCGATTATACTAAAGGCATCTGATCCCTGAGACATCACCAGGGTGTACTGCCAAAAAACTCCTGTTAATAAGTCCTGATCTTACTTCAAATACAGGACATTCAGAGCATTTCCCCTCATACTGAGATGGATTGTTACAGGTACAAATTTACAACCACGTTTGAGTCATTCAGCAGGCCTGTTTTTACGAAACGCAGCGCTATGAATTGTTCTTTTGGGCGAGTAAGAACTCGACAGGGGAGCTAGAAAACTGTGGAAAGCATCTGTATCAACCATTAATCATTAAACCTTAACACTGAGGGACTTCTCATTTGATTTTGAGGTCTCTGTGTGTTGAAATCTAATGCCGTCCCCAAAGTATTTCAAGATGAGAGAAAGCTACTGTGATCTGGAGCAGCTGTATCAGCTGGTATCATACTACCTTTATATACCTGTGTTGTTTGCAGAGTCTAATATGCAGGAGAGACTAAAAGATGCCTCATGTTTGTATTCAGACTTTTGTTTTTACACAAAAATGCCGCACATACTTTGGCTTTAATCAGGCCTTAAATCAAAGTGAGATAACCAGTGTTTGACTCTCAGGAGTTTATACTGGACTTATGTGGGTGGGATTTGTTGATACTTGATTCCTAATTTCAACACAGCAGAATATTTCCTGAGTGACACTATGCTTGGGGTTTTGGGGAGAATGTGTAAATGTTATATCACAAAAATCAGATGACACGGCTTAAAACTCGCCCTGCCAAGCTTTTGTTTGTGTGGTTCGCCGAAATCCTGAGTGGAAGGATGAACAGAGGGAATCTTGTTTACTTTCTTTGTCGCCTGTGGGGTTTTCGGAGGATGGCAGGACTGTGAGAACCTCGTTAATTGCCCGATGGTAGCTTGTTAAACACAGCCAGCTTTACGCTACGCTGATTGTCACAGTGATGTAATCAGGTTGAGTCAATCTAGTAGGCTTAGAAATATTCACAGATGTCTATTTGAACACTTGGCCTGCATTAAAGGTGAGATTTCCTTATATTGCTCATAAATGCATAACACCATAAGAAGATTCAGACTATCTAAGTGACAAAGACAAAAACCATTCATGAGCGACTGTGATTTTCAGGCCCTTAGGTGGCATTTTATTAGATAGCATGCATGGCTCTGTAGTGGAAATCACTGCATGGACACAAAACCACTCCCAGAAGCAACTGTCTGTGAACACAAGTTGTTGCTAGATCCATAAATGCAGGTTAAAACTTCAGAAACCAGATATAAACATGATCCAGGAAAAACGATGGAGTGAAAAACTGTCCTGCGATCTGGCAAATCAAAATTTGATATGAAATCATGGACACTCTCTCTTCCTCTGTACGGACAGGAGAAGCCCCTCTGGTTTTTTAATCAGCTTACAGTCTCTGTGATGGTACATTGCACGCTTATTGCTTACACATCTTGAAAAGCACCAAAAATGATGCACAAAATCCACAGGTTTTGGAGCATCCACACAATTACTTTCAGCTGAAGATAATGTCAAACCTCAATCTGCAGGTATTAAAGCAGTTTGACTCTGTAGTTGAAGAGTACTGGTGCTGGACTGACCTGTTTGCAGTGACTGAATTGTTACCCAAAAATCTGGTGCATCGTGAAACAAAAACTAGCAGGCCCCAAAGCAAACTGAGCAGCTGAAATCTTATTTAACGTTGGTTATAAAAATCCGAACATTAGTCTTCTTGGCTTCTTAATGTCTACAGTGTTGTTAAAAGAAGAGGTGATGCTAAGCAAAGATAAACATGCTGCTGTCCCAACATTTCTGAAATTTGTGATGCACACCTGAAGACAGGAAAGCATTGTGACACACCTAGGCGGCTGCTGGCTCGTTGAATTGGAAGGAGATATGCTGGTGAAAACGTGACACTGATCTTTCTCTGATTATCTCTGTCATTTGATCGCTTACTGTCTGTCAGCTTCTCTTTGTCTCTGTTTAGATGCAACTGAAAAACATGTTGGATAAGGACTAAAGTTGAAAAGCACCACAACACGAGATGTGTCTTTAACTTTCTTACTTAAAAAGTACAGGGAAGAGCAGGGAGTGGGGGAAACATTTGAAAAGCACTTAATTTGATACAGAATCAGTAGTGCAGGATGAGTCAAAAATTCTGCCAGAGTAAGACAAACTGCAAAATATCGTGATGAAAACCAACAAAGAGACTCTTAAGTCCTCGTTAGGCTAATACCAACAATAAGTGCATGAAATTGTGATAAATTAAGACACCGGTTTTGATTTTATTTCATGTTGACTCATACTTATCCACATTTGGGTTAATGTTTGAAGGGATTACATAAGAACAATCAACATTTTGCTCCCACTGTCTGTTCTTACAATCACATTTTCATTTCTGGGATGCAGTCATTACGTAATAACTTCCAGATTCCCAGTTTTCCTCCTTGTGCTGATGAGATGGTGGAGCAGTGAGTTATATGAAGCAAATTTACAAACGCTAATGAAAACTCTGGATTCATTTAATATAAAATAAGAGTGAGTGTTAGTGAAATGTCAAGAGGGAACAACAAAACGGTGACTGAGAGGATGATTGATGTGTGTGGGTAGGGAGAGAAAGTGAGAGGGAGATCTCCTCAGAGCAGCAGAGAGGAGGAGGAGGAGGAGGAGGAGGAGGAGGAGCTCTGGCCTTGGGTCCCTGGGCACAGAAGGTGCTGCAGCAAAGCTAAATCTCCACAGTCTATACTAACATCATCTATTATTGTGGCTCATAGGGATGACTACAACAAGTTTATGTTCACGTTAGGTCTGAGTTTTACATCTTTTACAAAATAAAAGATGAAAATTTGAGTGAAATTCTGCCATGATTTGATATTTCAAACTACTGCTTCCCTTTCTTTCTGGGTGGCATATTTAGTCTTCTCACTTTGCCCCAATAAACTGATAAAACGTATAAAATTTACTGTTTTATAGCTCTTCTGTTTTATACAATACAGGACTTTAAAAAAACAGCTGTTAAAGTACCTCCCAAAAATAAATCTTACACCCTGATTTTGTATTATTGACAAGAAAATAGAAGTGACCATTATAGAAATTGGTGCAGTCCCAGGATAGATAACCCTAACCCTACTACCCTACTACTACTACTACTACTACTACTACTAATAATAATAATAATAATAATAATAATAATAATAATAAGAAGAAGAAGAAGAAGAAGAAGAAGAAGAAGAAGAAGAAGAAGAAGAAGAAGAAGAAGAAGAAGAAGAAGAAAATTTTAAAAAAAAGAAGAGGGAGAAGAAGAAAAAGAAAAAAGTCATCGAAGAAGACGAAGAAAATGAAAAAGAAGAGGATGAAGAAGATGAATAAGAGTAAAATGAATGTTAAAAGAAAAAGAAGAAGAGGAGGAAGAAGAAGTAGTAGAAGAAGACAAAGAAGTCATAGTAGAAGAAGACAAAGAGGAAGAGGAAGAAAAAGAAGTAGTGGTAGAAGAAGATGATGATGAAGGAGAAGAAAATGAAAAAGAAAAAGGAGGAAGAAAATGAAGAAGAAGAAGAAGGAAGAAAATGAGGAAGAAGAAGAAGAAGAAAAAACAAAACAAAAAACAGATTAAAAATTCCAATCTTTTTGACCAATATATCAAGTTCATTTAAGGCAGAACACAATATGAACTAATATGTTTGAATACAAGTGTAGCATCTGTCCCTCTTAAATAAGTCTATATACTACATTCATTATCAAGTCTCTTATGTCTCATGTGAACTTGCATTGCCTTTCCTAACACTTAAACAGTGATGCTATCTACTCATCAGTTCATATATGACAACTGTTCTTTAAACTCCTTCAATAAAAAAGATCTTTCAGTGATATTTTCTGCTTTTCAAGAGGTACCGGTTATAATCACTTCCATCTCTCCTCTCGGACTGGTTTTAATATTCGTCTGGTCACAAAATCCAAATATTTCTGCATCTGGCTCGATGGGAAACTCCCGTTTGAACATAACGCAGGAATGCTTGTTAGTAAACTATGATGGAGGATCGTTTTTTGTTGTTCAAAAACTTTTGCATATTTCCCTCTGAAATGTTGACGGAGCATTTTCCTCTCCGTTTGTGACTTGAGATAATTAAGACACAAACCGCTGCATTCTTGTTGATGAAGTCAATCGGCTTCTCCTGCAAAGACCGTCAGTACTTACTAATCTCTACAGACCTTATTTGTAAACTGGCATCCCATATATCATCTCTGGCGCTCTGTAGCTTCAGCCCACATTTAACTCGCTCTGGTGATTGGTTTACCTCCAGCGCTCTCATGCCAGGACTGATATTGGAAAAACTTAACAGTTTGTCAGGTCGAGAAGAGAATGTTCTGCACCTGGACTTTTATGCAGAGGTACACTCATTGGAAACACACTGATTTTAGGTGCACTTAGTGAGTGATATGTTGAAGACTACCAAATGTTCCTGAGGAGGATGTCCCGCTGGTTTCCTGCTTCTATCTGAGCATTGAAAGTTTGAAGCAGTCAGGTTAAATGAGCCTAATGCAGCCATGGTGAAGGAATAACATTAGTCTACGTTGGTCCAAAAGCCAGTAAATTTAGCACTGAGGCGAACTAAGTTTGGATATTTTCCTCTCTGCTGACTGTGGGCTCAATGCAGGGTATGACAAACTGGCATAATATGAACAAAGATGCCAAAACCTCAAGTTATTCCTCAAGTTTAAGTTAGAGTCTTTGTCCACATGGGCATTCTTAATGCTGGCAGCACCAGAAACCACAACTTCAGAGCACTTTTCATCAACAAAAAAGGAAAATGCACAGACAATGGAAAGACACTGTGATGGTTGTTTGTTGCTCCTCTTAACTGCTGAAATGCCAGTTCAACCAAACACCATCTACATCCAATTTTAACTCTGTTTCCTGGATCAAATTTCTACCAAACCAAACTGCAGTTCGCCCCACACAACAAGACACCGTCTGTCATCTGTGCTTGTTTACATCCTGGTAATAGAGCGTTATTGCATTATGGGAAATGCCATTGTATTGAGCTGTAGCCCAGACACAAAACACAGCGCTGAAGAATACAAATTTGAATAGTCAGTTCAACAAGGAAGAAAGTTCTGCTACCAGCTATTATAAAGATAATGTTCAAAGCGAATATTTCCAGTTAGCTTCCTCTTGAACATTGTTGCTGACAGAGTTAAGATCCATCTTCTTGATTCTGATTGATTGATGAGAGAAAAAGTGGCACTGATGGGCATGAAGGTGTTCAAAAAGGTTGAATATTTTTCAACCAAGAGCATCTGATACTTTGCTGATTTTGCTTCATGTTTTAATTCCACCCATGACACTGAAAATGCTAAACTTAACACCGATAGAGAACAACAGCCCTGTGATACACACGCATGATCTGTTTTGTTTTTCACTCCCGTGCGCAGCTGAAACATAAAATTTAAGAGCTGGCCCCGATCAGGTCTTTTGTTTTTGTTTATCACTCCTGAACGCAGCTGAAACACTAAATCTGAGAGCAGGCCCTGATCAGGTCATTTTTTTCCAAAACTTTTTAGTTCAATTTATGACAAAAGACGAAAGCTGACTGCAATAACATCATAAAAAAAAAAAAAAAACTTTTATCATTAAGGAGTACTTGTGTAAAATATTTTCATTAAAGTTCTCAAAAGCTCTTAGATTTGATTAAAAGGGGGATATCTGCACACCTGGTCAGTGCCGTTTTCACTAAAGCTGAGAACATTAAACCAAAATAGTCGAAATCACGTTCGTCCCTATGTGCTAAACTTGAACAGGAAGTCCTTCATCTCATGTTTTATGCACTAATGAATGCACCAAAGTGTACTTTTCCTACATCGTAATTCACTCAATCTGGCTAAAATGGGCTTTTATTCTTTGGGAGGCAACCACAGTGATGCAAAATATACAGTAAGTATGCAATAACTCTCCACAAGTGCATTGATGCTAACCTAAAGAGTATGTTCCCAGAAAGACACACATTTGTGGTTAAAGATTGGGGTCACAGTCCAAACTTAATGGAAAAATAAACAATCAGAGAAAGTATAGAGACTTTAAAACTCCACTCAAGTGAAGTAAGGGAGGATTGGCGCTTAACTTTCCACTCTGGAAAATCTATGGCAGTTTTATTAACAAGCTACACAAAGAAACTTTGACTTAGCGCGACCGCACGCTGAAGGGGAGCTCCACCACATGTGCTGCTGATTCCCCAACATGATTACAGAGGAAAACATAAAATTCACTCTGTGAGGAAATAAATTCAGTCATAAAATTGGAGGAATTTGCTAATGGTTGTGGCTGTTGTTCAAGTGCTATCATTGCGCAGGTGAAAGGTTGATGAGGTGAGTTAATGAATCTCTGAAATGTGAACAGACCGAATGGTTTATACTCGGACGCCAAACTCTCATCTCATCCAGCTCTTGCACTTTGGCAAAACGGAGCTTTGAGAGTGTCTGACCCTTTTAAAAGACTGTGCAGTGAGCAAACATGTCATTTTATCCTATTTTTACTTTCCTATACATCAGGATGATGATACTGTTTGAAGGAATTTCAAAGGCTCAGCAGGGATCCAGCCTTGTTGAGCGATCTGTGTGTCTCGTGTTTCCACTCTTGCTATCTTCATGAAGCTCTTGCGCTGATTTATCAAACTGTGAAGCTCCCAGAGTTTATGATCTGCACCCTGGATGACACCATCTGCTACTAATCAGTATTTCCGTCATTGTCTGCACACAGCAGCCCAGAACATTGCAGACAGAGTCAAAAAACGAAGAGACTCATTTCCCAGTCTGGTTTTTTTTCTTGTATGTCAATATTTCATTAATGTTTGCCATTCACACCATAGTTTCACATCTGTGCCCATGCTTTACATTCATACTGTAGGCTGTAGGCAGTTACTGTAGGAGTCCCTCCACACTGGGACCTATGCTGTATCATTTAACCTAAAAATAAGACTGTGTAATTTGTAAACCACGCAAGGAGAAACACTGGCAGACAATGTTCAAGCTCCCTCAACATATTCCCCACAAAAACTGTTGGCACAGACTCTCCTGAATGTGTACGATGAGAAAGAAACGCTTCATCTGCAGCTGTTTTCAGACTTTTTCTTCTCTTAGACGCCACAGTGACAAACTGCTTTTTCATGCCGTTCATGTTGATGATCTTTGAATTTCTGCAGGTGGCATTGCTTTATGAACTCTTTCAGGTGGTTGTCACACATAATCGTCCCGAGGTTTGTTTGGGGTCGAAAAGCAATGTTGTCGCACTTTGATGTGGTTTGGTTCATTTTCATACTTCACTTGGTCAATGACCAGCTTGTTTGTGGCGGTCCAGTCCCCAAACAAATACTGACAAAGAGGAAGAGGAAGCCAGCGAGGGGGAAAAATGGCTCATCCATTATCCAGACCATAAAATGGAAATCGTTCCCTTTTCACCAGCTTATTCGCCACATGAACAATGGAGCAGCATGCAGTCTGAGGGTTTCTGCTTTTACTTTGGTGCTTTTATGATAGATGGGTTTCACAAGACGGCACCCGGTGTGGGCTGCAGGCAATGCAGCAAACTCAGCATGTTGTTCTTTGCATGAGACGAATGAACCGGTGCTGAAGAAAGAGGCGAGCCCAGATGAGACAGAGAGTTGTCTTTGTTACACAGATGCCAAGCGAGGTTTTGACAAGGAAATTGACCCAAGATGACCCACTTTACCCCACTTTCTGCTTCGGTGTACATGTTGTTTTGCTTAGCTTCTACACCTTGAATGAACCTCAGCAGGGGTTGTTTTGAAACAGACCAGACTCCCTTTTTTAAGTGGACCAGAGTTGGCTTGTTTAAGGCGATCGTGACTGTAGAGTCTACTGTTACAGATGTTGTCTTCCCGTAGAGCCACCAACATGTAAATAACACACTCATAGCAGCATATACACCCAACCAAATTCGGGTCAAGAGCCAGCAAAATCCTGATAATTGATTATTGGTTTTCCTGTAGTGTGAGGTTTGTCCAGAGTGATTTCAGTTCCGTCGATGAGTCAGTTCAGTATTTACCATCAGATATCCTGTTGTGGGGGAAACCCAGAGGCACGAAAGAGGATTAGGGCCTCAAGAAGAGAAAAAAATAATCACAGAAGGGAGATTTTTTTAATTTCCATTTCGAGATTAAAGTTGAAATTTCAAGATTAAAGTCGAAATTTGAAAAGTCACAATTTCAACTTTATTCATGTCAACTTTAATCTCAAAATTGTAATTTTTCAATCTTGAAATTTCAACATTATTCACGACATTTTGTAATCTTGAAATTTTGACTTTAATCTTGAAATTTCAATTTTTTAATCTCGAAATTTTGACTTTATCGACATAATTCAGATTTTTTAATCTCAAGATTTCAACTTTAATGTTGAAATTTTGACTTCAATCTCCTTCCTGTTATTATCATTTTTTCTCTTTATGTGGCCCCAATCCTCTTTCGTACAGAGGATAGTCATGCAGTGGAATAAAATGAGGAAGCAAACACAACAAACGCAGCCATGGCAACAAGAGTAAACAAAGTGAAGAGGACACCAGGAAACAGAGGACCAACTTTATGAGTGTTTGTAAAACATGTCCTGTTAAACTTACGGACATGAAGAGGGCTAAAAATAAAGATCTCCAGCAGTGGATGAACTACGTTGCTAAACAGCTAGCACATGACACGGCTAGCTCCTCAAGAGCTAATCCGCTCAATCTGTCAGCCTTCAGTTGTAAATTGAGTCCATTGTGGCTGTAATCTGAGCTGTCAAGAGTGAATTTCTTAGTGATTCTTTTTTAAAGGCCCATTAAACGGGAACTCTGCAAATCCCCTCGTTAAAGCTTTAGTGTGAACATGCAATTTACTGTCATTGACTGAAATATATAAAACACATGCAACAGATCAGATGACACCACAGTCAAAATATGTAACGATGTCATATAAGTTGATCAAGCGGTCATGAGCGAGTTGTGGCCAAAAACAGCTTGCAGACTCGTGTGACCTTCTTGATTCTTTAAAAAAGGGAAATTTGGACCGACTTATCTGTAAGGATCAATAACATCAAACCTCCTCGTCCTGCCGTGTCAATAGTTGTATATTTTTAGTGTTTTGTGCTTCTCTGAGTCAGAATACTGCACCACATGGAGGTAAACAAGCATTCGTCACACCCACTGCTCTTTGTGTTACATCTTACGGCGCATGAAGAAGCCTGATCCGGGCATTAGCGTACACCAGGTGTTTAAAGCAGCAGTTGAAAGCTCTAATCCTGTATATATAAAAAAAAGCCAAACAAACATGCTAACACTCTTACTTCTTTCTTTTTAAAGAATTCCCAGAACATTATGTAATATTAAGAAAAGCTTTCAAAGGGCTTACATGAGTTACAGCTATATGACGGCAGTTTTTAACATGAGCAAAAATGTTCCCCTCCCTTGACTTTGAGCTGCACCGAGTTCATGAAAACAAAAAGCAGAGATCTTCAAATGTCTTTCGGGAGCCATTAGACCGCACGTGCTTCATGATGTATATCTTGTTTTTTAAGACAAAGCTCATGTGTGAGAAAGTGAAGGCATGCACTCAAGAGTTCAGGCCACCAGCACGAGAGCCAAAGATCTATCAGGATACTTTAAAGGCAACGTTGTTCAAACTGTGGCCCTGGTTTACCCACGACCTGAGTGATTGGCACATAAATGGACAGGCTTTAGTACAGCTGTAAATGCTCCTGAAATGATTTAAAGGCCACATATCAACTTCTCTCTAATTCAGAGCAGTTTCAAGATGATGCTTTGGCCTTTTTTTTTAGTTTTCTGAGTAGACAGCTTGAAAAGACAAGAGAGTGGGTGGGGGAAGTTCTGCTCCATTTAGTGTTAGGCAGGGAGTTGAAGATGCAGTCAGTGCAACAAGGATTTTGTGTCTAATTTAACAGTTTTCTGTCGTGTCTTTCGGTTTTCTATTGCTTATGCAAGGAAAGAGCATCCATTGATGTCAAGTAGTTTAATATAGTTGTCTTGTATTTAATATAGTAGTTTAATATTCTGTCCATATGCATCTGCGGTCTCTCAACGTCTATCACTTCCTTTCTGCAGCTGAGAAACTTCTTGGATGTGTTGCATGAGACTGCAAACAACCCAAATTTTCACCCCGACTTCACCTTAACATTTAACTGCCAGCCAGCAAGAAGTCCGGTTGACATCTTGTTGTGAGAATGCAGGTTGAAACGTGACAGGGGCTACTTGGTAAACCTCAAAGACCAGGAGGGGTTGGGGATGATTCTAGCGTGCATATGCGTCTTCATATGTGTCGCTCCGTTCTGTTTAGCTGTCACCCAATCTGCGTCCTCATGATCTGAACAGCTGGGCTGAGTTCTTCCCTTTCAAATCAATGACAAAGCACTGTGATGGATCAACTTTGGGCCAGATTGCGTTATAGTGTGCGGGTGTGGCTTTCATTGAAATCCTTTTATTTGCAGGAATAAACCCGTCATTCTCGACTGGTGAGATCAATGCAGGGAGTGCACCAAACCCGACCTCACACAGATAAGGAATGCACTTCTACACTATTATATTTTATTTGGTTTGGGTTGTGTGCTCCTTGAATCTTAAAGTAGCAGGTTAATTCATTGAAGAGGAGATACCGACTCCCAAAATCACTCGACACACACGCACAGGTTCACATTCCAGCACATAAAAACAGAAGAACATGGCTACATAAATTCACTCCAGGACAATTTATTGTGTTTTGTTCCAGTAGAGCATCTCCGCAGCTTCAGGAACACTAAAGCTCATCATGACAGGAAAGACTCCCCGCTGCCAGCAGTACATACCTTATTTCTGTGGCAGAAAAAACATGCACCCAAATATGCAGATATAATCTAATGTAGGACACAGAATAGCTTTTATGCTAGGGAACCCTGCCAGCTGATATTGCGCAACTTTAAAGCTTTATTTAATCAAACTAGCTGAGGCCAGAGGGAGACGGGACGATCTTTGCAAGAGACAGTGAATCAAATCCAGAGCAAGTGAGGGATGAGCTGTCTTCTCAGTGTGAAGGATTAGGTTTCACAGCCCATCGGTGGGTTTTATTATTCAATTGTCCGAATCAGATAATACATCTGAGATGATCTCTTTCAGCACTAGACTGAGGATCAGTGACACTTGAAATGTGAACTCATAACAGATTCATAGGTAGGGATTTTCTGCAGCTTTTGTTAAGTCATGTCTGGGTTACAACATGTCTGCAAAGTAGGAAATTGAATGAGTGAAAATGTGTGCCCTTATTTTTAAATATTGAAGACGATAAAGAGGTGGAGCTGAATCTCTCTGTCCTAGTAACTGCCTGTTAATAGTTTATAACCACTTAATATAAATCGTCCTTTCTCTTCGTTTCCATTATTTATATTTGACTTTCCTCACCAGTCAAACCTCTGCAGCTACTTCACTGAAATATTCAGATTACATTATTGTTCAATAAGTGGTTGCAGCTTGCTTAAAGGTTCAGTGTGAAGACATAGGAATATTCCAGTGGCCTTTAAGGACAAGAAGCTTTTTTGTGCATAACCACAGCTACTCTTCTTCTTTGTCTTACAGCTAAAAAGATGAGTTTGCCTGTACAATACTACGGTAGTAACATGGCAGTGCAAGATGGTGACCTCTGACTCCTAGTGAATACAATAGTCTCTAAAAAACAAAAACATTTTTTAAATTCTTTTGATTATTTACGAATTTAAAAATATGTATAAATATCATGTTCCTTTTTCCTATATTTGTTCTGATAAATGCCTCTGGATACTGCAGACAATAACCTAAAAATTAAGATTGATAAGGCTAGTTTCATTCTCCATATTTAGTTTTAGTAGTAGATGTACACTGATTTTGGAATATCCTCACTCTAACACTGAGGTGCTGTCATGACCTACATAGTAGAATGAGATTAACAGGGACCAGACTGGTTATATCTTCATACTAAATTTTAGTGCCTGTGTTTGAGTCTGACTTCCTGCAAAAAATAAATAAATAAATGAATTGCTGAGTCGACGTTCAGCACCTGTTCAGCTGTGCTGGAGCCGGGAGAGGCTGTAGAGCTAGCATATGGTTTTGTGTTTGTCCATAAGATGGTTGTTAATCTCAGCATATATACGACACAGTCACAGTTACACAGAAAACTTTTGTAAAGCTTTAGCCTTAGAGAAACCATGTCATGCCATGCAGAAATTTAGAAACTGAGTATACTTGTGTTTCTGTTTGATTGCCAATGTGATCTGGCATGAAAGATATGCAATTTGTATTACACTGCATATTGTGTAATCGGGGCTAAAGCTAAACATCTGCAAACTGGCTGGCTATTGTATTGTTCATTGCACTAGGCTGCTGCTCTAAAGTAGGTAAAAGTGCTGTGTCTGTCTTTAGATGTAAATTTTGTTAAAAGTAATTAAGAATTTGAAGACAAAGCAACTGGAGATCACAGAAAAGAAGAAGTCCTAAGGTCGAACCCTGAGGCACGCCCATTATTCTTCCTACACAAGCATGTAGGAAAAGCAGCATGTTGTATAAAACGTCTGATAACACTTTACAAGAAATTTAACCACCCGCATAAAACTGATGATATGTCCTGTTAATTTAGTTTTTTCATGGTTTTGTTCTTTGAGTTCATTGTCGGCGTGTTTTCTCTTGTGTTTCTGTTCCTTATTGTTCCTGTGATCTTGTCTTGTGAGTTTTCAGTTTGTGTTTGACCCTGTTTCTCTCGTGTTCTCTGTGTTTCCTGTTTTATTTTGTAGTAGTCGATTCCTTGTGTTTCTAGTCTGGTTTTACTTCCCAAGTTTTTCCCTCCTTTGTTAATCACCCATGAGTTTCACCTGTGTCTCATCTGCCTCACCTGTTGCTCGTTTCCCAGTGTGTGTATATATAGTCCCTGTCTTCCCCTCTGTCTTTGTTGGTTCATTGTGTGTGTTTGTCATAGTTGATGAGTGAATCCCTAGTTTCCTTGTGGTTTTTTCCCTAGTGCCTTTTTATTAGATTTTGCCCTGACCTATGACAAAAACTCAATGTGGACATGGACAACCTTTTAAATTTAAGTGTCACAACCCGGCTAATTTATCCTCTTATATAACGGTTGAGTTTTACTGGCGTTTTGTTGAGACTGAGGAAGAGAAAAGTCGATGTACAGCACAAACAATGAGGACGGGTGTGTCGGGAGAACAGTAGTAGCATCTGTGAGTCTGGCAGCCGAGGAGGTTGCACCCAGTTGATGTCATAGCTCTGTGAGCTGATGTGTTAAACAGCATCAACCAGTGATATAAAAGAGCATCTGTTACACGTACTGAACAAACAATCTGCCCATTAGGAGAGTGGAGGAATGGATAATTGCTCCAGGAATTATTTTTTTGTAATGTGTATCTTATGTGTAGCTGTTTTGATAATCACAGTAATGAGGTCAAGTGAAAAGATGCTCAATCAAACCAATGACATGTCTTTGATACTTGGTCAAGAATGAAAAAAGCGGCCTAATGATGTATGTAGTGGGAGTTTAGGAGAGAAGAGTGAGCTCAGATGGGAGGCTCCTCCTGACATTTAGAAACACAGAGGTAGAAAAACACAATAAGCACATAAAACCTGAAAAACAAACTCTCTGTAAACTTGTATCTATTTTTGATCTTCCTTCAACAAATAAAAACAAATCAAAACCTTTACCCATTAAAACCTTTTGCCATGGGGTTGGAAGTACTTTAATGAAACCTGCATGGTCTTTGCAGCAGCTTGGTGTAGTTACTCATGATGGGGATGCTCTACACGGCAGCACTGGTGTCATGTGGCCCCACTGCTGGAGTGAAACAGATGCAGGTTTCCATCCAAGGTCCCAGTCAGCAGCTAAGAGAGACAGAGCAAATGAAACATAACATCATATTAGGATTAAACACAAAGGCTGCATTAATATGGCTGTAGCTGTTATGATGTATCCATGTTTTTTTCAAATGACCTTTTTCAAGAACAAGTTGTTACTTGTTTCTTGAGCAAAAAGATGCATATTTGGACAAAAGCAAGTGGTTAAAAAGAGCAGGGGGGTCTGCAAAGGTTGAGTAAGCATGCGTATGAAGCGAAAGACTGCGCCAGATTCACAGATTGAGTTTGAATTGGCTCCTGTCATGATGTCATGACAGGAGTGAGTCTGGGGCATGAACGCAACAATATATACAGTCCTTGAGCAATTCCACTTCACCCTGCAAAGGCTAAAGCTGGACAAACCAACTGCTCTGCTGCTTGTTTCAAATCCAGCATCAACATCTATGTTCTTGCCAAGCACCCGAAAGAGTCGCTGTTGTTTTGTTTATGCAAAACAATTCACCTTAGACTGCTGTAGTGATGAGAGCTAACTGCATATAGTTAGACGTAAAAGGCATGTTTGTACGTATTTTGGCACCAGTTCTTCTGGAGGGCTCACCATGTTTGTCTTGGTGTTTTTCTGCCTCTGCATCTGTCTGCACCCTCTCCTTCAGACAGCCAATCATCACAGCATCTTTACTGCATGGATAAAATTACAGCACTCTATAGGTTTTATAACCGGAGAAGTTGCAGATCTTCCACAGAGGCCGGATTTGTTGACATGCTGTGATGAGCTAAAAACACCACTATAAAAGCTCTTTAAACTTGTGACTTACAAAAAGATTCAACTTTGAATATTTGCCATTAACACAGGCATAAGTTATAGACATTAACATCATTTATTTCAGACTCTGCTGTGAAATAGTACACCTTGACAAAGCGGATTAAGAGTCATTGACTCCCTTTTGGACCCAGCTTCAAGTGGCCTCTTGAGGAACTGCAGTTTTTGGCACCTCTTTGCTGGCTTCACTTTCAGCCCCGGGGGTTGCAGCTTGATTTTTCTCAAGTGGACGATATTTCCTGTGAACTGTGTCACACATCTCTCCTCTTTTTATGGCTCTCTATTTAGAGAAGCGAGTTGCGTAAGAGCACACCTGCTTCCTTGAGGAGTTTAAGAATCTCGAGGTCAGGATTTAGACGATTTTTCTAGGGACGCTTCTTCATTTTGAAGAAACTGTGGCCGCCCTGCCTGAATTGTTACTTAACTTTGTGTTATCATAAGTGGAGCTTCAGGTTCCTGCCAGTGCTGGTCATGATGAGTCAACTGTTTGCAGATTTAAAAAACACCCACACATCTGTAAACTAACATGAACCCACACCCTGTCCATTTAAACACAGAGACAAGCACAGGCACACATTGTAGTTCCCAGCAAGAGGGGAGGGTTATCTCATCTTCTTCTCACAGCCAGTGGAGCAGGGGGGCAACATTACCTCAACACACTGACAGCCACTCAGCAGCATGAGGTTTGTCATGTAAATTCATATCTGTAACATCTCAATCAAGCATATGTGGAATGATACAATGGGGTAATTGTTTGGAAAAGGTAGTTGTCCTCCATTATATTCATGCTTACACGATGTGCAGAAGTAGAGCATGCAACCAAACAATTTTTGATCCATGAATCACCATTTTGAAACTGGGGTTAATTCAAGCTTAAATCCAATTTTGAGGCTTAAAAACTTCACTGTCCTACAAGAACAAAATAAGCGAAAATAGACCCCACAATTTGCAAGCTAAATAAGAGTGCTTTGGGGAATGTACAGACGTGAAGTGTAGCATCGATTTCAGAGATTTCGAGGTGGTCGTAAAGTCAGAGTATCTTTTGAAAGCAGGAATCTTGAAATACAAGGATTTGCCAAGTTGTGATAAAAAACACATTTGGTAAAACAATGGTCCAACATTTTTTCCCATGCACTTAAGCTGTTTTATGCAGGAGAAATCATCTTTTACCAGTAAGCAGATGTCTCTGCTGGGAAAAGGGGGTTGAAATAGCTGAGGTTCATGGATGACTCAAGTATATAAAGACTAAACTGACTTGTGATTGTTGCCTCTTTGTTTTAATGGGAAATCTGACATTTTCCAAGTGTGAGGATTCCACCAAAGTGGCAGCCAAGCAAGCTCAAATACATTACACCAAGACGAGCATGTCTAACACGGGTGTTTTTCAGCGTATAAAAAAGTTTGACACTCCTCTGCAAAAAGGAAAACTGTTTGACAGCTCGTTTCACTAGCTCTTTTACTCCAGGAGAGTCTTCTTTCACCGTGACCTCCTGCTCAGTGACCTTAATCAACAATAGCCGAGCTGTCTGGGTCGCCCCCTTAGGCTGCTGCAAAAGCTTTCTTAAAACTTCAGAGGGTCAGAGAGCAGCTCCTTTAGCAACCGCAGCTCTCTTTATCAACTGCAATACACAACCACTAGACTGTGTAATCACTGAGTTATGAAATCCTTCCACTTACACATGCAATAGAGTTGGAATAAGGGGCTGCACAGTAAGTTAAAAATTCATTTTCACCTCAGTTTGACCATTGAATAGTACTTTAGCAATTACAGAAACATTCACAAGGATTTGTAGTTATTAAGCACACTGTATAAATGAACCAGTTAGTTACTGATACAATAGTAGGGCTGTAATCAACCAAAGAGATTCTTGGTCAACTAAAACCCTGAAATTTTTGACCAAAAATCGACTAATGTGTGGGGGGTAGGGGGGATGTCCTCCAGTAGGTTGAGCAAATCCAAAATGGTAAAAACAAGGAGGTTGTCCTGAGACAAGCTGTTCGGTGCTCTGAAAACACCCCCATTAGCACTTGGTACATTCATCCTGATGAAATTAACCATAGTATGTAAATTGACACAGAAAAAAATAGAGTCCACCAATCAGAAGTTAGGTTGACCCAGCACGTATCGCCCAATACGTCAACCACTTGACTAGGACTTTACAGCCCTATACACTTGAGGTGTGTGCTAGAAAAAAACAGTCCACTAGACACTTGTACATCATCACCCTCAAAAGCTGATGCCAGAATAATATAACTCACTTTAACAAACTATTGAAATTTTCATTATCGTAGACAGAAAATCCTGGTTTTCTTTGTCAAAGATGTAGCGCAGCAACCCACTGCTAGCCTGAGTGCTAGCTTTGGTTAACAGCTATTGCAAATCTGCGATAAAAAATCCATACATTTCTAGCTCACACTTATTTTTGCAGATTTTCTCAAGACATCCACATTTATGCCATGAATAATTGCATCAATGCTGCTCTTGGGCTTCTTTGAAGACATCTTGAATTTTTCTATCATGACTTTCTTACAACACAAACATTATTTTGTCATTCCTCTATCATGATATTATTGTCCTGAGTTATATTTGTTTATTTATCCAACTTCATGTCTTTATCATCATACGAATTTGGCAGAACACTTGTTTTTTCTGAAACAGCGCAGGAAAAGATCATAACACCGGTGGGATCTTTATGTAAGCAAACATTTGTAATCAGGCACATTCCATCTCTGCAACCTTCAACCTCTGCTCACTGAGGCCTAAACAAGCCATCCACAGAGGTCTGAAGGTTTCTGACTTCTGTCAGGGTCAGAAGTCTGAACTTGTTGTGAGACGGTTCAGTGTAGACATACAGCATGGGGTCAAATTTGGCCACCACAACTTAGAGACTCTGCTTTCCTTAACATCCCACTTCTAGGAAAAACTGTCAAGGGTTTGATAACTGTTTTAAGATTGATCGCAATATCTGATGTCCTTATGCAATCCTATCACTGCTGATTCACAGATGTTCATCTCATTCACGAGCATATGTTTTCCACTTAAACACTCGACCCTTGATAATCTCAAAGTCGGTGCCCGTGCATAAAAAAACACACTTAAAATGTGTGCTGTGTTTTCCTTTACTATATTTTTGATTGTAATTCCCTTTATTATATTATCAAAATCTCATTGGGAACTTTTAAAGAGGTAAGAATGTCAATCAGACGGGAAATCTGCACTGCGTGTCACACATGTTACATAACCTAAGTTATAGTCAGCGGTGCTGGCTCAGTACCACGGAAAAAAGACCACAAATCATTAGTTCAAAGCTGGAGTTAAACCGATGATTAAGAAAGCAATGGAGCTGTATTTTCAGCGGTGATGACTCCTGACAAAAGTTGGCGCCCTGGGACTAACAATGACCGTCTGCACATGTTGCTACGAACAGTCTGTGAAGGTACAAAAAGCTACAGGTTTTCTCAACCTCGAAAAAAAAAATATGATCCATCATGTGTCGAGAGCACACAGACAAATGCCAACGTTGCAGGATGTTCTGCACGGTACACGCCGAGAGGAGAAGACAGATCTACATGAAGGATGGAGAGGGGAGCAGACGGTCACAAAGGTCACGTGTTTGTTAAGCTAACAAGCAAACGAACTGTCAAGGAGAGAGATGTATGCTGTTGCTAATGGCGACACACTTCTGTTTAGTTTGGTATCCACACAAATTATTTCAAACTTAAGGAAACTGATAGCACATAACGAGTTGTCGAAAAATGACCATCTTCATCTACAGAGAATAAGAAACATCTTTCCACATAGAAATAGTCTAACTGTGCTATTACTAATAAAACTTAAAAAGATCCAAATGCTCAAAGTATCCGTCATGTGCCAGCTAAGACTTCTTGTTTGTTCTTCCAGCTGCCCTCCAGCCAGTCTCTGACAGCCTGCGTAGGTACTCTTCATTTATAAAGGCTTCAGTCCAGCCTTTCTGGGAGAGAGTTGCATAATACGGAGAAAAAGAGATTAAATCCAATCCATCCAAAGCATTTCTTGTGTTTGCTTCAAAAGCTGTGTTTGGAATTTTCTTCTTCCCCAGAGTAAAAAAAAAAAAAAGGGGTACAATAAAATATAAAACTGATACTCAATGTTTATTAAGACCGACACAATCACAGAGCACTCCATTATTTCAGCATCACAGAGTTGGAGAGCAGAACAGCTAATATATCTGTCATATTAAAATTGAGTTTGTGTGATCAGCCAAATGATTGCATAATAATAATAACAATAATAATAATAACGACACTCACGCTGTAAATCAAACGTTGATCTCGGCAGGTTTACGTGATAAATTTTCCTTTTGGTCGGCGTTTTTCATCTGGAACATAAAATGTCTAATAGTGTTTGTGTCAACTTTTAAATCACAGCTGTTTTTCTGAATCAAATAACACAATTAAAATTACTCTTACACCTACGTGATGAGTGAGCTCAGCATGAGGTAAAAATGCCAATTTAGGAATTTAACCAGGATTCATCTAATAAATATAAAGTCAGACAAAGAAAATATAAAAGTCATTATCAGTTAATGTATTGAAAAAAAATACAAATCAGCAGTAGCCATGGCCAGAACACAGAGTGCTGTAGTACTGCAAAAACTTTACCAGAGACAAACTTTCCAATAGTTAAAACCAGAAAACCAAAGATTTCACTGCATAATGCCGTATGAAAATCCTGCCATTGTAATCCAAGTTGCCTCTTCTGTGCAGATCTGTCCCTACCTGCCCTGTATTATGTGTCCTCAACACACAGTCATGGTCTGACTCACAATGTCAGTAACATATGGACTTCTCAAGTAAGTACAGTAAGAATGCAGAGATTGATGGATGTGCCTGAATCAAGACGAACACATGAAAAATACATCACTGTACGCGCAGGAGTGCTCTGACTCACGGGATGGATGGATAGATAGATAGAGAGAAGATACAACTGACTTGGGCAGATCAGCAATAAGCTGTTTCACAGGTTGGGGGCAGCTGCTGCAAAAACTCTGTGTGTGCTCAACTGAGAAAAGTCTGAAGAGTCTGTAACAAAATTTTACCTATCACCCTCTAAGAGGGAGACAGACTTTACTTAATCTTGCAGTCTCAGCTGAAAGAAACTAGATTTAACAAAAGAGGAAACTGTCAGACAAATTTAAAAACACTGTCAAGACCAAGGCTCTTAGCAGAAGAATGAGTACTGAGAGCAAGAAGGCAGGGAGACCATGAAACTACAGGGGATGTCCAAACTCAGTGACCTCAGTTTTATTCTCATTTAGGCTTAAAATGTTCCTGTTTAGCCATGATTTAACCTCTTGAATACAACCAAGTAAGGACTCCTGTGAAGGCTTAAATTTCCATTTCAAAGGCAAATGTACTTGCACAAAAGCTGAGCAATGATTGAGGCATTATATTTTGGGAGAATGGGCCACAGGGGCAGCAGTAGGCAGTAGCTCAGGAGGTAGAGCGGTCGTCCCATAACCGACAGGTTGGTGGTTCGGTTCCCCCCTTTCCCTAGCCTGTCCGTTGTGTCCTTGGGCAAGACACTTAACCCACCTCGCTCCCAGTGTGTGTCCTCCACTGGTGTATGATTGTGAGAGTGTTGTGTGGTGGCGGTCAGAGAGGCTGTAGGCTCAAACTGGCAGCCACGTTTCCCTCAGTCTGCCTCAGGGCAGCTGTGACTACTAAGGTAGTTCACCACCACCAAAGTGTGACTGTGTGAGCGAATGAATGATGTATCCAATGTAAAGCACTTTGAGAGTCTCTGATCTCTGATGCATTATTATTATCATTTTTTACAGGGGCCCAAAACAGATCCTTGAGGGACACCAAAAGTCAGAGGGGCTGTTTCTAACTTCCTGGATGATAGAGTCCATCAGGTAGGACTGGAACCACCTGAGCCATGGCCAAAACAGTCTTTTTGTATGTTACAAGTCATACTTTGGACTGTTCAAATAAGCAGGGTGAGATTTTTAGTCAAACCTGTAAAAAGATAAGATGTACCACTTCTACAGGAGGCCGCAAAACTGCAAAGTTCCAAACAGGAGCTCCGATATTGCCCCAAATTTCACATTTAATCCCATTTTGGAGATTCATGCAAAAAGAAATAAAAATCTTTGAAAAATGATTTATTAACACAACAGAGCACTGAGAAAAATGCTGCTTACAGCATGTGAAAGGTTTTGATTCCCTTAAAAAAGCCTCTTGTGACTTTGCAACTGGACCCGAAGTCTTTATTCTCTCACTTCCTGTTCAGCGCTGCTCCAGCTGTGCTGAGCACAAGCCAGCTGAATTCAGAGAGGCTGTCTCAGCTCAGTCTGTGTCTCACTCTGATGTGACATTCTGGAGCAGACGGCAGAGTCCACCTCCATATTTGCTGTCTGGCCACTATAGTTAGAGGAGATCTCTTTGCTCTCTAGGGTCAGGTGAAAAGGAAACAAAGAGATAAAATATGTAAAAAACAATAAAGGACCATGGAGTGTGAACAGATTTCCGAATGCCAAGTGGCCACAAAAAGAAGATACAGTAAAAAGGTCTAGAGGGACGCCAGCTGCAATATTTTTCGCTTGTCTGCAAAGAGTAGAAGTGATACATCCTGACATATGGAGACAGGAGAGCGCTGAGCTTGAAAGCCAAAGTGATGATTCATTCATTGTTCATCGTCCTAGTTTGGGCCATAGAACATGTTAACTTTCAGAGACAGCTGCGTGTGTCAGTGAGCGGTCACAGTCCTGCAAAAAATCCAACACATGAAGTGCAAATGAGGTCTCAAGTACACGAGGGGGAGAGTTCAGAAACTTCTCACTTAATCAAAGGACCGACAGTAAAAGCAGAACTTAACACCTCGTACTTCATTCTGGTTCTGCTGCTGAAATGAAACGAGGACTTCTTTTTATATAAGAGTCCAAAAAACACACATGTATGCGTTTATAAATGAACCAGATCTGTTTGGGAGCAGCGGCGTTTCTGGAGCAGAGGGAGGTTTCAGTGTCGTGCTCAAGGATACTTAAGCAGAAACAAGGTCACTTGGAAAACGTGCCTGAGGTTGTTTTTCAACCACAAACTCATTTTTGGAGAATTCCTTTATCAGATCACGAAAACTTCTTTTTGTTTGTTATGACGCAAATTATCGATGGCGTCCAACTCAGCAAAAAATAAAACTTTGCAAATATTCTTTGGAAGTGCGTTTTAAAAAAGCACAAGTGCAGTTTCGTTAAAGAAGAAATCATCGACTGTGTGAAACAAAATTGGAGGGATCGCCAACATAATCAAAAATGTGTACCTTATTTTTTCTGTTTATGGATTTATATAGATATCAGAGTATTACAATATGAACAGGAAGCATGCTTTTGAAACGACGTTCACTCACTTTCCCATCAAACAAGCCTGCGATGCCGTACCTGATTTATGTCTGTGCCTGAGACAGCTGGAGGATGTTTTTGTAATAATAATAAAAATGTAACTATTTATACGGCACCTTTAAAAACAAAGGTTTGCAGAGTGATTCGACAGACATGCACAGGCATAAATAAGAACCCGATAGCAAAAAAAGCCTGAACAATAAATTTAAACTTGAATTTTTCTTTGATGACCCAAACTCATGAAATACTCTCTATGTTTTTCTGGTTGATTGTAGTTTTACTTGATTTAATCGTACCTGTAATCTGGATGAGACTAGAAACAAGGGAAGTGTCACTGTCTTTTCAAGAATAAGGTTCGAATGAATGAACACCAAGAAGGGGCTTTTACTGCGAAGAGTTGGTCTGAAATTAAATCTGTTCATCCTCAAATTCACTGAGCCTTAGACGAGCTATAATTAGTGGTGGCTGTCAAGAGTCACAGTATTTACAGTTGCTCTCTGAGTCACAGTCTGCTTCTTTCACTGGAGATGACTGAGTCATCAGATGGAGCACACTCTCAGTAGGTCTATTGTAGCAGAGGTGAAAACCAGAGAGCAAGAAGAGGACCCCGGTCCAGTCTACACTGTTACTAGTCAAAAAGGCCTCTGTCATGTCACTTCTTTTTACCCGCCACAGTGGCTGCATTGGTACTGGGGAAGTAAGGGTGTAACGGGTATTGACTGGACCCAATTGCAGCACAAACAAGCAGGTTCACTTTAACAACAGTCTTTATTGAACACCAAATCCAATGTAGCAGCAGAGTATAGCAGGTGGGTATGGCAGGATTCGAACTCGGGTCTTCCGGGTGATAGGCGAGCAGATTAGCAGTGGACCACAGGTCAGGCAAGAGTTTTGAACTCGTGAGCAGGGAATTGTCCACAGTCTTAATTTGCTCTACGAGTGTAGTGAAGGGGAAAACGCTCAACTCACAGCTGGAGGAAGATTTCTTGGAGAGTGGTTCAGGTGAGGACTGGGTGAGGATCCAGAGCTTGCAGAGGAGCTGGCAGAACCAACGTCGGCAGAGGAGGTGAGTTGGCGAGGTGAAGCTGACGAGAAGGGGGATCTCAACAGAGCAGGAACAGGCTGAGTGACATTCAGCTGCAGGCAGACGAATAGCAGGAACCAGGCAGGCAAAGCTCGTAGTCAAGGACAGAAGGCAGGTAGGTTTACCAGGGCTGAGGCAAGAAGCAAAGGTCAGGGGCAGATCAGGTTGATACCAGGTAAGCAGTCCGAGGATAAACGCTGGAGAGTCAGGCATGAGAGCAAAGACAATCTGGCAAAGAGTGAGGGGAAAGAAGCTGCATATATACTGGCCTGATTGGAGATGATGAGCAGGTGAGAGCAGCAGGTGGAAGCAGTTAGCTGATGAGGGGTGTGGCTGAGCAGCAGAGCAGGAGAGGGCAGAGCAGACTGTTACAAAGGGTCAATCCCAATTGTAGGGTGGTCATATTCTAAATCCCCAAAAAGAGGACACTACTACGCAGGGTGAAGTCATGCGCATAATTTTGAGATTTTTTTTTGGGTCGGATTGAGTGTTTTCTCCACGCTACACAAACTCAAAACTTCCATACAAAACCCCCGACATTTGAAGGATTTTATAAACTCCCCCCGGACAGGCGGGACAGTAAAAGAGGACGTATGGTCATCCTACCCAATTGTCACTCTGAAAACATGAAAACATGCCCCTAAGAAACGAGACACCACTCAAGTCCTGCTACGTCATCACGCCTTTCCATTAGCTGTGAATTTGTCACCTGAGTCCAACATCGGTGTAGCTATCAATAGCTATAGCTTCGTTAGGTAGCTCGTCATTCTTGTCTTGTTTTAAATCGCAAACAATTCAAAAGAAAGCTAATATTTATGAGGGGTAGAAAAGGATTTAAGATCTGATTAAAAAACACATGTATCATTACTATTAAAACCATGTCAAAATCTTACCCCTTACTTTTAAGTGAGGTCCCAGTTTGTCTTTGTTTTAAGGGCTGTGTACCCCTTGCCCTTGGTCCTTCCTCTTGAGAATTGGGGCACCCCTTTGTTTGACGTGAACATGCAAAACCGAAGGCTAAGGGGTAAGGCAAGGGCTACAATCAGGATTTGCCCTAAATCTCCATCAACCAAAAAATGTATCAGTCGATGAAGGTCAAGTAAAATCCATGATGTAGTCGAATGTGACCGTAGTGATTGTGTTGAGACCGATACACCACCCACTTCTATATGGAGAAAGACTGACTGATGTCATCCTGGGGTTTCTGAGGAGGTCTCATGAAGCTAAAAGATTTTCTTCATCATATCAGACATAAAGGAAATATAATCACCAACTAATGACAATAAACAGCAAAAACTTGAATTTGAGGCACTCCTGCTTATTTATGCATAACTCACCTCTGTATAAATCTCAAGACAAGAGAAATCAGGTCAAGAGACCAAAATCTGCAGATGTGTGTTTATCCGCTGCCAAAATGGGCATTTTACAAGGTCTTTTGTCTTTTAGAGGCAGCTAAGTGGACACTTAAGGAAATGGCAGTATTTTGAACTTCTGCTTTGGTTTCAATTTCCAACACTGCAGGTTACCACTTGAAAGTAATGGGCTTGTAAATGTGTCCCTGTGATCACGTCCGGCTGAGCACCTGACGGTAAAAGCTTTCTTTTCTTGTTTTGTTCCTCAGTCAATAATTTGTAACATGACAAGACTCTTTCCTCATGTGTGTCTCTGTCATTTGTAGTAAAATTCACTGATTCAGCCAGTGGAGACAACACATGACAGAAACAAAAACAGAAATCTATCAAAATGAAAAGTTTTCCAGATGAGACCGATATGAAACAAAAGCTCCTATATATCCAGTGATTGAAGAAACGATAGATGTGGTTCAATTGAGTAAAAATTCCACATTCTTCTAAAAACCATATGCTGATGTTGGCCTAATACTACAAAGACATTTCCACAGCTGATGTGGATCATTGTAATTGGAGCTATCGGCATCTTGGTTTGAGAGAGCACAGAAATTTGAGCCGCCCAAATAGAAGACAGCCTCATAAAGTCTATTTTATTAGTCTGACCCAGTAACCTGCTTCTCTGAAGTCAGTGTTGATTTACCTCAGGGCCGTATTATTTTTCTTTCTTTTCTCATCATCTTTAAGCTTTTAGATACCAAAAACTACAGGAGGAAGATCCTGTTCTTCCACTGCCTTCTGGATTTTGCCTCCAATAAATCAATAAATAAATGAAAGTTGAAGCATGCTTTGTTTTCGACAGGTAGATACTAAATCCTGTTACAAAAAAAGGTCCTAATTTAACCGTGGCACTTCTAAGCACAACAAGAGGGGAGCTTGCAAAACCTGGCAGAGGTATACTTTTTAAAATCCCACAAGATTTTACAAGACAACAAAGTAACGTGTCAGTAAGAGTCTGAGATCTCTCATTATAGACCAGAGTACAGGAATAAACCTCAGGGAGTGAAGCCCAGAGGTAGATCTGGCTGCTTGATGGTCTTTTTAAGTATAAGGATGGAAAACATGAGTGAAAATGAGTGGAAAATATGCATAGCATTATGGTTTTCACAGCAGCGTATACAGAGAACATCTGGGCCTCAAATGTGGCTGAAAAACAAGGTGAACACAAGTTGGGGACATTTTTTATTTTTGTTTCTTTTGTTCATGTTTTGATGAGGAGCGAGGACAGGCTCAGGAAATATAATCATGTTAAGATCGCACGTGACTTTAGACCTGGTGTTCTTCTTCATGATCTATATTTGGAGGACAGACACTTCACCGGATGAATCAGAGTTTACTAGAAACAGCCTCATAAAGCTCAAATGGGCACTGAGTTTATAGGTCAAAGATTAACTATCGAAAGGAGAAGAAAAAATCACAATTACAGTTTGCTTTAGTAGAGAGCTGTAAGACAGGGCAAAACAAATGTTATTCATGTTAGCTTAATCTGCAACATCTCCAAGTTTTCACCCTGGATCCACGTAGAGATTCGTAATCTGTAGGCTGCATTTCATCTGCAAACATGTTTGTGTCATTAAAGTAGTCTTAAAAAACTTAGAAGACCACAGCCCTCCTGAGGCATCTTTGGGTAAATCCTCAAATTTACAGGATGTCATTTAAATTTCTGAGTATTAAGCATATAAATCTTGACCTAGTGGGATGAGTAAGTGAAGCCAACACTGACTTAGATAAATCCTTATTTCCACTGTAGTCCACTGTCCTACTTAACTGTGTTTTTCATTTGCAAAAGTTGTAGATACAGGGTTTATTTTTTGTTCCTGGATCAAAATGAGGCTGAAGTGGTGCCCTCCTTACTGTGTGCCCACCCCACCACAGACTGTATAATCTTCATCACTGAGGCGAGACACTATGAGCATCACTTTGCTCCTCTTAAAAAACAGAGACAGTACTTCCTTTTAGTTCTTTTAAGGCTCCAAGTGAGCTAAGCAGGTACTAGTGGATGATGTAAAACCACTACAGACCTTCTTATGAAGACCAATGATGCTACACAATCCCATCAACCTCACGGCTGTCTAGTTAGAAAACACGCAAAGAGTGAAAGATGAGATTCACTCATCCCAACTTTTCACTCTCGACATATATGCTAAAGGTGAAGTATGGAACATTACATAAAGTTTTGGCCTTGTGCTGCGTTCTGACTGAACGCACAAAAGCGGAAAAAAAGAAGTAATAGGTCCAAAGTGGAGTTAAGTGGAGCCAATCCTATGCTATGTGGAAAAACAGCTCTATCAAAAGTTAAAAGTATGTTAAGGGAGGGGTTACGTAATCTCATCAGAGTTGAATATAGGTCAGACAGAGAGGTTTTTTGTTCTGGAACTAACCGTCTGCATGAACATTGGCAATTTGATCAAACTGCATCTGCTGATGAACAGACGGTGATTAATGGAGGTGACGTGCGAACAGGTGGACCCAGATTTGGGAATATTTTGTCATACTTTAATTTTAGAGGTAAGGAACGGGCCGAGGAATGAACTCACCACTCCTGACTCGGAGCTAAAGTCATAAAATCATTTGTGATTAAAACAACACATTCATCACACCCGTATACATGACAGCTTCACTGCAGAGACTCAGAACTGAGCTGCCTTTGTCTCTTTTTGTCTCTCTGAGGGCCTTTAATATCTTTGCTTCACGGTTACTGCTGATAAAACTGCAGGATATTAGTTATTTTTTATGTTTCTTTTGGTCTTTTAGCGCTTGAAATTAAATTTAAATCAACTATAGGAGGATCTTGGTTTCTTTTTCACATCTCTCAGTTGGCATGTGCTCAAACAACATAAATTCCCCGTCTGTAACATCTTGCTTTAGGCGGACTTCGAACTAGTGCGTGCTCATGGTACAAAAACTGATTTTGAATGAAAAGACTTTAGGCTCTGCTATCAAGCTTTAGACCCTCTGGAGCCCTCCAAATATTTCATACATTTGTGACTTTTACGGCTTCAATCTGGTCAAATCCTGGCGGGGTCTCGCGGTCTGAGATGTTTAGTGACACGGTTCTGAGAGCAGATACGGGTGACAGCCAAGAAGAGATGACGTGTTGATTTGAAACAGATTGATATTACACTGAAATGACAAGGTTTTGATTCTTTTCACAAATTGGGACATTTCAGGATATATGGCGACATTTACATGTGGAAATAATAGTCACATCTTTGCAGCAGAAATAGTGGGTCTTTTCATACATGAATTAAGCAATGTTCAAACTGTATCTCGTCGTGCCAGCCTCTTATGTTATTTCACCCTTGTCTTGTCAAATAACACAAAGTTTGGAGCAACACCGATGTAAAGCGAGCGAACTCTTGACTGATGAAGTGTGTCTTCAGGCTCTGCAGATAACTGTAATCCTGCCAGCGAATGGCCGTGGACCAAACTTTCCACTTTCTGCCTTGGAAATCTGGAGGCTGCAAAGTTTGACTGAATGGATTTACACAGATGGACAGGCAGATTTAAAACATGTGCCTCCGGTCCAAAAGACAGTGAATGAGGAGTCTTACGAGACAAGCAGAGGATGTGGTATTGTATTGTTAAAGGTCTCCCTTGGAGGTGTTGGCCTGCTTGCTTTGGACAGAGCCAAAGAAAAACCTCTAACTGGACAGTAAAACTTTTCCAAAGGGAGTTGTTGTTCAGTAAATACTCTGGAGATTCTGTTACAAGACATTGAAAGCCTGCTGGTAGAGATCTGTGAAATCTCTGAACCTCTCATGATGATGTTATTAAAGCATGTTGAGGGTGACAGACAACTTTCAATCATTCAGATAAGCTTAAATGAAAACCTGGGATGAATTTCTTTCTGTCTTTGTTTATCGTCTAACAAGCAACTTGAGACGCAAGAGTTAGTGTGGGAGGAAAACTGAACAACAGATTTGTTATTATTATTTTCATGCAGATTTCTGTGTACAGCCAAAAGCTAAACTCCTGTTAAACAATAATAAAGAGGTTCTAGGATTGCACTGCATCAGAAATGACAACAACACTGCTGTCCTGGTTGTTTAAAAGGAAATTCAAATTCTGTGAGAAAATGTGGGAAAACACATGAAACAGCCAAAATCGAGCACATGGCTAAACACATTACCGCCATATTTATGGAGGAACAATGTCTAATTGATTTGCTGTGTTAGCAGAGCTAGCACCACTAGCTCAGTATCAGTTAAAGGCAAGGTTAACGATCTGAGAAGCAGTTGAAAAAAACTGAGCCGTTGAGGCAGATTTGGAGCTAAGCTGCTACGCTAGTTTTAGCAGCTCAGAGCTTTGAGGAGAGCCGGGATAGTGGGAGGGGATGTGTTGGAACTAGGGGGTGTGTCGAATACAGCGAGGTGATTGGATGGAAAGGTGGAGCAGGAGATTGACCAATAGGAGCTGTCCGGGACGGACGGCTCCCATTGGTCAATGATTTTGGAGCCCCGCACCTACTAGGGTGAACAGATTTTTTCCATTCTTTTTTCTCTTCACTTTGTGGAGATCGCACTATAGGACCATGATCGCCATATAAACGAGGGTCATAATAATAACCAATCTCGCCAATCGTCAACCATGCCTTTAATGGACTATGATTTTAGATAGGGTTAGGGTTAGGGTTAGAGAGATCAAACCCTCAACCTAAAGATAAAGAGACCACCGACTCTACCACTGAGCCACAGCTGCCTCTCATCTGCGGTTGTTTACATCCAGGTAGGAGGGCATTATCACATAATGGCTGTAGCTACCATTTCTGCGTGATAGCTTTGGTAACATCTCATGCTGGCATTACAGGCCTATAATTGTAAAAGTGTTTATAATAACTTCATCCAACCTCTAATTATACTGTATTATTGCCAGGGCGATGACTTTAAATTGTTTGGTCCCCCAAATGTGGATAAACAAAAACCACAGCTGCAGCGATACAGACTCACAAAACTATCAAGGAGATCTAACCAATGGCTGCTGAATCAGCAAATGCAGAGGATAGGGGCCACTGCAGCAATAATGGACATGTTGTAAATGGAGGAAATATGATGCTACCCTTTGGACCATTTACAGGGCTTGGGATCTGTGTTGTTTCAAAAGGGTTGCTTCATTTTCAAGGAAGAACATGTACAGTGTTTTGGCTTCTGCATAGGTATGAGGCCGTGAACCTATGGCATACGCTACAGTGTAGATTCAGTGCAGAAGTATGAATCGGACTTTAATCCAGCATGAAGCATGACAGGTAATGTTTTCCTGGAAAGACTTTCAAATATCTATGAATATCTTCAAAATTGCACCGACAGCATGCCAAGCCAGCTTTATATTATTTTAGAGGAAAACCTGAATAAAGAGATCATCGCAACAAACGGAGGTATTTGAAGCATTCATTACACATGATGGCGAAAAAAGCACCGCTTTTGAGACAGAAAAAGAGAGACAGTCAACAAGAAAAGTTGTCCAGCGGCTTCTAAACTGAACAAGAACAACCACGTACATCTCTTGTCCAATGTGGATTTTTGCAGATATTCACAGACTGGAATAACCTCGCAGGCAGCTGGTCATGTAAGGGGATACAGTGCTCAAAGGGAGGCACTGGCTCTCACAGGGTTATGGCACAGAAGAACAGGAAGCATTATCTGATCGGACTACAAACTGCCCACCACTAAGTGATTTTCCCTTTAAATTAAAAAAGTTTTGGTCTTGGAGGCTTATATTTAGAAAAGAAAAGGTTGCAGTGTGATGAGTGTTTGTAGATGTAAGCAGCAGAGTTGTCTGAGTTCGTACACAGTGATGAAACATACATACAGTGAATGTAATATATTGTGCAAAGTAAATGCAGCTGTATACAGAAATACTGCCCAGAGCAAAATCCCCCTCCAGCATGATGAAGTATATGTAATCTTAATTACAACCAGATGCATCCATCCCACTCAAGCTTAATTGGGAGATGAAATTCTTTTATGACTACTAGAAGAAGTTGTGTGAGGTCACTGACAGACAGTTCACCCATCCTGAACTTCAGGAGGGTCCAAGTAAGCCCTGCTATGTGACCTCAGCCTGAGGACATCATTCCTTCTTTACAAACACTCTGAGTACAGAGTTAATAAAGATGTACAACCAGTTTACTTTATCAAACAATGACCAAAACCAGGTGTGTATTTTTGATGATCATGTGTGAGTTGTTTCTGGGGGCTCAAAAAAAATTGTATATTTTAAAAAATGCAAAGAAACTTCAAGCTCAGTCAAACTCTTTGGACTAATGATGTGACCTCTGACTGACTCCGCTCCACCTTGACCTCTTATCTTTGTTTGACACATTTTTTTCTGTCATACCTGTTTGAGATGTCTGACGAAAAGACCAAAAAGTGTTGTCTGCTTAAGTCAAGTGCTGAGACGTTTGAAGAAACAAATCAATTGACAAATTTGGAAAATACCTTTACAATTAGACCACAGCACTTATGAGGTTTGAATCAAGGATTAAAAGAAAGCAAAAGTGGTATGCTATCAAGTGACTAAGCTTTGTAGAGAGCTGGTTTGAGTAAAAGGACTTTTAAAATCTAAGACAACCGATCAAGGGGAGGGTGTGCCAAATCTCAGCACACTGGTTGCAGGCAGTATACGTCCATATCACAACCATTACTGCTACCATAAGCTGAGCTCAACTACCATACAAGCAGAGATTAAAAGATAGTTCTGGAAAGGGCTACGTGTCTGCATGGAAACTGCACATTGCTGAACACCAAGGCAGTCTTCTGGTAGGTGTACAGATTCAACCATTTTCCTTCTGGTAGCCCCCTCGAAACAGACTGACTGCAAACATCAGAGCAACTTCTATTCTGGGTTTTAAAGTAGATAATTATAGATTTGGATTCTTACATAGTGTTTACTGGGGTGTCAATGCAGAGCTAACAAAGGCCAACATCTTAGAATGTCTGACTGCCCTGAGTTAAGTGATATTAGGTCTTTGAATCAACAAGATTATCAACTGAGGTGATTGAATGTTTAAAATTTGACTGATGCTTCATTTCAAATGATAAAATCTTTTGGTTTAAAGGGAACAGTAGAGGTTAAAGGTTAAAGTCAGTTCTTACCTCTGGTTTGGAGGGGTTGAAAGTCACACTCAGCACTGTGTCCGAATGCCTCTGAAGTTTGTGGAGGTAGCTGCTGCTGCGGATGTCATACACATAAGCCTGAAATACATAAGATAAAATACAAGCAGGCATGAACTTTGACCCCGCAAAAGGAACTGATAAAGCATATGATAGAAATAAAGTATGCGAATCAGTTCAGCTGACCCACTTCGTGACAACAATATGGAAGGGAACTGAACAAGACTCATACATCACGTGCAGAACGACACAATGCAAACAAAGTCAAGTTACAGACACGTGCAGATGTGAACAAATGCAGATTTGTTTTAAGGATTGATCCAACTTTTTAGGTCAAACTTGGTGCTCATCCTGTTTAAAATTCCCACTTAAACAAAACAGATGTAAATGTTTTTTCAGGCACATACGTCTCCAATTTATTGTCATTTATCTCTGAGAATCTGGGTCAGCTGTGATAAAAAGTTGTTTTGATGGTATTCTTAACGGCATTTAAGAGTTTAACATTTCCTGGCAATCGCGCAGGGACAGGGGTGTAAACTGCTCTGCGTGTGATGGAAAGCTTTTGAATTTTCATCTCAGCCCACAATAAATTCAGTCAGTCACCTCTTGTGAAAAGAGCTCCCAAGCTAGCCTCCAGCTCAGCAGCCGATGCTTCGAAAACATTTTGGTTGCACAGCCAACGATTGTGAAATGGTGCGTGAAACTCAGCCATCGTATTTTACAGACTTAACACAAAGAAGTTTACGGGTGTAACTCTTCTCATGAAGAGATGGTTACATGTGTCAAAGCGAAAAAGTGGAAACTAGTTAGTCATATTGGATCATATTTGACTGGAGTGGTGGTGCATCATTGTTTTGTACTCAAAGTTTCAAGTGAATGAAATCCAGCTGTCAGCTTTAGGGGGTCCAAAATGAGGCTGATTCTGACCTGATTTTTGAGTTGATGGAAGGGCGGATGCATATTGGGCATGTCAGATATCTAAGTCTACTAACTGCACACTCTTGCACAGTAAAAGCACAAGCTGATTTCTGACTTTAGGGCATATTTTTGTGATTGCACCTTCATAAAACAGAAGATAGCATCTGAAAGCATCATGGCACTACGCCACATGATGTCGACAACTGAAATCACATCGACACCGTACGCTGATTACCCATGACATTATGACCACATGTGCAGTCTGATGCAGCCCAACACAACAGCTCAAACACGAATTCTCCTTTTCTGATGCTTCTACGTTTTCAGGGCTTGTTGTCATGGTGTTGTCATGGTGTTGATTGTACTTGACACTGATGATTTCAGTTGTTTTTCTGACTTCAACAACTTATCGACTGTCATAATATGTTTTGTTAATTTAGTTTTCTCCTCGTGTTGTTTATTTGAGTTCTATTTTGTGTATTTTCCCTAGTATTTCTTTTCCCTATTGTTCCTGTTCTGTTGATAAGTTTTCAGTTCTTCCTATTTTATTTTGTAATAGTCCATCCTTGTGTGTACAGTCTTGTTTTACTCCCTCAGTTTGCCCTCCTCTGTAATTGTCTGCACCTGTGTCTCAGTGTCTCACCTGCCTCTCGTTGCTCGTTTCCCTGTGTGTGTATATATAGTCCCTGTCTTCACCTATTTCCTTGTTGGTTCATTATGTGTATGTATACCTCTGTGGATTCTTGTGTCCGCTGTTGCTCCCTGTGATTTTGCCCCTAGTGATTTTTGTTTCTTTGGATTTTGCTTCTTAAGTTTTTTGCATATGGGAATTTTTCTGTTGGACATTTAAAGTAAGATTGTGTTCCTTTTTATTTCATTCTTTTAATCAATACATTTTTCTGTTCTGTAATGGGTCTTTTTCTGTGTTTAAGCCTGCATGTCGTGACAGTTGACAACTGTCAAAACTCTGTCTATGAGCGCATGAATCAGAAGTTTTAGCCGTGAATGCTTTCCTCATAACTTTCCTGCACCTGCAACCTCAACCAACAGTAATGCCTTGATTTGCTCACACACCCTAACATACACTCCTACATCTCTGCACAAGGCAAGCAATAAGACTGCACTTTAAATTGAAAATGGACTCATGAAAAAACTCACTGACAAGTTTTAACAGTTAAAAAATTGAATAAAAAGAGGATGAACTGAACTGATTAACAATTTGAGTCGACTCTTTGAAATATCTGTTTTCCCTTTTTCCTAAAACTTGTTAGTTCAAAGTTGATTTGAAGTTTCAAACTTTTGGACATTCATTGGACATCAACACAAACATTTGAAGGTTGTTGTTTTTTCCAAATAATTATTTAGCCTTGTTTCTTTTCTAAATACAATCAGTGAGTTTTACGATCATTTACTTCAGCGTGATGAGGAAAGTTTTAAACAGATGTGGTAATGGCTGTTACATCCACTCATCAGATTCCTGCAGCTGTTACGGATTAAATTCTCCAAAAAAGCTCCTCATATGAGCTCTGTCAAATCGTCTGCGGGCAAAGTGTCTCCTGTCTGGGGCATATGACATGTGTGGCGCTTAACACGGTATTAGATACTAGGAAGAAAATCTTTCAGGACGGCCCTGATAGCAAATAAATCCCTGGATAAATCAGATTATATTCACAGTAAGTGAAGCAGGTGCAGAGCGAGAGAGCCTAGGATATGAAAATGTCATCAGTATATTTGGTTAACAATTTGAAAAGCAATACTGTGTTTAAATAATCTTTATTTGTGCTTGACCATGAGTCAAAACACAGGAAGATGATACAAATCTCAACTGAATATACAACAGTTTAATATCGCCCACGCTGAAATCATAATCCACTTAGATAGTTTTTGGCTTTAGGCTTATTGGAAAATCTGTAATATGATCTGGGGAGTCTTTTTAGGGGAATCCAGTCCCCCTTTTTTTTTCCATGACTGCCTTTTGAAATATTGAGACAAGTACAAATGTGTCTGGCTCGTGGAAGTCTCAGGGCAGCTACAAATAAATACGGTGCAGCTCGCTACCATACGCTCCCCCAATTTCCAAGAAACGCTGGAAACGTCGGACCTCAACAGAGATGCTCTCAAATGTCTTTGCTGAACCGAGTCCCCATAATTAATAATAACCAGCAGCGTGCATATATTATTCCACTACTTTCAGCGAGCACGTACACCGAGAGGAAAGAGGGATGGATACGGAAAAGGGAGGCCTTCTTCAGAAGTTGTCTTGAATGTGAGGCGCAGTCTGGAAAAGCAATTAAATAGTTCAGCTTTGACATGAGTGTTGAGTTTGACTTCTGTGGAAAAAAGGCTGGAGTCCAAATAGAGATGTCTGAGTGAAGCCAAAACAGTCCTCACCTTAGATGGAGGTGAGACTGATAAAGAAACGGGGATGTTCTCACGATCCTGTCCCTCATAAGTAGTAAAATCAGTGTCTTGTTAAAAAAGCTCCCTCGCTCACCTGTCCTGTTAGTGAAGCCCCACAAGCAACAAGAAGCTTCTTTTATGGATGATGAGTATAAATCATCATTCATCAATAATTTTGGGTATTGTATTCAATATCTACCGAGTCTGTGCTTCCAAATGCCTTTAAACACCACACACTGCACCTTTAAACAGAGGAGAAATCCTAGTTAGGAGAGTTCAGTACTGGAGCTTACACAGTTATCCTCGGAGCCCGTGGCAATGAACCGACCACATGGAGAGATGGCTGACGAGCACGGATGGCAGCGATTCAGATGGTTCTCATAGCGGCGCACACACCTGAGGAAAAGATGGAGACAGTTTTGAGAATTAATGAACTAAATCTGACCAAATTGTATTTATAGAATACAAAGTGGGTCAAATCTAATCAGACCATGTCCAGGCTTTTGTAACATCAAGTATACTGTGTAAAAGATCATGTAACTGAACTGAATGCAATAGAGATGTCTTTGATATGGGCATGAAGAGTGTATAACCTATTAGTGCAGCAGCTTTCTGGTTGAAGTGACCCATAAAATGAACATTCAGAGTCTGTTAGTAGACAGAATTATGACTGTAATAAACAACGAGCAACGTGCCACACTCCAAACTTCACGTTTTACAAACATCTGATCCAGCTGAAGACACGAACTTGAGCATGACTCAAGCAAAACAGAGGAAAAAGAAGGTTTCTGATGACAAATAGCCCCCTTGTGCAACTCCTGTGCCGTTTGTTTTGCTTTGCAGCAGCATGTAATGTCTTTACAATGTCACTAAAAGCTAGCTGAGCAAGGGTCTCTACGGGCTGGCATGTTGGCAGGGCCGGGCTCAGACTGCATGCTTTTTTTTAATTCACATGTTTATGTCATTAAGCTGGACTGAAAGTAGGTCACATTCAATGGTGACTATAAAAAAATCAGATGTTTTCTCAGAACCAGTTAGCAGGTTAATGCAATCGCTTAGCAATGAATAACAACATTATGAAGTTTATAATGTTGTATTATTTAAGTGGTTGTCTCACTTGGTTCCAATTTGTGGCAATTCTGAAAGTTTTTACATGCGCTCATTTTAAAAGACATAAGTTTTCTTTGGCTGCGCCTGAAAACCTAATTAGACGGTAGGTCTCAGCTCAAATACCAAAATATACAAAAGGCAACCTAACTGGAAAGAGAGGAGTTTGGGTGAGCTATAGGCAGAGTTTGAAACACAATCAGTAAAAATTAACATCAGGGAAGCTGGAATACAGTGTAAAATCCTGATTATAAGCAACTTTGAATTGGTTTTCCAATCATTTGAACCCAGTGTGGTATCCAAAATAGCATAAAGACATCACAACAAATGTTTAAACTGAAAAGCTTTTTGTTTTAAGAAATTTCATGCCAGTAAAACTTGGACAAACATCTACAAATAAGGTACATTTGTATCAAGTAAGTGACATGAGGGGTATAAAGAGGGTGCTCCAGAGGGGCTAAGTCCTGTGGATGTCATTATATGAAGAGGTTGTCCACTCTGAGAGAGGAATCCTGTGTCATGGTATGTTCTGTTTAGATAAGTTCCTGGTTTTATTTCAGTTCATTCTGTGTGTTTTTCCTAGCGTTTCTGTTCCCTGTTGTTCCTGTGATCCTGTCTTGTGAGTTTTCAGTTTTTGTTTGACCCTTTTTCTCTCCTTTTCTCTGTGTTTTATTCTTTAGCTCAGTTTTCAGTGTTTCCTGTTTTATTTTGTAGTAGTCAATTCCTTGTGTTTCTAGTCTGGTTTTACTTCCCTAGTTTCCCCTCCTTTGTTAATCAGTTAACGAGTTTCACCTGAGTCTCGTCTGCCTCACCGTTTCCCAGTGTGTATATAGTCCCTGTCTTCTCCTCTGTCCTTGTTAGTTAACTGATTGTATGTCGATGCATTTGCTTGTGTCTCCTGTTGCTCCATGTGATTTTGCCCCCAATAATTCTTGTTTCTTTGGATTTTGCTTCTTGTGTTTTTGGCATTTGGGATTTTGTTGCTTTTCTTTTAGTTCCTTTTAAATAAATCCTTTTTGTTCTGCATTTTGGGCCATTTCCCTTTTTGTTTGAATCCAGATCATGACATCCTGGGCCCTAAAATGGCACTGCGTTAAAAACAGACATGACTCTGGAGTGGAAATCACTGCATTTGCCTAGAACCACTTCCATTTGGTCCAGAAAATGTAAACCAAGTGAACTGTCCTGAGGTTTATGAATGAAAACCTAACACTTATTGGATATAATGGACACTTTGTTGCAGCATCCATGTTTAGGAGAGGCACTATTAATACTAAACGACATAAGTTTCAAGGTGCTCCACCCATATTTTTGTGATCTGGGCTAAAATTAAATAGTGTTTCTGATTTCATTCAGATTGTCTTTTATTAAGAAGTATATTTAAAGTCAAATAGGCAATTTATAATCTTTGTCAGAGCTACTTGATTCTCTTAAACTTGTGTTTGTTTGAAAATCCCCTTGGTATATCTGGGCAGTCAGGCCGACAGCAGAGCCGACACAACCTGTCACAATCACACTGATAAGAAACAGGTTAACCAGGATGTGTAAACACTCTTCTGGTTTTCTAGGTCAGAACGTAGATCTGATGTTTTGACTGGGAGAGAGGAGATGCCGCTGGAGCCGATTCCCCCACACACACGCATTGTCCGTGTTCGGTGAGTGATGACTCTCTGGTATTTGCCTGATGACAAACACAGACTGCACTTGAGGGTTTGATCCTCTTAAAGTGGAGCCTATACTGTTACTGAATCCACCTGGGTATTCAGCGGTAATCAGCAGGATAATCATAGCTTATTTCATACAGCCAAAATATGTCACCCAGTTTAACTGTGTCAGTGCAAATCAGGTGAAAGCGTACCGTTCCTTGTGTCATTTGATATAAGTAAACATGCATACATTATATGAAAAATATGTTGCCCTGTTTCTATTTATCAGAGGATGGAAATTTAACCAGATCAAGGAACTCTGAACTAAGACGAAACAGGCCACCATCTGCTCTTTCTATCTCAAGAATCAGTATCCGATCTGGTCTGATCCCACGCTAAAGGACCCCCCAAATTCTTCCTCACGTGAACCTATCATTTGAAAATGTCAGAGGCCGATTAAGAGTGGCTGCTTTAGGAACTGCGGCCAATCAAATGGTTGATATCGTTCCAAAGACTCAAAATGTGCCAAAGCTTCAAAAACCATAAACCTTATTTTATCTGTCCCAGCGGATACACGTGGGTTTCAAGCATGTTTGTGTTTCTGTCTGAAAAGGAAAGGGTAAGGAGAGTTAAGGTAAGAGAGCAAAAATCAAATAAGCGTTCAGCTCCAGAACTTTCCAATGAGTCAAGTATGCATTTACTATTGAGAGATTCCTGGAAGAACCCCGTTTTGATTAAAGAACGACATTACAAGGCTAATTTTGTGACTAAGAACTCTTGCCGGTGGAGTTTTACAGGAACACTATTATACTGTTGGTTGTTTTATAATGGGTGTGACCAAGAGTAATACGAACAGGGAAAACTTTCTTCATCAAGAGTGTTTACAGATAATTACAATGATGCTCAACGTCATTGTAATTGGCTCTGATAAAATCATGATGCCAGATTTAACGTGACTGTTTAATCAATCAGGTTTTGCTGGGAAATCCCTCGTCTCTTTAACCTCCAGAGAGATTACAGGAAGCCAAATTTCTTTCCTAAGTTAGAACTCTAGTTTTGACCCAAGTGGAAAAGGTTTGTGGACATTTCCTTCCAGATGACTGTGACAAATTTGATAACTCAAGGACGAGGTACTTCTTGGCGTTAACTTTTGAGGATGCTCCAAGGCAGGCATATCCAAACTATTCCACAAAGGGCCGGTGTGGCTGCAGGTTTTTCTTCCAACCAAGCAGCAGCAAACCAGACTTGATTCATTTCATCAGCTGATCTCAGTCTTCAGACAGCTGATTGGTCAGACTGCATGCTCTTGATTGGTTGGAAGAAAAACTTGCAGCCACACCAGCCCTTTGTGGAATAGTTTGGACATGCCTGCTCCAAGGCAACTGATTTCCATCTGAGAGGGTTACTAAAGTCTAAAAGTCATAATTGATTTCAATTTAATTGACACAGCTAAGTAATGTCAACCTGGTTGGCAGAGCATGACTAACAATAGCAGAGCTAGCACTACCAGACTTTGGTCCTCCTCGCGGGTTAGCTTCCACATGCTGGTTACACTGGGGTGACCATACTCTGAACACCAAAAAAGAGGACACAACTACGCGGGGACGGAGTCACGGAGTTGCACGAAGTTAATTTAGAGTTTTTCAGGTCGGATCGAGTGTCTTTTAAGCACTTCTAACTCAGCAAGTCTACGTGACACAAACTCAAAACTTCTGTCAAAAACCGCGGACATTTGAATAATTTTATAAACTTCCCCGCACAAAGCTGGACAACTCCGTACAGCCCCCCCAAAAGAGGACATATCCGGGTAAAAGAGGACGCATGGTCACCCTGGGTTACACATCGCTCTAGTCAAGTATTGATAAGCCAGTTTAACCAGACACACTACCAAGGTGACCTACACTACAGGAAACCATCTCTCATCTGTGTGTTTACATCCAGGTAGGAGGAAGCAGATCATGACCGCATTACTGCAGCAGCCACTAACTGGAGCTGATGGCAGGAGGCGGCACTATGACTGTCGTTGTAGACCTGCAACATTAAAATTATTAGTCATTTGTTTAGTTGATTAGTAGCTACTAACGAAGGGAGTGGGATGTTAATGCTGATGGTTACTAATTGAGGAATTTTGTGGGTATTTTCAATCGACCGACATAAAAGTTTGCTTTTGATTTGACTGCCTTAATTTGTTTTCTAATAAATCTTTTGGGTTTTTCAGGAAGTCCATTCTTTGTATCAGACCTAAAGCTGAGAATTGATGTAACTACTTACATTATCTGAAGGAACCACATAAAATAAACTCATATGAATGTTAACAATGTGAACTGTAACTCTCCTTGTGATCACGAGCTATGGAATCCACACGTGAGGTTTATTAAAGACAGGAAATAAAATTAACCGAGCGGACAAAATGAAAAACGTGCTCCCCTGTTTGTTTTCATAGATCCATATGTTTCACCCCAGAGGACCCGTGTCTGCTGAGGGGGGCTTCAAAACAGGTCTGAGAACCAGGATTTGACCTGAAAACCAGGCACAAATATTTATCAGATAGAAATGAGGTTTTGATAGAGTCTGGGATGAGGAGTTAAAACATGGAAGCAGTCTCAGACAAGAAAGACCAAAATACTCAATAATGCTTTCCATGGAGGCCAAAGGGAACATTCTTAAATCCAAGAGAGTCTACTTGAATTAGCAGCCTTATAAGGATCCCTACTTCTCTGAGCCAAAGACAAAGACATGCGCCTCAGACAGTTAATGATTGCTTATTCCCTCATCAAACGAGGAATGTTTATGTTAGGGAAAATGTTTAATCTCGTTAGTTCGTAAGGTAATTTTTCACTCCATGGAAAAGCAGAGGAATAAAAAACAGTAATTATTCAACTTAAATGAGCTTTAACAGTTGTGCCGCCGAAGGAGGTGAAATTTTGACTGATTTAATGAATCTACTCCTCGACTACTCTGAGATTAAAGGCATGGGATGTAAAGTAAACACACAAATGCAACATATTACAGAGAACAATGCCAGCCCAGAGAGCAGTTTTCCCTTTAAAAAAAACATTAAAAACACATGTTTGGCTGAGGGCTGAGTGATAAATTGATTTGATCCATTGAATCGTGTTTGGGATTCAGGATGATTTCTAAAAATTAGAATCAAGATTTTCTCTCTTTCTTCAGCAGTGAGAGCGTTTCCCCTGCTGTGCTGCAGACAGGCTCAGTCCTGCAGTATGCGGTATTATTGCACAGATCTGTTTATCTATGGGTATTTAAATATTGGGGTTACTTTTTTATTAACTGTTAATATGGGTGTTATTTTAAAAAATGAAAATGAAAACCTTTTACTACTGTTTCATTTTACTATAACCTTGTCATTTTCATTTTACTTGACTTCACGCTGTGTTGGGGATGATGTGTCGGTCATAAACATCTGCTCTCAAAAACGGATCTATGAGCTGTTTGGGAGCTGAAAAAAAACAGTTCTTGCTGAGCTAGAATGATCTGGATCATTAAAAAGGGCCTGAATTCCCATCATTAGCAGCATTTACACTGAGTTTGCTTTCCTGAGGTGGAGTGATTCAAAGCCTGCTCTTACAGATCATGGATGATTTGTGCAAACCCAAACGGCCTTTGTGGATTTAAAGTAATCCCGGATTGTGGGGACCCTTACTGTTGCGGAGGAGGAGTGGACTGTTGGACTTTCAAAGGGTTTGAACCGTAGACTATATATACTATGGACAACTTGGTTCCGCCTCCCGTCAGTTTACAGATTTGAAGCCAAAGAGCTCAGTAGCGTTGTACGCATTCAGCGGGAGAGTTGCCAAGAGTCGCTGTGATGACGTTCGGCTCAAACAGCGTATCCCCGGGTGAGCTATGCAATTGTCGTACACCCATAGGCTATATCAAGTGTCAATCATAGAAAACCTGAACCTCCAAATTACTTTTGAAAATGGAGCTGCACAGAAAAAAGAGGACTTGAGCACAAACCAGTCTTACTGTAACTACATGTCAACATCACAACCAGGGGGGAGAAACATTCATATTCCGTGTTATAAATTTCTAAAGTTTGTTCACAGCCCCATAAGCTTTGCTGGCAGAGGTGGGATTTATGACCTGCACTGCAGCCTGCCAATAGAGGGTGCTGTTCTCTAAATGGTTTCTTCTTCTTCTTTAACATCAACTTTCACTTCCATTTCTTGGTTTTTATGTGAAACACGTATTGCGTGTCAGACTGTATGTCGCTGATGACCATAGCGACAGCTGCCTCATCATCGCCCCCTAGAGGACTACTTGTTTTTAATCATTTCTTTGACTTTTTTAACTTAAAATGTTCAAGAAGGGAAAAAAAAAATAAAATAAAATCTAAATTAATTTTGGTGAGGAAAAAAAGGGATTTATTCTAATAAAACATGTCGTGTTGCTGAAACATGTTAAAATGTTTCATGGTCGATACAAAGATGTTTAAGATCATACATTAACCCACAAATTAACAATGATTTTAAAGCCACAGCTCTTACTTTTGTGGCCAGAATGATTGGATTATATTGCTTTACAGTCGCTAACAAATTACTCAAAGAAGATGGTTGGATGTGAACTCGTGACTTCTGGTGTGCCAGTCTGCTACCCATCACGTTCAACTGCCTGGCAGCTTCTATTAACGCCAGTTGTTCAGTATCATTCAACTTTATAAGCATCCAGGGGTCTGTCTACTGTCAAAGTCGAGGCTGTTCAGCTTTAACACCAGAGCACACACAGTCATCATTCTACCGCCTCAGTAGAGGATGTGTACAACTGCTTTGAAACTTCTTTTCAATAATTAACAGCCAATACTATAGGACATTTGTCTGACTGTATAGAAAATGTGAAACGTGAAGACTCCAAGATTTAAAGGTGCAGTGTGTAGAATTTAGCCACATGTACTAGAATAGATAGAAATGGAAAACAATATTCAAGTGTGTTTAAATTAGTGCACAATCACTTAGTGTAGCTAGCTCGATCTCTAGCCATGACTCTTTGTTGCATGTCCACTCTGAGCTTCCCGTATTTCCTGCCTAACCATATGTCTTATCTAATAAAGGCAAAATACCCCCCAAGAATGAGCTTTTTATATGTACAAAGGAGTTGATCCCCATGGAGGCCTCATCTTGCACCACCATGTTTCTACAGAGGCACTTAATAACCAAACTAGTTAAAGTTCAATCGTACCATCCACCTGAACTGTACCAGTAGGAAGACAAATAAAGGGTTTTGACTGTTTTTGTGCATAACAGACTTTGTATTGATGAACGTTTCTGATGGTGAAAATTTGACGAAAAGAGGATCATACCTGTCATGCGAACAAGCGCTTCTTATCTCTGAAGGCTGACACTGTTTCGTCAAGGTAACAGGGGAAACAGACCTCTGGATTCACTAAATATTCCTATTTCTTCAAACTTAAAACTATCTCTGGAAAACTACTTTGAAGACGCACTGTCACAAAACCCAATTCTGTCCTCCTTTCACCCTCAAAATAAAGTTCTCTGAATTATACGATAAAATATGTTCTACAACATGTCACAACTGTATTTTCACCACTTAAATAAGATTAAAGGTCTGTAATCTTGGCAAATCAGAGTTTAAAATGTTTTGCCAAGTGTCTAAAATGTGTCGAAAAAGTGAATTTATTAAGTACAAGAGCAGCAAAAACACCTGCGCTCTGCTAAATGATCCTGAGTCCAATTTTTCTTCTGGACAGCATGAAGCTGAACTGGTTCAGGCGTATTCAGTTAATATAAATACACAGAAATAACAGTTTTCTGACCCTGCTTCCACATTGAAGGTGTATCTGTTACAGTTTCAACAGAGAAGACTATAAAAATACAAACCTAAGTGTGCGGAGGTCCCAAATCTTCATACCATCTGTGACTGCGTTGGTGAGGAAGAGGTTGTACGAATCCGGTGCTTGTGCGCTGAACATGGAGCCCTGGGAAATACACACAAAGAGAAAAAATGACTAGTCAGCACATGCTTGGCTGAAACAGGTTGTAAATCTCATTGTCCAATACTGGGAAAGTTGTTATACGTCTTAAATCAGCAAATAGTTTTCACATCGTGGCTTCAGTGAGGTATCAGCAGGTAACATAACAGAAAATGTCAGAATTAGAGGCTGAAAGAAAATCGGTTAATTGTTTTTCTGTGCACTTTATGGAGCTAAATTAGTTTCCACCAAGTGTCCATACATAGATTCATGAATGACAATCACACCAAGTGATCAGATGATACAGTGGAGAGTGTGTGTGTGACGGAGCGAGAGTGATGGGAGTGCTTTTTGTTTAGATTTCCATTAAGAGTGTGAGAACGGCAGTCTGAGAGGGCATTTCCAGTTCCATTTTCCGAGAACTCCTCTGCTCTGATGAGTTCCAGGTGAACCTTGCAGAAGGAGCCATGGAAATTTGAAGTGGGAAAAGCTGCCTCACATGCTGCAGTTCCTGATGTTTTGTCCGGGAGCACGAGCGAGGGGAAGAGTGATGTTATGTGTGCAGTCCTCAGGCAGGGGCAATCCCTCTGATCCGCAGGTATTAACCCTGCAGGCCATCAAAAAGGCCCTTGGGCATCCAGATGGAGGACCCCACATTGACACAACAGCCCAAGCTGAAACAACACTCCGCAATGTATGGCACACAAAAGCCTGGCGTGACAAAGAACAGACGTCTATGGGTTGAAGGAGTGGAGTCAGCTGCATGTACGGGTGCATCGCACTTGAATGGGTTAATGGATTTAATCCACGCCACTAGCTGCTGTTTGTCCAACTAATCCAGGCAGGCATGAGAGGCAAGTTTGCACAGGTCAACATGCAAAGGTGAGTAAAGTCAATACGCAGGGGTCACAAGGTTCAAGCCTCTCTCGCAAAAATACTCACTTCTCTGTTTTCCAGCGAGTTATGTAAGATTCAGCGAAAAACTGTGGGTTTTGTTGCAGTTGCAAAGCTGGCAAACATTCATATGACTTTATATGGAGAGAGAGAAACCAGGACCCTCATTACTCACTAAAATACGATAGCCATACAGAGCTGTTGATGCTTTGCAGAAAAAACCCCAATCCATGAATTTATGACCGGCGTTCAAAGTTTCATTTTGAGTGATGCATTATTACACTCTTCATAACACCATAATGGAGGTGGAAACAGGCCCAAGCTGTCTACTTGTTAGACACCAGCAAATTGGGCCCACATTGGTCCAAGACAGTGATGGGGGAGTAAGGCTATATAAACCCAAAGTGCATCATGGAACAGCTTAACTCCAAGGCCATCATCCAGCATGGAATCTCCTCCTGACATCTTCTGCGGCGGTCTTAATCCTGATACACCGGGGATTCGCATTCAAACACTCAGCAAGATGAACGATCCTGCTGACGGCAGGTCCCGTCTGTCCGTCATGGAAACTTCTCACTAACCATGACCTTTTTTTTGACCGTGACCTTCTTCCTTCACACCACCGGCTAACGTTTCTATTCCCTCAAAGACAATCTGCGCCTTATGTAACTTTTAAAAACTCTCGTTGATGTCTTATGTAACACTGGAACATTTGCCAAGACGAAGACCCTTCAAGAGGAGGATGTAAACGAGGCTCTCACCACCAACTGATGCCGAGCTAGGGTTATCATATTTGGCAACAAAACCACTTAAGAAAAAGGAGGATTGGGTGAAAATCAGATGCATTAGAGACAAGCATTTGTCAAGAAAAGGCAAATTTCCTTCGTTAAGAATGACGTAACAGTTGGACACGTGTGGATTAAAAGTCCTTCTGATATTCTAACTAAGTTATCCTCTTATCAGTCACAGACACTACAGAGTTTAAACCCAATAGTTTCCACTTTTCTTTATAAATGCTACTTAATTACGTCACTTTAAGCCAAGGCACACTGCCTTCTACATCTGTTTTCATTTTGGACCTGTTTAGAAGATCTGATCTTAAAACGAGAAATAATGAGAAACAATCGAGTCGAGTTCTTAGTATTTTAAAATTGCTCATCCCTAAAAGTTTAAGCAATTACCAGATATCCAATGCTTATGTCGTTTCGTTCGCTTCACAGTTGCTGTCACAGCTGAATTTAAATTTTATTAAAAATCTGCGGGTCTTAGCGAGGTGAAAGCTGTTACTTGATTAACAACAGCAGCCCGTCAAAACGTGCCGATTTAAAACATTAAAAAAAAAGTGCTGGGGATTATCTTCTTTTTCCAGCTGATGTTTGCGACTAGATCGCATCAAAGTAAATTTACATAAGCACAGTACTTCCATTTTTATTACTGTTTAAGTACATTGTGAGTATTTGACTATTACGCCCCAATAAAGGGGGACTTATTGGGCTGAAAAATGGGGAAGTTGTTTGCACTGTCCTCTCACAGCAAGAGGGTTTTTGGATCAAATCCCAGGCTGGATAGGGGCCTTTCTGTGTGGGGGTTTCAGGTTCTCTTCAGGTACTCTCCTCTCACGGTCCACAAACCTGCCTATCATGTTAATTGGTCACTCTAAATTGGCTGTAAATGGCTTTTTTCCCCACATGTCAGCCCTGTGATAGGCTGGCAGCCCGACCAGAGTGTACCTGGCCTAACACCCTATGACAGCTGGGAAGCTAGTGTAACTACGATTCTTTCTTCCCCCTACTTTTGCTCTCAAGTCGTACCCACCAGTATCAGATGATCATAATCACTTTTTAATTTATTTTTATTTTACTTTTATCTTCCTTTTAGTCTGTCTGTTTTCATTGGAGGAATAATATAGCCTTACCTTGATCTGTGTGATGCAGTGGACTGCTCTGCTGTGGGCGTCGGGCAGCTCTGAGGCGATGGTACCTTTGTTCATGTCGAATACCTGAAGGGACCGATCTGAACCACACACCAGAACAATGTCTGGAAAAGCTCATAGGAAAAACATCATCTTCGTTATTAAGACACTTTAGTCCTGCTGTAGCTGAAACTGGAATGAGCCTTATCTTCAGATTTTTGTTAAATTTGGAGCAGGATTGCTAGATAACCTTTGGTGAGAGTCTCAACTTTCCTATATTGCACTTAGGCCAGCATTAGAAGTTAGTGCTGAGTTAAGCAGATAGTCAAATATGACAGTCTGCTTTTTCAGCCAGAATCATCTTTCCATGCTGCGCAGAAGTATTCAAATGTCAGCAAGTCTGCAAGTGTTTTAAATATATTTTAATGCCCCAGTCTGATACCTTTCCTGACTTTCTTTTTATGTCATTATAGAAGTGAGGGGAGTCTTTTTGAGTTTTAATTCAAATTCACTTTTTACTTTAAGAAAATCTCAATTTAAAAAGATGAAATCTGACAGATTCATTCACTTATTCAGTGTATGAACTGCACTTTTTGTAACCAGTGTATTTTCATCTTCAGTTTGCTAGGTAAAGTCACATTGCTGCAACATGACTCCTGACTGGGGCTCATTCATCCAAATGCGGCCCAATTTAGCTGAGGGAGTTTATTGTAAGACAAAACCCCAAACAACAAGCTGGAATGCAGACATTCCTGAAAAATTAAAGACAACTTGATGGTTTACAGGTAAAGTCGGTGGTGGAAGCCTCGAGGCAGCATTTGAAGACTTTATGAAGCTCAGACTGATTACTGTGGTTTACATGGAAGTGATCCAAAGAGATGCTCAAAGTAGAGATGCCTGAGAAATTGTTTGCCCACCTTAGTTTTATTGCAGTATAAAGCGAAACGCCTCCTGCTGCGACAACAGAAACAATAACAGGAAAAAGGATACGAGAGTAGAAATCATTGATGGCAGACAAGGCGGTGATGTCTGTTGTGGATGTTGTCGTAAAGCGCCTTGCCAATTCGACAACACTCCGCTGATGGTATCTAAGACGTAGAAGATGTTACAACAACTTTTAACCCAGTAAAAGTCTCAATACAACCAACATTTAATCAACATTTACTGCTAAAGGACAGAATATATAGACTCCAGAACAACCCCTGAAAGCTTACAGCACAACATAAGGCATTCTGGGTTGTGAAGATTGTCAAATCTAAAGGATAAATAAAGCCAGAGCCCAATCAAATTAGTAGCAAAGCTCGCAAACAGAGCAAAGCTAACTCCCAGAATAACTTAAAAAAGGTGAAACATTAAAGCAGAAATTTGAACACAGAGGCAGAGTAATGTTTTAAAGGTCTGAAGAGATCCTCTTTGTACCCTTAAAGTATTAAATCCTCCTCATGACTGATCAGAGACAAACAGCTTACTGTGCAACTCTGCGGTTTCAGTGCATGCTAGGTCATTGTGCAACACAGTTTAATATCTTTTGTATTTAATGACTCTATAACAATGTGTTATGTAAGAAATGTACCCCTGATTAAATGTGCACAATGTTTGTACAGCCTAAGAGAACATTTCTGGTGTCATACCGTACAATCTTAGGATGGAGATGTTATTGTAGCGGGCTGAAATATGAATCCTTGGAAGCAGAGCGTGTGATTAATTCCTGGTAGCAACACTTTTCTCAATACTGATTTGTGCATTTCAGACTTTTAACGTCAATGCAACACCACTAACTATGGTATGTACCATCTATAATCACTGTAGCTACCTTTTAATGTCATCCCTTGTATTGTCCACATTGTAGAGGTAGAGGTAGAGTGAGGGTCCTGATCCCAGGAGGATAAATTTGTCGAGGTAATAAAACTGAGCACCTCTAATGGGTTTGGAAAACGTGCTGTCACCCTAAAAGGAAAAAAATAAAAAAACACAAAATTCAAGACAGGAAATATTACAACAATGACGGTAAAACTGATTTAGAAATTTTAATAAAACACTTCAATACATTTACTTATATAAACAATGCTAATAGAAACTAAGATCGTGTAAAATTCTGATCTTAAGCATCTTTGTCCAGCTGTTAATTTATTTTATCTTTGAGATTAAAAGCAAGCAACAGCTACAGAAATGGGAACTTTTGATATCTAATGGTCTGATTCCAAACTGACACGCTTCCTTGCTCACCCCTCCAGTTGTTATGCTTTTACCCACAGAAATTTATATTAGTAGCAGTTCTATTGTGCACAACAACCACTGTCTTTGCCAACCAGTGCACTTTGCACGGGTCTAAAGACAAGTTCTCTAGTTTGTCCACACTGTGGTTTTAAATGTCAGCCCACTCCCCGCGCTGCACCTTTAAGATATAAAATGGTTAACAGCAAATACTATGTTGTCAATATTATCCAATCACGTAAAAGTAACATTCTTCGCATTAATGATGGAAGATCTACTCTTTTAATGCACAACTTAGATTCCCGATACACTCAAAAACCCGCGTCTCCTCATTTTACATCTTCATAGTTCACTGAGTTCAACTTTTTCACACCAAGTGGAAAATGGGGGAGAAAGAAAATCCTTCTCTAAGGGGAGGGAGTACACTCGAGGAAAAGTATCATCATCAGAAAGTCCGAGAACTTCTGCGACAGGCAAAATACCCGTACTGCACAAAACTGCATAAAGCATAGATCAAGGTAACGGATGCACACAGATCAGCTGCTCTTTTAGATCCACCGACATCTGAAAGAGTTTAAAACTATGTAGGTCATGTTATTCAGGTTTACAGGTATAAATTTATAAAGCTATGTGTTATTCTGGCTCACCCCAACAGATCTGTTGTCCCTTCAAAGACCTACATCAGTTGCCAAGTTCTTTCACAAGAACACAGAGCAGTCAAAGACTTCAGAGCGCAGAGAGCTCAAAACAATCTCACTACACGGAGCAGAGCGGGGATGGTTAGGATCAGCTACAGGAAGACCCCGGAGTTTTCACTTGGCACGATGAAGCAGACACACTTCTGACGGTCCTATTAAACGTGATACCCAATAAAGTCAGGAGTTTCTGCAGATGATCGGAGTCTTGGACCCTCTGAGCCCAGCAGATGCTGCTAAGAATGACAGAATCCCCGTCTTTGAGCCAAGACGCTGTTTCATCGCCCCTAATTAATTTGGATTTCTGGTTTTTAATTCCACCAGACGGTTTAGCTTGTATCAAATGATAACACGAAGAGAAACCCTGCGGATACAATAGCAACCACTGTTTTACTGTCATTCAAGTGAAGCCTCAAGGCCTCATTTACAACCTTGCAATTAAGAGCAAAAACTTTCAGCAATCACAGCAGTCTGAGAAAAACAGGAGTGAGAGTGAGAATGTGTACAGCACGTGTCTGTAGTTCCTTTGTTTTCTTCTACACCAATTAGAGTATTAAGATCTTCAAAGTGAGGACATATTTTAAACATGAGGTCACTGTAGCTGTTCTTCATTTCAGTGTGTTTTCACGGCTGGGACTTGGACTTGAAATAATCACTGACTAAAATCAACAATAAAAAGCAAAAACACAAGTGTGTGTCGGTCAATGCACGGGTAATTTACCATGATAATGGCAGGTTCTGGGCTAGCATGGGTCCAGACCCGCAGTGACTGGTCCTCTGATGCACTCAGCCACCACTGTCTGTTGAGGCTCCAGCTCACACTGCTCACTGGCTTGTCATGTCCTGTATTAAAGTGAGATTCCAGTTCAACCAGAACATATAGTGTGTGGCTGCAACATTGACTTTTATAGACCTGTTCAGAGAATCAGTCAGAGAGAGGAGAAGAGGCTCAGAGTGACCTACAGGTCACCTTCAGTCCTGTCCTTCTTCCTCTGCTGCCCCCCTGTGGAGACTGAGGTCCACCTGCAATAAGTGCTTTATATTTTTTTTACCCATTAGTGATTCTTCACTGCACAGGAAGAATTGACTGCTCTTTATAATGCTTTAATGCACATGAGTGTGCAAAAAAACCTATTTATTACATAGTTCTGACCTCAGTGGAAATCTTTTTATCTCTTTTTGTTCCATGGCCTGGTTTTAACTGTTAAACAAAAACAGAGATAGGACGTCCCAGTTTATTGCTTTGGACTGAAATCAGTATAAAAACGAGTGAAAGAAAACTCCTTATCTACTATTTTGACAAAGACGGCTTTAAAAGTGAATATTTGGATTATTCCTGAAGGTCTTTCATCTCAAGCCATGGATCCAATTCAAAGAATGTTAATCAGAACTGCCCAAATATGGTGGACTTAAACCCGAGCTGGGGATGAACCTGTCATGGTTTGAAAAACACGAGTGGTGATTCTACTTTGAACAGCTTTAAAATGTGGTCATGTGGGAAGGGACACCATGAATACTTCACCAAATAAACCTTTTAGACAAAATAAAAGAAATATCGTCAAACATTTACATGCATTGTTGAAAAACCACCAAAGTGGCTGAAGGCTGTATGACTTATAGCTCTTTATGCTATGAGTGCTCATGCCCATCTCACACACCTGTGTAGACAGTCGGGTTGCCAGTGAGGGAAGACTTATACAATAACACCGAGCTGTCGCCAAGACCACACAAGATTTGTTTTCCATCACCTGGCAGAGACAAGGACACAAAGACTTCTTTTAATGGGATTTCTCAGTCAAGCTGATTTGTTGTCGACTGAACTATGAAAATATTTCTTAGGAGGGAGACAAAGTGTCAGATCCAAAATAAAAACATTTATCCTAAAAATATCTATTTGTAGGAGGTTAGACTCCATATATTACTGTTATGTTATTTCAACCTCTCAGTGGAGTATGACAGATAGTTTTCTTTTAGTCGAGCGGTGCTTTTAATCTTCTTATGACTGATTAATTATGTTATTGTACTGAAGTAACCTCACCTGAGTACTGAAGGCAGTAGACTGGTTTGTTTCCAGTGCTCTGATGAATATGTGGTGTAGTAGGTGCTGCACTGTCTGCTGGATAATCCCTGAGAAGTGCATCTCTAAACGACAAAATAATTAAGTATAAATGGAAAAATAACAGTTGAAGAATTAAGCATTGTATGTTCTGATAATGATGGTACTACTTACTTATTTTTGTGATCCTTTTTAGGAAATGCATTCTTTTCAACATTAGTTTTGGGTGAAAACATGGTCCTTCTGAAAAGACAACACAGAAAATATTGTGATTTTCTTTCACTGTTGGTATCAATAGCCATGTTAACATGTGCAAAATTTCTTGATCTGATGAAGATTTGAGGGATCGGATAATCTAAATCCACTGTTTATATGGGTGCAAAATCAAATAATCCGATCATGGCGTGCGTAGACATAGCCTGGCCAGGCCATCCTGAGAATACAATTCCTTTCCGATTGAGCTGAATTGCATGATGGAACATCATCCCATCATGGTGGGAAGGAACATCAAGTGATTCACGCAACAGGGTGGCCCGGCCAGGCTTCATTCGGATTAGAAGTTTGTGCCCATGTTAACGCAGCTACTGTTGGCGATTGGAAAACTGATATCCCCTAATTCAAACCCAAACATGGTCATTTCTCTTACTGATCTCCTGAAGTCTGCAGGATGATAACTGGAGATGTGATGTTAACTCAAATGCAGATGCAAGAGTGACAAATAAATCAGTGTCTGATCAGAGAAGTTCATGTGAAGCTCCTATTAGTCAGGACAGGTGGGGAAAGTTTAATGGCAAGCTCAAGCTGACAAAAGTGGTTATTGTTAGCTTTAGCACACAGCCACATAATGCCACTTTTAAGCTAAGGTTGGCTGGTGCACAGTCACTTATTTTACCTCTGAAAATGATGATATTCAAAGTCTAGTTATTGCATTGCTCATGGATGGACAGGGTGTAATTTTGTCCTAATGAATAAGTTGCAAAGATCAATTTTTATTGCATTTAAATTATCTTTTTGGACGATGCAATCAAGGCAAAAGTTTCCCCTGTGAACCAACCTTGGAGCACTGGTATATCCAGATGATTTCACCTTTGAGTGGAAAACCAGTGGCTTCTCTTTTACCCCTCCTGAAAAATAAAGACAGGTTGATACAAGAATATCTATTAGATAATACAATCTGCAACAAATCTGCCCTCCAGAAAAGATAAAAAATTGAATAAAATCAGTCGCATTTGAAAATGAGTCAGTCAAAGGCCTAAAGGAGAAAAGTTGTCTGTTCATCTTTTTCCAGATCTCCTCATTATTCTGCAGCAGGTTTTCATTAATTATATAGAGTATGGAAGATACAGCATCATGTGAAGCTGTGAGTATTAGGTGCATCAGTCATAAACTGCAGGATGGTTCATTACGCTCCCGGTTTGCTGTCAGTGCCTTTACTATTTCAGAGTGAGCTCAGTTTTTCCACGACCATTAAATCGTGTGAGGCCCTCCAGAAACTGTTCTGCTGTCAAGTACAGGCACAGTGAGACAGACTCCTATAATCTCAGGGAGGCAGCTTAAGACTGTAGTTGCATTAGATGATATGACAGATATGGTATGTCATATTGCTTGGTTTGAACCATTTATTAAACTAGGAAGAGTTTGACCTGCAAAATGTTATTTTTCTCTAGGCTTATCTAACACTGACTTGGATGAGTCAAACACCAAAGTTCTTTTCAGGCAGTCCTACATTCCTGTCTTTCGGTTGAGTGAGTCAGAGATGAGATTGTTATTAATAATAGACCTGAAAAATTGATGAAATTGTGCCGCTGTGAGCACAAAGGCCTTTTATTAAGATGACGTTTCATTTGAACTACTTTTCAAAGAATTTAATAAGGAAACTTGATAACAGATCCCTGATTTCTTTCAGTAACCACAAGCAAACCTCAAAGCAAAACTTACATAAAAAAAACACAGCTTCTTACTGTTAAATTAGCAACAGGTGTGTCAGTCTCAAAAGGTACAGAGTTGAGAATGAAGTGACATTCAGCAAGACAGACTAAGCAGAAATGTAATGTAATGTTCACAAGTATAATTTTTGCGATAAACTCACCTGAATGTTAAAAAAATCTATTACTTTTTGTAAACATATAACAAGCATCTCATATGGGAGCATGTTGTTGAACCGCCAGTGGCATCAACACATCTGTTTTTGTGTTTTGTAAGATTCTGCACTAAATGCACCGAGAGAGAGCGATTATTGAAAACAAAAGACAGACTTTATGATGGTGAATGATGTAAGATGGAGGATTATACTTGGTATACATCTCACAAGTTTCAGGCTAACCTGTTTGAGAGTAATTTACCCAGAGGTTGAGTGTACAGTCTTTAGTACAGTCTTTAAACAACGTCACATTGACCACTATAGTGAAACCAACCAAACCCAATCTAAGAGAAGCACATCTGGATCTCTTTCCAGTCCTCTCTTATCATGAGTGCTTTTCATCATCGATCTGGAGCTCCAATGTTCACTCTCAGTTGATTTTGTTAAGAACTCCACTTGACAAGCTCTACTTGGTTCTTTCTTGATGACCTTTGATTGACACTTAAGTATGTTTTAGTACAAGCTGTTTCCCTACCAGTCAGCCTTATAGGATTTAAGTTATCTGTGCTGCATGTCTCCATGAAATTAACCGCCCTACTTTTCCTGTAACTCAAGATTTGTTTCTTTTTATTCAGGACACTTAGTGAAGAAAATTGAAAAGCAGCATGCAGTGCGATGCCTTTTCTGACTTAAACTCAACAGTAGCAGTTACAGGCATTAAAACATTTATTACCCAAAAATAATCAGTCCTCTTTCTGGTAGGCTTATTTGCTTTCATGGATCATATAAAGGCATTAGCGTTCACTTCACTTTGTTTAATAGCGAGCTAAAATTCCCCACGGGAGCTTTAACAGGCTTGTTTTTAACAATAGTGTATTGAGGACTGTGTAGCATCAATCAAAAAGCACTTGACAAATGTGATCCTACGTATTCAAAGGTTTTGCAACATTGGTGGTCCACATGTAGCATCGACTCTAACTCCTCCACTGTGTTGTTTTTTTGTGAGATGAAATAATTAAGGTAGCTTTTGACCCAGAACAGATTATATGTAGGAAACTCGGCATTGTGGGCGTAAATTCTAATTACCTGGAGAGACAATCATTTAGCTTTGCTCAGCAGCCATATTTACCCCTTGCTGATAAATAATGGTCATTAACTTTTATGGAGCAGTTAAATCTTATAATTTACGCTGACATCAGACCAGACGCTATTTGAAGCAAAGTGAGAGTTTCAGACAAATTTCCAAATCGAGTAATATCTGTGTTAAATCACAGCAGTCTGCTGTGTTCTCTGTTTACAGCCCTTATTATGCCAGACTTAGCTTAATCTCTAATAAACATTACTGCAATAAAGCTACTTAATAAAATCATTTAGTTCCACCCAAATGTTAGTAATGTGAAAACAAAGAGCAACTTGTGATTTGTATCCTGCAATTTCAGGTCTGGAGTCACAGCGAGCATGAGGTCAGATCTCTGCTGCGCTCAGGTCTGCAGCTGCAGAAGTAAATCATGCTGGACAGATGCGTTAACAAGCCTTAAAAAGTAAATACCGTCTTTGTTTTTAAGATGTGACAATGATTTGTTTTAGAGTTTGGACTGCCTGCAATAGAGGAACCAGGCTCAGATGAGCCCTGAAGTTTACTCTAAAATAAACCATGACTCTTGTTTTCAGACGGGGAAGAGAAAATAGCAAAATGTCAGACCTCCCTCCTCGCTGTTGTACGCTGCCCAAGAAAGACTTTACAACTCAAGCTTCTGAAAACGTATAGACCATAGCAGGCACGGTGTATATGTGTCTCAGATATTATTTTGACTGTATCCAGACTCTCTAGTGTGACTTATTGCTTTACTGAAGTGTAAAAAGTAGGGCACTCTGTACAAGACGACAGATTTCAGAGGCATGCTAACCCGAAGACTGAAGGAATTCAGGTTTTAGAGCCAAAGTTTTGGTCTGACAGTAAAAGAAATGATGTACAGAAACGTAAAGAATATGTTACACACGTGTAGCATGTGCAAGGCGTACTGGAGGGAAAAGGTACAGAGAGGGCAACAAATGTAGTACTACATGTAGGAATGTGAATAAAACACAAACCGCAACATAAGCAATAAATGGAGAACAAGCTGTGAATTACAGTTTCCAGCTTTAAACTAACAAAGGATATCTTAAAATACAGCACTGACATTGATGCTTTCTGCTCCGTGTCAAGCAATAAAGACTGATGTCATTCATGTGCTTTTGCAGATGTGTTCAGTATTGTTTCAAATAAGTCTGTTCCTCCGTTTTTTCAGCATGAGTTAGCTTTCAAGAGCAGCTTTTTAACACTTCCCTTATTCCATAAAAGCTGGGATGTTGTATAAAATGTTGCTAGCTCGAAAACACAAAAATGGAGCTTTACAGAAAAAAGAGGACGTGAGCACAAAACAGTTTTGCAATAACTACGTCAACATCGCAACCAGCTTGCCTATAGCTACATTAAGTTTGCTGTAGGAGGCAGGGTTAATGACCTATACTGCAACCAGTCACTAGGGGGTGCTGTTCTCACCGAGGCTTCATCCAGTGAGGAAATATATGATGTCCATTCTATGTACAGTCTATGGTCATGACTCTGTAGTGGAAATTACTGCGTAGGCTAAATATTGATACTGAATCAACTGTCTTTGAACAGAGTTTGTCACTGCACACATGCATGAGTGCCCATGTGTGATTAGCTCACACATATAGGAGGTCACATTAACAGTAAATGTTTAAGGACCACATACGCTGCCATCCAGACAATGAGGAGGAAATCTGGGATATTCTAGCAAAACCACGCCAAACCGCATGGTTCTGTAGTAGAAGAGTTCAGGTGCTAAACTGGCATACCTGCAGTCCAACATGACAACCACTGAAATATTTTGTGCATCATGAGACAGAAAATAGGACATAGGAGACCCTGAGCAGCACAAATCAGACAAAAATGGGACAAAATGTAACTTTTATAACTCTACAAACCGGTCTCCTCAGTTCCTTTAAGACAATGCATTTGGTTATATTGAATAAAGGGTTCAACATTATTTGAAAATATCCAATTCTTTTTTAATCAGCATTTCACAAACTTCTTTTGACATTAGGGTTGAAAAGGTTAGATTTAGAGAAAAAAAGACATCATGTCATTGATTATGTAAGAGTAGAAGCAGTGTTCTTACATTTTCTGATATAATTGATCTCTGCGGTAAACTAAAAATCATTCATCATGAGTCATGAACAAGCACTTGAGGCCATACAATGCTAATTGCTGCCTTAGTAATCCCCTGATACCCACACTATAAAACAACCTAATCCAGGCAGCAACACTTCAGAAAAGTGACATCATGCAAAATGTAACTGCAGCTGAATTTCATCACTTTGGAGGGCCAGCAGGCCTGGTTTACTTCATGATTATGTTACATAGAAGTGTGACACGGCAACAGATATCTAATACGCACTCCCAGTCCTTTTTAAAAGAGCTCTGTCAGACTTGTGCCAGATTTACAATGGAAGAAGGCTTCCTGTTCCAGGAGTCTCAGAGGTTTATGGTGTAATTTGTATATAATTCTGCAGATAACCTCAAGAATACAGGGATGCATGGGGGCAGCACTGCGGGCTGAGCTGGTCCGTAAATGTTTGTGGTTTTTGGTCTGACATGGCAGTCACGCAGCACCTCTGGACTCCCCCTGAAGATCCCCTGCTTAGTCTGGCACTGGCAGCCCCCTTCGTTCCAGCTGTGTGGAGTCTGCCTCATCTTGGCCTTCTCTGCATAAAACTCTCCATAAGAATAAAATGTAAACCACAGTATGCTGTACTGTAGGTCTTCAGCAGAATAGTTTCAATCTGCCAGATCCTAATGATATGCCAAAGGACCACAAAAAGGCTCCTTTTACCAAGAAATCCACTGCTGCAAGAAGACACCGTGCAACAAAGCGGGCCAAAAAGGAGGAATTATCAGTCTAAATGTTTTGTTTTTGCTGAGTAGTGAGTCACACAAATGTGCCAAATAAAACCTGAAAGGACTCAAATTAAGAGAGCCACATCAGCACTCCCAATCATGGAAAATCCCAACCTTTTCTATCCTCTACATTTGCAGATAAGGAGGAAGATCTCAGAGGCTCTTAAAACTAATTTTACAAAGTGTTCAGATGATACCAGGATGATTCTGACCTTTCTTTTTAGGTGAGTTGATCTCCTTCTTCTTTAACTCGGCATTCAGAGGAGAGTCTGGTAGAGCAGGACAACTGAAAAGAAAGGAGGGGTGAAACGGGGGGAAAGGAGTTCCTGGAAATGAAGGAGAACAGCATTTTCCAACACCGTGGATTATTAGTCCCTCTTATTCTTGGTACCATGATACTGATGAGTCATGCAAATCCAGATGGCAGGAATGGTCAAGAGGCCAAGTTAATATGGAAACGTCAGAGTCAGAGGGAGCTATAGGCAGGGGGAGGTCAGCTTAAAAAGACCCTACTCTGATAAGGTTAGGTGACTTGTGTTTGAAATACAGCAATGCAGTTTGTATACTAATGACTGATGCTGCTGCATTTAGTTAATAACTATTTACTGAGGTAAACGTAATACTTGAATGAGTTTCATGACTTCTCCAGAGGACCGTTGAACATTTTTGGCATTTTTAAAGCAAAGTTATTATGAAAGTAGTAAGTAAGTAAGATTTTCTAGACTGGGGTTCTGATCAAGTCTGGCCTGTTTTATTAAAAAGTGGATTTAACTGCTTCACTAATAAAAGAAAAAGGTCCTCAGAGTGTTGTCATTCACTAGGCAGAGCAGTTTCAGTCTGGAGCCTGATGATTACGCAAGTTACAGAACTTTTTCTCTTCTATTACTGATGTCTCGCAGACAGTTTCATGATTTGGAGCTTACTGATAACATACTGCTGTTTAAATGCAAGCATGTACAAGAACACACCGCTGAACTTAGGAGGAATTCTTTTGATTGGAGCATCTGGGTTCCAGCCTCTCTTACTCTCCTCCATATAGAGACCTTTAATGATGATCTCTGCGTTATAGGGAGGTTCGAAGAGGGCCTACCGGTCTTCTCAGAGGTCAAAATAATGTGACATTTTAAAAGATTAGCCGTTTAACTCTAGTCTTACCTTGGGAACACTGAAAAACCTTCTGCACATGCCCTGATCCCTCCTAGGTCACATAGATGTATCTTCAACAGTACCACACATGGAGTAAAGAGAGAGCTTACAAACAACAACATCTGCAAAGAAATGAAAACAATGTTAATCCAAAATACTTCAGAATGAAAATTAGGGATATTGTATTAATATATGATCAGAGATGTTTTACAAGCATCATTGGTCCATACTGTGTCTGAGGTCAAACTAGATTAAATGGGGTTTACTTGAAATGATATTTTAAAGCAGCTGCCCAGTACAGTTTAACTACATATTACAGAAATTACTTACAGAATTGTCCAACCCTGGTGAGACTGACCAAGACCTGGCCATCGTGATGCTCAGACTGGGGTAATCTAGAGGAGTAAAAATAAGTCACAGGTTTGGCTTTTATTTTGCAGCTCATATAAAGTAAGTTGCAATGTAAACATCGAAAATATGATCTATACATTAAAGGTCCATATCATTATGTGTATAATTTACATTTCCGTTTAGTAGTCTAAAAGTCTAAAGCTAATCCTTCCTTCAAACAACAAAGTGATCCTTGGAGGGTAACGTTATACTGATGATTTAAACTGATTCTTGAGAAGAGGGTCTGAATCTCTGCAAGGAAATTCAGAAGTAGTGACTGTTATTTCAAAGCCCTTAATCCCTAGCAAAAAAAAAAAAAGCATGTAATCTAGGAGCTGCTGAGTAATGCAGTGTAGAAGATAATAACTTTCTTGTCATCTTCAAAATGTGCAACATCGCAGAGTGGTATTTGATCATGCTAAGGTATTTTACCTAAAAGATGTTGCTCAAAGAGAAGCAATAGTGTCATTGTGAACAGCATGCTGGTTAAAAAGAATGGCATACAGATCTAAATCATCACTTATCAGGGTTATACCTTTGCATCCTAAAACCTACACTGAATAATGTGAAGTAAATAAACCTTAGTGGTTTGACTTAAGAGACTCTTCAGCTTTGGACAACATGTGGTTGGGGAAAGAGGGAGGCACAAGTGTGGGTGAAGTGGTAGTGGTCTGTGGGTTTGTCCACACCACAACTACCAATGCCAACATATGCGGAGCTCAACTACCGTGCAGGTAGCTGACAGTGTGATTGCACAGATGGTATCAAAAAGCTGCACATCTGCATAAGAACTACATGTTGTTGAACACAATGAAGGTATTTATAAAGGAAGATCGCTACTTGATTATATGTATTTTTCATCAGCATGTGTTAATCTTTTACTGTCAATCCTTTTGATTTGCACTGACTTGCTTTAGCTGGCTTATCTAAATAGAGTTTGAGAGGTTGATTAAAGATTTTGGACTATTTCCGATGGCCTTTTGCAGACGTTTATTTGCTTCTGAAAGAAATCTGAATTTTTCCAAACTGAGTCCAAGTACATGGAATATGGAAAAAATGAAGTGGCTGTTCCCTCTTATACTTAAAAATCAATCACAGTTGTTGTTTTTTTTGCTTCAAGTGAATTGATGGTGCACTTTTTAAACAAAAAAAAAAAGTATAAACAGATTGCAAACATTCAGCAGTGGTAACAGAAGTCAATTCATGATCAGTTTACCTCTGAAATAAATGACTGTTAGGAGCTCTGAGGCAGCCAGATCCACCACATACAGCCCATCAGTGCTTCCAATACAGAACCGGCTGTAGTCTCTGCAGGGGCCCGAAGAGGAATGGATGGAAAAACAGCATTACAGGATTTCCCTCAAAAGCAGTTTTTTTGTCACAACACTTGAGGAATGACAGTTTAACCGCATGATTGGAAAAACAGACTGATGTGATGGAGTGTCAAGGCATGCTCACCATAGGACTCGACTCTTTTTTGTTTTATTTTTTTTAAGTTTCCTTTGACTCCATGCAGTCTAAACTAAATATACCCTACAAGATGGAAATACTGGGGAAGAATGAAGAGAAATCTGAGACTTTACTGAGACCCTTTGACCCACTTCCTGCTTAGGATGAGCGTGGGGGCAGAATGATGGAGTTACACAAGCTTTAACATTAATGTATGGAAACGTACATGTTAGGATTCTCAGCATGACAACTGTACTTTCATAGAAATAGTCTGCTTTGAGGATATTGCCTTTTTTGGTTTATTACTCAGCAACTTTGATACTTATTCAAAGCATCTTTTAGTCTTAATGAACACCGACGCCAAGAGGCTCCGAAACACTGCATTGTGGTGGTTAAATAGGAGGTTTGTAGTCCCTTTTAATATCCAAACAAAGTTGTTTTATTTGTAAAAACCCTTTCAAATGAAAGCAGTAAAAGTGTAAATCCAGACGGACAGCTGAGCTAAAGCATCTGAAAGCAAAGATGTAAATACTGCCCTGAGATCATACGCTCTGCTCGGGTAAATAAGGAATCAACGTCCATTTCATTCCAGTGGTCCACAATCTACACAGAGAGTTATGTCTGTGGTTTTTAAGTGCCTGCTTCCTGTCAAAACATCAAGTGTTTTTACAGCCTGAAATCGTTTATGCTACGAGCCTGCAAAGTTTCCTACAATGTGTGAAGTTTCCTTTGACTGCGAGGACACGTGTGGCAATTAGCCCTCAAAGATGAGGCACTTTTTCCAGGATTCGGAGGCGATTTGACATCCATGAATTAACAAAAATGTACACTTTTTTGAAAAGTGGGACTGAATATAAATCATCGTAGTAATATTTTCCTGGATCGCATGCAGTTTCACCTTTTGGAAGTGAGAACAAAACTAAACTCTTGAGAGTGGCCACACTTTTGACGGTGTTGTATCTTGCCTCAACATCAATCCTTGTTACAAATGAAGTTAAGCAGTCCCTCCTCGTAATTAGGACACCTGGTAAAGTCTATTGATTCAATAGAAACAGATTTGTTATGTTACATGATGGTTGAATGACTCTGAACTGCTTGTTAGGGTCTGAAAAATCTTCCTACAGCACATGCAACTTTAAAAAGATGTTGCTTTAAGCCCATAACCCAAAGTCTGATCTATGTTTCTGTCTTTATCTATACTTTGACTTTTTGGGAAAATGCATCACTTGTACTGCTCTACTTTTGAAAGACAAATATTGTACTTTGACTTTACCACATCTCTACGAATGGCCTAACATTACAAAGTTTATGTTTATCTCACCTAACGATTTTACCTGTCTACATCTGAAAAACTGAACATGCATTACAGTCAATATGATCAATACTCATCTGGATAGAAGTTTAAAGTTATTCTAAAGTTTTTCCTCTACAATGCAAACTGTGCACAACAGTTAATCACCCTCTCTTACCTGTTGAAGTTAAATGGAATTATAATGACTTGATCTCAATTAAAACTGCCTTCTAAATCTCTACTCATTATCAGAGGAACCCTTAGTATCATCTACTGGCATAAGAAGAAACTGTTTTTGTCATCATAATAGAAAATAAAGGATAAGTTTTATACCTGGTTATGTAAAAAAATAAACAATAAATTTCCAGTTCTGTGCTTTTTCAACCACAGTGTCTGCAATGATGTAATAATAATTGATCACCTACATTTTACCGTCATTACTGCTGTTGCTGAATGAGCTACATGAAGCGATTTTGAGGACAGGTTTTGAAGTCTCCATGTCAGGTAAAGCTGATTGTTCTGTAACCTCTGGAATAACACAACAACAAACAGAGTTGAAGTTAACATCCACATAGCCGATGGCACAAGACATGTTTTCTCAAATGGTTAAGAGCATCACCTGCGTCATGGCTCAAGTTTCTTTGGTGCAGCTGATGTCTCTTTTCCATCTTCTGAAGGTCCATTTTGGTCACCATGTGACATTTGTTATCATCAGGGAGAGAGAAGCACCACAGCTACATCAAAAAGAAACAGACACACCTTTAAAAAAAATCAATACAATTTCTGTCTCTGCTGTGGTTAGAGCTGTTTGGAGCGATGAACTAACCTGGCCATCAGTTGAGCCAGTGATGAAGTGTCGGCTCTCCTCCAAGAAGTGCACAGTGAGCAGAGGAGAGGCTAAAGAAATAAAGGGTTTGCCCCAGAAACATAATTACATTTTTATGAAAACTCTAACACAAATGTAAAAAGAGGATTCTGATTTAATGACTTAATTGAGGACAGCATACTGATTTCCTCTAGATTTTAAATGATAAAATCATACCAGAAAGAACAAAAGACTGATAGCAAGGGGCTTCACTTTTCAGATCCCAAACCTGAAATACACAAAACGCCATTAAAGCACTCAAACTCAACTGCAGGGTAAGTAACAAATACATCTCACTGTCACTAACGTTATTGCACTTTTGACTCCACATCTGCATCCAAAGCCTTTACCTTACCTTAAAGGTGCGGTCCTCTGATGTGGTGACCAGGACGTTGTCATTCCAGGGACAGAACTCCGCTGATGTTACAGGGGCGAGGTGACTGCTCAGGGTAGAGATTACTTTGTGTTTCTGGTGTGGAAAACAATAATCAAACTCTCAACTGACTGCTACTAAATCATTAATAAGGAATGAAATTACACATTTATCACTTAAAATGCAGTGCAGAGTAATTGCAACCAACCACAGTTAAGTAATAGCATATAAAAACAGAGAAAAATATATATATACTTAACTAGAGTTGATCATATTGTACCTTTGAGCTGAGAATATATACAGATGCCCCTGAACAAGCAGCCACTCGTTCATCAGAGGGACAGAATGATAGGTATACGACTTCACCCTGTAAAGACCCAATAACTGTTCCTGCTGCTATTTTACCTGCAAGAGAGAAGAAGAAGAAGAAGAAGAAGAAGAAGAAGAGGTGTAGTAGGTGCGCTAGCTGGACACTAGATGGCAGGCTGCTAAAGGTTATCACTCAGGAAATGCTCTGACTCTTTATGTGTAAAAGTTTTTCTCACTACCTAGTCACAGGATCACAATCACAAACATTTACAAGGGGATAACCTCTATACTGATTCATCTGTCCACATACATGCACACTCAAATTGCCTCCTTACCCTCCCGTGTTCTCCTCTGGCATAGTTCAATGTCCCAGACTATGATATAGTCAGAAGATGCAGAGCAGAGGATTACAGGTCTGCTTCTGTTTCCAAAAGTCATGGCAGATATCTCACCATGATGGCCAGTGAGAAGCAGAGACTGTGGACACACATAAGAATTAATATGGGATTAGTATAGACAATCAGTCCCTTCTTTGGCTTTAATATTTGATAGTAAACAACTTTTAAAAAGGGTATTTTTGCATAGAAGTAACAAAGACTCGTACTTATCATGGCCTTAGCATGCCCTTTTGTAAATCATAGGTATTGAAATCATCAAACTCACCTTCTGCTCTGTGTCTGTGTCACTGTAGATCAGGATATCTTTGCCATGGAGCGGTATGCCACAGTATGAACGGCAGCATGCAAGCTGCATGTGTGACAGGAGCTTATCACACTTCAAACTCAACTTTTCAAGCATCGTTTCGCTCCTGTCAGGCTGTCAGGCTAACCATTTCGTGTCATTCTTCAAAGCTAGACTTCTCTAAAACAGAACAGAAGACAGGTTTTTTTTCGGGCTAACGTTAGCAGGACAGGGAGTTTCTTCGACGCTGAAGTTTCAGGCGGCAAAGCGTTGCAGGTTGCCGGGGCAACCGACACCGGTTTAATTTCCGATACAAAGATTGCCTAAATAAGATGATGTATCACTAATGATCTTAGAAAAAAAAAAAGAAAGAAAATCATTGACTCCATAGCTCTGTCAAGACACTTGCTTTGAACAAAGTTTATTATGATTTATCTATTGATTTATTTTAATTTGGTTTCTGTTAATCAATGATAAACAGTCTCCAATTCAGTTCAAATAAAAAAAAGAATTTTTTTTTCAAGGGTAATTAAATAAAACTATTTTAAACGCCGAGGTACTCGAAGGTACGTTCAGAGTGGGACCTCTCATTTTATATCTAAAGGGTTTTCTTTTTAGTTTTCCTCCGAGTTTCACCACAAGGTGGCAGTAATTGCCAGTCTAGCAGATGGTTTATTTGTAATACATAAACATGGTGGAAATACTTGAGTAGGCTCTTTTAGAGAGTTGTTCCAATTTCGTGACATGCCATTAAACCTTTGATAAACTTTTCAAAGTCTAAAATTCCCATTATTGAAATTTAAAACTAAATTTTCATTTTTTTGGTGTATTAAACACAATAATAGCTTTCCCCATATTTCATTATAAACCTTTTCATATGTATTTATCTGTGTTTATTTATGTGTGATAGCGTGATTATCACCTATCTGACAATGTATATGAGGGATATATCTTGTTAATATTTGTGATGAAGAAGATCAATACCTTTATGTATTATTATTAATCTAAACTCAAATTACATCAACCAGACTATAAGTTTCACGTAAGAGAGTAAAAGTTGAGCATCCATATGGTGTGTTCATAAATATTACATCTATCTATCTATCTATCTATCTATCTATCTATCTATCTATCTATCTATCTATCTATCTATCTATCTATCTAGTACTGACATGTGCTAAAATTTCATCTTCATATTCTTAAAAAAAAACTGGATAAAATTAAGAAACAAGGGTTTTTAGGATAAAGCAATAAATATAAAATAAAACTAGGGTCGCATTAAATAAGCAAATTTGAAGATATATATAAAAAAAGAAATGTTATATGTTAAGTCCATAGTTGTATGGCTGCTTCGGGCCTCCGTAGCAAAGACATCAGAGGACACGAACTCTTAAATGGATTACAAAAAGTCATCCTGTTCGAGTTGCAAAAGGATTAGCATTTATAAAAAGCATGAATGGAGAGGGAGGCACGCTGGGAAATGAAGTTTTTCACCCGACAGCTTAGCGGAAATGACGCCTATGTTCGGAGGCTTTCGCCTGGTGCCGTAGTTGGATGAATCAGTCGACGTTGACAGTCTTTGGGATATGACTGTGCTTTTGTAGTAGAGAGCTAACTTTAGCTAGACCGTTAGCTGGGGGTCAGGTTTTAGGATTACGTTAGCCGAAAGAAAGGAATACGAGTGCCAACGCTTTCTCGGAGCAAACCAGCGTGATTCGTTAGCCTTATTATTTTTATACGATGACACTAACATAAATTTCATGTTTTCTGGCTGGGAAATCTAACTTAATTTAGGCTAAATGGCTAACGTTAGCTAGCGTGTCATCAAGTTGTGAATAACATAACTTGTTCTCATTGAGGGTTATAACAGTCTTTTATTATTTAGAGGCAGAAGCTAAATAGAGAAATTACTCAATCGTCACACGGTTAGGTGGCATAAAAACGCGCACTGGGGACGGAGTTAGCATTGTGAGGCTAGCCGCTCGGATTTTGTAACATGAAAAAGGCTCAGTCTGATACACTGGGATTTGTTCCTCAGAAAGATATCGTCTACAACAAACTTCTGCCGTACGCGGACAGACTCGATGATGAATCCAACGAGATTCTGTGTAAAATCAAAGGGAACCTGTGCCGAGCTGTGCAGCTCAGAGAGTTATGGCCCGGTGTGCTGTTCTGGACGAGGAAACTTTCCACGTAAGTGACACTAATCTTTGATATCCAAATGTCAGCCTGCTGCACTTTGTTATCCTGCTCTTAATGGAGGCGCTCATAAACTTTGACAACTTACCAAACTTTTGCGCAATAGCACAACTTTTCACACATGTTCCATATGAGAAAAATACACAGTGTGCCAAGGCATTGCTCAATATTTGTGATGAGTGGATGAAGCCTGATGGATAATACAAAGAGTACCATTTTATTACCTGCAGATATGATATTTACACACGTGGTTTTTATTCACTATGATGTGAAAAAATATAGTAAACTTATTTGTATAAATGTAATGCACAGTTATGAATGTATGCAGTTTAACTTTAACAAGTCTGTCTTTAATCAAAATCAGAAGGGGTTTTATTGCCATTGTCAATGAACAGGATTCACAGACTAGGAATTTGTTTTGGCATGATGGTGCAACAGTAAACAGAGAGTTATATAAAATACTAGAATTAAAACCAATAAGAGCATGTAAGAAATATATAAAAGTATAAAAATATGAAAGGTTATGTACAATGCTATGTACAATAAGTATAAAAGGCTATGTACATCTATACAGTCCAGAACAACAGTGCAGTGGGAGGAGTGCAATTAAAAAATCCAAAGTATAATATAATTTTTGACCTTAACCTGTTTCAACCAACAAAACAAAACTCAATTCCTTTTATTTTTTATGCTTCTCACTTGCAAACCCCACTTTAGGTAGTAGGGCTGGGACGATATGCTTTCTCCCCATTCGATTGTTCTACGATTTTTTGGATGCCAATTCGATTTAAATTGCGATTCTACGATATCATCGATTTTATATATCGATTATACGTTGATTTCTATAACCAACAACAATAACAGTGCAATACTACACCCCTAATTATTTATTAATCATGTGCAATATCAGTATCATCATTGCATCCAGACCTGTTTTTTGTTGGCACTGATCTTTCTTTCTCTTTTATTTTTCTCATACTTGTCTTTAATACTGTTCTTCGATTGCACTGCTCTTTCTTTTTGTACCGTAGTTGTACAAAAGCTGGAAGTGTCATCTCATGCTCAAGCCAAATGGGCAGCACTTATAGCCAATCAGTGGCAATAAGATAAGCACATGAAACTGTGGTAACAACCGTTTGCTTACGTTAACACAGATGAAAGTTAAAACAAAGACATTTGGCAAACTGTTAAAGCACACAAAACATCGTCATATGAGAAATCTGACGCTATGACTCGCCACAAGTTGTTCTTCAGGTCGTTATCTTTGTAATATTTGTGTCTTGGTATTTGTGACATGATATACCGGTGAACCTGACGTCGCAACAACACGAAATGTGATTGGTCAGAAGTGGACACACAGTATGCGAAACTTTAGAAAATTCAAAAAATAAATGCCGCAAATCGCAGGACGGGAAAACGTCGCTGATGTGAACGCTTGTATTGACAGGATACGGGTTTGGAAAAAAAATATTGACGTTTGAATTAATCACATGAAAAAGACGCTCCCAGTGTGTAAGGACCTTTACTCTTACATTTGAAAAAAAAAAACGTTTTTTGAAGAAAAAAATTGATTTAAAAATTGTAATAAGAAATATGCGATACTTATTTGAATCGATTTTTTTCTCTCACCCTTATAAGGTAGCATGCGGTATCATCATAAAAGCTAAAAAAACCCATCACTTTCTGTTCACATAAACAGACTTGTTATCATTGGACTTAGTGGGTGACAGTGGTGTCTGGTGTGTGTTAGATTTTAAGGTTCTCTCTTTTGCCCACTTCAAGAGCAAGCATGAGGCGAGCAAAATAATCAGAAGACCTGTCAATGTGATGTACTACAGTAGACCAGCAACAGCCACTACAACTTAACTTCAACAAGTAATTCAAAGAGCAAATACCACGTGTCCAGCCAGTCAACAACAACTGAAAATGTAGGGGCCTCACAGAAGTGGGCTTCATTTCTGTTGGAGTTGTTGTATTGGGTTGCATTAGATGGCCCAGGTGTTTGTAAAGTTAAAATGGGTCAGTGTACAGTGTGATGAATATATTCCAGAGAGGACATCATCTTTGATTCACAGTTTCTATGTCTCTCTGTGGTTTTTCTGCAGTGCACTATCATTGTCCAGTATTTATATATCAACACCAAATATTACAGAATGCATTTTAGCTAAAATAATCTACAGTTTATTATCTTTTTGCTGTTATCTGTGGTTTACACATAGTCTGTATTTGCAAAATGTTTCCCCTGAATCTAAGTTACATACCTAAAGCTGTTTATCATCACAAATTGATCTGAGATTGGCTGACAGCTGATGAGGGTGTCATCTGACTGCATCAAAATTGTGTAAAAGCATTATGTAAAATCACCATAACACCTAGACCTCCATCTAACAAGTATAATATACATGCTGAGTGAGAAAACACTAAATCAAGATTTTTGCAACGTGTTAATTACAAAGTTCATAATGTAATATCAATGAATTTGGACTTTAGCCCTCTGTTTCATCCTGTGATAACCTATAGATTTCCGTTTTTCTGATCTCCCAGACTAAACACCACATGATAATAACTTGTAACAGCAACAGCACAAAACAAACATTGAAATAGGCTTAGCTAACCTCATTAGTTTGAGCAATGGCAGCAGGGCATGTCCTGGTCTGGCCTATCACAGTGACCAGCACATTGTTTCCTGTTTGAAATGCCTCAAGTCCTCCTGCTCTCATGAGACGAAAAGCTTTGTCAACTTTAGATATTGAGATTGAAATAAATGCATTAAAATGAGTGAATGATTATTAAGTTATGATAAACAAATATAAGTCAGGATCTCCAGAATACAGCTACAGTGAAGACAGGACTGTTATTTTGAGAAAAGAAGATGAAGTTTGGCGCCCAAGTTAACCAGAAACTACTTATCACAGGAAAAAAAGAGGAACAAAGTAAATAGAAATAAAATGTATGTTGTCATTTCCTTTTGTGGCTTCCATACTTTTCACAACTTAATCGACACAACTGAATGGTGGGGTAGCTAGCTTGGACTTCACCTGACTGCATCACCAATGTATGCAGGTTTGCATTCAGCATGTAAAAATACAAGGTGATAAAAGAATTATTCGTTTACAAAGAATAATATTTGTTATTTATTGCATTAAATCAAAATTAATGCAAATGATTATAGTGTCTTAAAGATGAAATGTAATTTGGGATGTGTAATGTTGGCACAAGGTTGGTATGAGCCAAAAGCTGAAAAGTTAATTGTTTATTGGCAGATATGAACATTTCTGTTTATAGTAACAGTTGTTGAAGTGACACTTTTTATGAGCTTGTGATGACAGCTCACCATCTACTAGCATCAGCCATTGTATGAAAGTATGATTAAATGTCAGGAATGAACAGCAGATATATTGATGAATGTTTATATTTGAAAAATAACATATTTATCATTACTGTTAGCTTTGAAACAAATGGACAGGTTAATATGAGCACAGAACAGATCTGGTGTGTCTTACATGAAAAAGGTGTGTGTGGTTTGAAGATAATCTTACAATTTTGCAAATGGAGTACTGGTGAAAACCAATATTGTGCAAATGCATTTGAATTCAACTCTTTTGGCTTCCCTCATTTTATGGTGTTTAAACAACATTAAAAGTCAAACCCATTTTTATTGGCGTTTTATCATTTCATTAACAAACCAAAGCAGTTTAGTAAACAGGGTACAGCTGGATTAAGAAATGAACCTAAAGTATATGATTGCACCTGATCTAAGAAAATGTTGACTTGTTAACTTGTGTAGCCCCAATAAGATCCACGTAGTAGACTGTATATAAACCCAATTTAGCTTAGAGTAAAGCAGGAAGGCCTTAGAAATAAAAAGGGAATCACTTTAAGCAATGGTTACATAAACAATAAAACACAGAAATTTAATTCAATATTAATAAGAGAGCCTTATTGAGTAAAAGAGATTCTAATATATGAATAATGAATAGAGACAAACGTTGTTGTAGAGCTCAGAATGGCCTGGTCCCCTTTTGAGTTTGAAACCAAAGGTAGGAAGAGTCAGCAAGCTGCTGTCTTTGGATCTGAGGTCACTATTGTGGCTGGAGGGCAGCTTTCAACACTGTTTGCTAGGCTAACACTCTGTTCCTGTTGCAACTGAACAGACTGGTAAATGACTGGCTCGGTGCGAGCTTATCTCTGAAGGTGGTCCGAGCTTGTGTTTCTCAACAGACTGATGTTTTCATGTGGCTATTAAATGTTGGCTAACTGTTCAGGACTAGAAACTACAAACCAGCCGTTGTACCTGATTAGGGACAGTCTGAGTTTCATAATGAGCACAATGGAGTGCAAATACATAACCTGACCCCGCCAGAGCAGCTCAACAGAAGGTTGTTGTCGCAGCGGCTTTGCTGCTTGTGCTCGTTTACGTTATCTCTTTGAAGTAACAAGTCAGATGATTACTCATAAAATATGACCGAATACATCTCAGAAAATTTGATTTTATGGACTTTTAAGTAAGCTAGCTTCAGGGTATTTTTACTGTCAGCGTTTAATATGTTGGACTTGAAAGGAAGGTCATAAAAGCAGCGTTGAACCTGTTGTCTACTGATCGACAGACAGGACGTGATATTTTTTTATCAGGTCTTTGTTCACTTTCCTATGTTGTATCCTTTTTACCTTTTCTTATCAGACGTTCAGTCATGAGTCACGTCCCACCAGCCATGAAAATATTGTCAACATAAACGGCGGATTACTCAAAGTGCTGTTTCATTTTGTTGTCCTTGGTTGCTGGGCTGTCTTTAATCCGTTTCAGTCCCCATTGCTGGCGCTTTGCTCTGTCCAAGAGTGAGTCACTGCCGGCTCAGAGAGATGGAAAGTTTACTGTGGGGTTTGACCCAGATTCGGTTCACTGGTGTTTTGGCATTTTAATAGCGAATCAAGCATTTTGTGATGGTCAATTTTAATAAGTCCTAATTAATGAATCTTCAGTGTCAGCTTTGGCATTTAAAAATGAACCTTTGTGCGCGAATAAAACTTTAATTTTAGGACTTAGAATATAATCATCTTGTTTATGTTATTCATGTGACTGCTATTCACTGTTCATGCCTTTTGGAAATTTAAACAGTTATTAAGTCTGTTTTTCTTCTTCTGCTTCTCCAGATACATGAGACTGTATGGAAGAAAGTTCAGCAAAGAAGACCATGTGCTGTTCATCAAGTTGCTGTACGAGCTAGTGACGATCCCTCGGCTGGAGATCAGCATGATGCAGGGCCTCGCTCGGCTTCTTATCAACCTCCTCAAGTAAGAGTCGGCCCCCTTCAAGATGCCCCTTCTGTTTTCCTCCAACAAAAAACATGTTTCCACTTTGAATATCACTGCCAAGGATCTTAGGAGTGTCTTCTAGATACATGATAAAAAAATGCTGCAAACTCACCATTGACAACACATTGTCCAGTCTGATTTAGTCTGATCTGCTCATATATCTGTATGTCTGAGTCATAAGTGTTTGTTGAGTCAGTCATACATTAAATCTGATTCATATCTCTCTGTACGTCTGATTCATCTCACAGGAAAAGGGAGCTGCTGTCGAGGGAGGACCTTGAGCTGAATTGGAGACCGCTGTACGAGCTGCATGACAGGATTCTTTTCTCCAAGACAGAGCACCTGGGCCTCAACTGGTTCCCCAAGTATGATTCTCTACTTCATTTTTGCTGTTATTAATGTTAGGGATTTAAAAGTATGCTAAGTCGCAGAAATATTACTGATACGTCAAACCAGGGGGACACATTCAGCGAAGTTTAACTGCACCAGTGTAGCCGTGGTTGTATCTGACCCATTGAAGATTAAGTAGTTGCTTATTTTTGAATCTCAGGAGTCTTCATATTTATGTTTCTTTTTTTGAGTTACACTAAAGCCACAGCTGCGTTTTTTTTCATATGAGTTACCTTCCACGAACTGCTTCATTCATCCACCTGAATATCATCAGATTCAAATTAGATAGATTGCATCACTGAAGTGAAGTTAAATGTTTGTTCTGTATCAGTAAAACCTATTTATGCCAGTATAGATATAGAGATGTTTTCAGTTTAGTCCTTGTGTTCTGGGTTTCACTGGTTTGAATGAGAACTAACTGTGGGAAGCATTTTCTATGTCATGTATCCTGCCTAACTGTACAGTACTTTTCCCTCTGTGAAAAATGTCCACTTTCTCCTTCACACCCCGAGAATTTCCCTAAGAAGTTCTTAGCAAGCAGTGCGAGGTGCTCTTCTATGGTGCCATGGGAACATTGTGTGTTAATTACATAAATGCCTCGCTGTTTAGTGCGTCACTTTCACATCACAGCGGATGAAAAAAAACAAGCTGCTTTTGCTGTTTGCCAGCTCACCTCTTTTCAAAATTACACAAATACACATGAAACACGATACTCTGATCACATGATTAACTGTACAAGTTGATGTGTGAGAGCAGTGCTCAGAGGACTTGGCGCTGTAGTGTGCTGAATGTGTTCTTTTATGCCTTTGTCTCCTCTCACATTCAGTTCTCCATGGCCTCGTTCATCCTATAAACTCATAATGCTTAAATTGGTTCAGAGGTGGTAAGGACAACACGTCTCTTTGTGTTTTTATTTTGAATTCATCTTTTTTGAGGCACCATTTCTTTTTCTACATTGCATGTGTAAACAAAAAGACCCCTTATGCAGCTTGTGACAGAAGAGAAAAAAAATCAAGATTTAATCAATGTTAACATTTCACTCATATTGGAGACTGTCGCACTGCAGCTAAAAGGTTTTTTTTTTCCTCCAAATCAACCATGAGAGAGTGATGGTGTTGTATCTTTAATATGTGTCCCAGGATTTTTCATAATCTGTTATTTTATGCCCCAAGCGTTTCATCTGTTACGGATTATGTGATATAATTATATACAAAGAGGACTGTATTAGGATGTTTTACGTCACATTATATTATGTGTTACCCTGGAAGCCAAACAGTGGTAGAAGGAAATATATTTACATCAGTATCTACTCAGCAATAATCTTTATTTTAGTCCGTGGTCGAGTCGGGGTGGGCAGAGTATCGGTTTTAATTCTGTCGCTAGTGTAAAGCTCTGCGATAACAAAGATTTTGTAAAACCATCATCACTAGTTCACACGTGTTTTAGTTGTTGTACACACACACCATGTAGATTTGCTTCCCCCATTGTAGATTAAATTTGCTCTTTTGCTTCTTCAGCTCTTATACGTAAGATCAGGGCAACGCTCGCCACCCTCCCCCTCTCGTCTATGTTCGTGTATCGTGGTACTTGTGCTCTTTTCTCACCTCTGTGAAGAAAGCGTCCACTTTCCTAAAACTGAGTTTCATCTAGGGCTGTGGCTGTGAATTGCAGTCAAAGTAGTGACTGCGACTCTGTACGCTGATTGTAATACTAAAATTGAAATCATTTCTGATGAGTTCTTTACTATAAAAGTCTTCAGTTGAGCTGAAATACCTCCAAGTTTGAAACAGTCATGTCAGGAAATGACTTGAAGAACTAAATTAAGAAGGTGCGTTCATGTACAAACAGGAAGGAGGGAGAGAAACAAAAGTTGAGATCACACAGATTAAGACACTAAACAAAAATAAAATTCTATGTCATGTTGCCCACCCCTTTTACTCCAGGGCGCCCCCTCTCTTTGCTTGGTTCAAAGTAAGTCATACCTGTACTGCTATTCAGCATTTTTGGGGGTAACAGAGACGCACACGCTCTGATCACGTTTCCCTCCCTCGTGGTATGTATTAGGGCGAACGTGCAGGTTTGAACTCAGAGACAAATGTCACGCCGTTTAGTCTGGAGTTCTTCTTCTCTGCTTTGTAACGGGACACTCAGCTTGACTAGTTCTTGTTGTTCTTGGACTTACAGTGCATGAATTTTTGACTACAGCCTTTTTTTTTTTCCTGAGTACTAACCATTTGAGCAGACCCTCACTATTTAGGTACATTTAGTTTGGCTCGCAGTGTGTATTCCCAAATTCAGCTTCTGTTGGAGTATAAATGTGGAGTATGTCAGCTCTAAATGGCCCTGGGTGATGCGGGGATAGATAACCAGTTGTTGAGCGGGGCTGGCAGGGCTTTTCCAACCAGGCATGGCTCGAGCTTGCATGCGAGCAGATCGGTGGGATTGTGGGTGGGGAGCTCCAAAGCTGTGGTTATATCGGTCCCAGGCTTTCAACACTGTTATGTGACCTGAGTTTGGAGTCTATATGTGAAGATAATCATGGCAGGAGTCTGTAATGTGTGAGACGTTTATTATTAGTCCTCCTTGGTCCGCCCACGACAGCTCTCACAACCGGGTTAACTAGTGATCGATGCAAAAAGATTAGAAAAATGAATAGTTAACATGATATGTGTACATCGGACCAGGAAGATGAACTACTAACTGCAACACTTAGTGTGTTGAATGAAGTGTCATAAGTCTGTTATTGGTGTTTCCTAACTGCACACCAGCCTGTCAGGTGTTTTTGTTCCCTGTAATCCTCTCAGGTGTGTAAAGAAATGTCCGTGTGCATGTCGTCAATGTCAGGTTTCTTTGGTGTGAACGTCCTTTAACTCTAACACTAGTCTTTTAGTGGTTGTTTTCCCGTGTCCTGACATTTCTCCTTTGCGTTCTTTATCACAGCTCCGTGGAGAGTGTGCTGAAAACCCTGGTGAAAAGCTGCAGACCGTAAGTAAATCTTAATCTCATTAATGCGTCTATTAATAGAGGTATTATAGTCTGAGATTCACTTGATTGTATCAAAGGGAATTAATTGAAATTAGATGAGACAGAGCGATACATCACAAATTAAAATGATGTGGAGTTCAGCTGATGGGACAGAAATTCCTCAGTTTTTGCTGAAGCGGTTGGTGAATCCCTGTCTTCATTTTAAGGCTTGAATCGATTTCTCCATGAACCCACGGCTTTGCTGCGACAAGCAGGTCCCTGAGTTTGCTCACATTTGCGTAGTGCCTGTGCAGATATCTTAGGCAAGCACTAGTACTCGTCACTCTGTTTGCACTTAGCTAGGTAATCCTATTATCTCATCTAATTTTGTCTTGTGTGAGAGATTCCTGTTATGGTGAGAAAAGAGAGTGACTTGGAAAGCCTCTGAGACGCTCAGGATCAGCTGGGGGTTAGAGGGGAAGAATCCTTGGTTGGAAGTTTCAGTTCTTTCAAAGTGTCCAGTAGGTTAGGGATTGCAGCAGGCGGCCAAGTCACCTGAAATAACCTGCTGGGTTTACACAGTCTTATAACAGAGCGTGAAAAGTCACCTGTGGGACGCTGAGTGCAGTTGAGTCACAGTGTTAACGCTCTGAACATTTACACGTACAGTAAAGTCAAGCTGTGGTTATAGGTTGATAAAGCAGTTTATTAAGACTATGGTCCTTGTAGTTTATTGTAGTTTATCAAAAAAAGTAACAACGTGACGAAAAACAACAGACAAATTATCAAGAGGTTAACTGGTTGTATGTTTTGTGAAAAAGTTGACAACGTTACATCTCTGTATCTTCTGTACCTTCTTTTAGAATAAGAATAAGAAGAACTTTATTAATCCCCGAAGGGAAATTCAATTGTCTGTTGTCTCACATAATATGTCTCTAAAAGTTATTTACTATTTACACAAGAGTTATTATACTAACTTTGTTCAAGGGCTTGGTCTAAGCAATGATCTGTTAGTATGATACCTATCCCGATACAACAAACATGATTCACTGCACTAAATTGAGATGATATGATGGTATTATGGTGCATACTCTCCTTATATAAAGGGCATGCAAATAAATGAGTTTAGTTTAACAAATACACTCTTTCACAACACCAAGAGGGTGCAGATCTTTTCATACGAAGGGAAGAGTTGACAGTTATTTTAGTTGTACAAGTTGAGTTATAAAATCAGATTTATTATCCTTCATTAGGAACTTAAAGAACTTTTATACTGTGTCCAAAGTGCTGCGTTGACAGTTCAGGTTCGTTAATCTACTCAGATTTAATTTCAGAGCATGTTCAATAAGATATAAAAAAAATGAAATGGAAGGAAAAATAGAATAATGCAGGGCACCAAATAACCCCTGGCAATCCCCAAATACTTGGAGCTATTTTTAAATGACAAACTAGATTCATATTTAATCACAATAAACTCCTAAAATGACGAATTAAATGATGATTAAAAGTTGTGGTAGACTTTTGATGTGACTGTATCTTTGTCACCTCCCCTGCTGCTGGCATACTCTGCAGGGTCAGAGAGACACACAGGAACACCACACTCCACTGTTGACCGCACTGGACATCAGCTACCATGCTGAAACTGAGACTTTATAACGAGCAAACTAACTTAAAACCCATTTTAGTTTGAGTTTCTATGAACCCCCAAGAGGCTTAAAATGTATTTGAGTTCACACTCTGCTTGCTCAGTCTCTCCTGCTCCTCACTGCAACATACAATAATAACAGCAGGTAACAGCAGGGAATTCATAGCAGGTCTATATATGTCCAACTCTTAAGTTTGACTTAGTACAAGTCCAGTTGGACTGTTACACACATATCCTTGATTCCCCTCGTCTGACGGAGAGGTCTGCTCATCAGTCTCAAGCCTAAGTAGAGTGTGCACAGGTGTGTGAGGTTGTGATTTGTAAGAGACCTAAGAGGCTTGTCCATATTTGTAGTGCTGTCTAAGCAGCTCTGCGGGTTCAGAGGCCATTTATACCTCTTAAAAGCTGACAAATGATATTAATAACATTCTCGTCATCAGCAAGTTATTGGCTTATCTGTACAAAACAGAAAAAAGGTTTTAAAGTCTGTTTTTTTCTTTGCCCACACAGATACTTTTCAGAGTCTGCAACTCAGGAGATGTTGGACGAGTGGAGACCGCTCCTCTGTCCCTTTGATGTCACCATGCAGAGAGCAATCAGCTACTTTGAGCTCTTTCTGCCCACAACGCTGCCTCCAGAGCTGCACCACAAAGGCTTCAAGTGAGAAACTTCTCATCCTCTCCTACGTACGCTTGTGACCCAAGATATCACTCCAGTCTGGAGGCAGAGTAGCGAGTCAGCCTCGAGATCCGGTCTGTAGGAGAAAAGATGAATGAATCACAACCAGGGCTGTGTCAGTTGTATATAAAAGCAGAGGATCCCGGCATAGGCGTCGTGATGAGCTACGCAGAGATGCCTTTTGAAAATGTGAGGGGGTGTTTCCTATAGTGAGAATCTTCCTTTAAAAAAGGAGCCAAGATCCAGTTCCAATTTTGTGTTTCCGTCACAAGAAAACAATGGAAGAAAACACACATATTGGTTCCTGCTGCTTTTTTAGGAGTATTTTTATAGCTCTTGAAAATGAAATGCTCACTTTCACGTCGTTCAGATTTTTCCACCCCTCTAGACCACATTGGCAAGGTGTAGTGAGTGAGTGATTTCTTAGGCCACTTAACGCTGGCAGAGAATCCCTTAAATGTCACCGCCTACCTAATGCCTTAACAATGTTAGAGTGCTGAGCTGATGCAACCAGCCATGATCAGTGTGTATCCTTCTTAAGAGAAGGACAACAAAGTAAGATTTCACCCGAAACTACCTGGAAATTTAATCGTTTTATTTCAGATCAACTGTTTTTTTACTGTTTTTATTTTCTTTGAATTGAACACTAAATGGAATAGCCCATGAACAAAAATAATTTGCTTTTGCTTCCTTTACTCATATGCAAGTAGACAGGAAAATTTTGAAGAAACGAGACATAACTTCAGTCTCATGAAAGTTTATATTTGTGCAAAATGTCTATAAAAACAGATTTAATGGTGTGCAACTCTAACAACTGACCACAGCCGGCAAGGACAACATTTCAAATGTTGAAGTAGGAAAAAGAAAAGGAAAATATAAATGCTAATTTTACAGAAGTGCCAATGAAATGTTTCAGCAAAGTTGGGATGGGGGCATGATTACCATCCTGGTCCCACTCCTCTTTCGATCAAGAGATTCAGTGTCCACGATTTCCAAACAGAATATCAAATTTTGATCCTTCAGACCACAGAGCAGCTTTCCTTTCACCTTTTTTTTCATCTTAAACCTCAGAGAGGTTGTCAGCGTCTCTTAATCTTCACATTGTTACGTTTTAACTTCTATTTGTGGAGTTAGTGATAATCTCTGCTCAGACATTGGTCTTTAAGAGTCTATATGCAGTAATTTCCACTACAGAGTCAGGCTTGTTTTGAATGCAGTGCCACTTTTGGACCCAAAGGTTCACAGCCAGTAATAGTTTTTTGGCCTTCTCCTTTTTGTATTTCTCTGGATTATCTGAGTATTTTGATGTTATTACTCTCTGTAGATGTTTATGCTGATGAAGATAATTGATAAACTATTAACTCCCTTAGTCTCTAACAGAGTGCTAAACCTCTAACCATCTTTACTTCTGAGGGACGCAGTCTCTCTGGAGTGCCTGTTTTGTTCTCAGTCATGTCACTGACCCGGAGCAAATTAAAGTAATTAGTCCACCAGGGTTTTTTTCAGTGGGTCATTGTCCATGTCCCAACTAGCTTGAAACTATTGTTGGCATCAAAGTGAAAAAGAGCGTTTATTTTTTATAAAACAATCAAATTCTTCAGTGTCATCTGTTTTTCTCATCATTTGTCTCAGCGTCCATTCGGAAATAAGGGCTGTATCTCCGCTCCACAGCCGAATTAGTAATGTCAGAAATATGTCCTTAAAAATGTTGTTTTCTGCTTCTGTTGCTGTTTATTTCTCCAACAGGTTGTGGCTTGATGAGTTACTCAGCTTATGGGTGTCTGTGCAAAACCTTCCGAGCTGGGAAGTGGTGAGTAGATTCAGTTGTTAGAAAAATGTCTGAATGTGCAGCAGTCAGCGTTTCTCTCTTCCTGGTGTAACGTGTCCCACTTCTCTGCAGCACCTGGTCAATCTCTTCGCTCGCCTGGCCAATGACAACATCGGCTACATCGATTGGGACCCTTTCATCCCGAAGGTTTGCGGCTCATATTATTTTTTATACAGTTTGGAGCTTGTTTGTTTATAAGTTAGTGGCACATGTGACCTGACCCCGGTGAGTCTGGCTCAGGGTGCGAGTTTCATCACAGCCTCTGCTGCTGCTGCTGCTCTGAGAAACAAAGTCTCAGGTTTCCTTGTTGATGTGACTCTTGGTCAAAGCAAGTCTCCTCACGATGGGAAGTGACTTGCATCACATTTGCATTCCAGCCTCATGACTGTTTTGATCCGTGCTCTTTGTCAACAACAGTGTCTGTCCCTGATAAACATAAACACAGACGCCGCAGAGACGCAGAAGCTGGATGTTAGATCAGCCGGGGATTTTCTTGACGTCTTTCCATGATGACTTTATATTCATTCATTAAACTCGCTCTTATTTTACCAATGTCACCTGACAGAGGAGAGTGGATGCAGCAGTAAAACACTGTGTGGGATATGAACGTTAACCCACTTTCAGCGTTTAAAGTCATTTTCTTATTTTCACAACTTTTTTTGATTCTGCCGCTTTTAATACAATGTTTTTTTTTCCGCACCATCCTTTTGCATATTAAGTCGTTTGGTATTTGTCTAATTTTTCATAATGAGAATAATGATGATAACTTTATTTATTTAGCACTTTAAAAATAAATGTTTACAAAGTGCTGTGATGTGCAAAACAAAGACAGTGACTAATTTGTTCTCAGCTGCTGAAATAAAGACCGAACCTTCACAGAGTTGAAATGGTTTTAGGTTTGGCGGGTGTGGAAATGATCTCAGACAGAAAATCAGGACAGAAGTTTGAAGGCTGAATTTTATATAAGCAGGCTGACAAAATGCAGAACATAATGTTTGTGGAAAAAACAATTATATATACAAATACCAGTTTTATTATAGGTGAACACAAATGACATTAAGCTATATCATAACCCTTTAAAATCGAATGAGAAGGGACCTTCACTTTCTCACTATTAAAGCTCACCAGGTAATTTAGTTGACATCTAGATATATTTAAATCCAGAACATGAGCATTTAAATTTCTGTTTATTAAACTCTAATGAATATTCATGAGCTGCATATCATTATCGGGGTCTTGGAGCCTCATAAGGGAAGTGGTGTATTCCCTTGCAAAGTAAAAAACTGATTTTTCTGTATTTATGAATGAGTTAAAAAAACCTTTAAGAAGTCCAGAACTGCTCCGGCTGATCTCGTAATGCAGGTGGTGTCCTCAATAAGCTTGTTGACTCTTACCGAGGTTTCTCACAGATAGTAAAAATGTTTAAACTTGTCATATGCTTCAAACTGTGAGTAATTCCTTTATTAAACAAAATTACTGTAGGACTGATTAGTTTGATTACTTGTGAAGCCTGATAGCTGAATCACCCAGAATAGAAGTTTTATTGCAGATATCACGGGCTGTGCATGATCAAAATAGCAAACAGCTGAACTCTTGTTGTTCTGTCTTGTATTTTGCAGATTTTCACCAGAATTTTGAGGAGTTTGAATCTCCCCGTGGGGACCAGTCAGATGATGGTACCACGTTACATCACAAATGCCTATGACATCAGTCATGTGGTTCTTTGGGTCTCCTCTCTCTTGGTAAGCTGATTCTTGTAAACGGTGTGTTTTGGTAAACAGAAGCATTTATTGAAAAGCTGTTTTCATAATAACTTGCACTTTGTTCACTTTAGGGAGGACCCAGCAAGCAAGCTCAAGCACAGCTCAGTGGCCTTTTCAACAGCATCACATCCTTCTTCCACCCGTCAAACCACGGACGTTGGTTGGTGAGTCTCACGAGAGCTTTAGTTGTTAAATTCAGGTTTCATAAAAGTGGCTCAAATTACCTCCCCCTAATCTGAAAAAGTGTGAACTCTCTGTAAAATGATTTTAATGGTTTGGAAATCATTTAAAAGTTGAACCAATACAGAAAAACTGTGTGAACAGACATGACTCTATAGTGGAAATTACTGCATGAGACAATGAGCTCATACAAAAAACAAAACATTGTCTATTCAATGTTTATTATAACTGTACCAAAAACGCAACATTTTACACATCTGGGGAATCAATGCTGCACATGATATACAGGTTTTGTAGCAATTCAGACAACGCCTGTCACATGGAAGACCTTCATATTTTATAAATACAACATCAAACCTCGTCCTGAGTGTATAAAAACAGCACAGCACTGAAGTAGAAGAGTCCAAGAGCTGAACTGGCCTGTCTGCAGTCCAGATTTGTCACTCAGTCAAACATTTTGCGCATCATGTAATTTTGACCCCAAACTGCTGAAGAGCTGAAATCCTCTATCAGGCAAGAATGGGACCCTGTTCGACTGTTAAACTCCAGAAACTGGTTTTCTCAGTTTCCAAATGTTTACCAAATGTTGTTAACAGACATAGTGATTGTATCTGCACTTTTCAATCAAACACAGGGTTTAAATGATTTGCAAACCATCAAAATCTGACCTGATACAAAGTTATAAACATTCTGGTTTTCCTGAAGTTTCGAGATGAGACAGCATTTGAAGAAAACAGCTCCACTGATGTCATTGAGGTTTAATCCAACTGTGGCTCAGCTTGTGATTGGAAATAGGAAATGACTTGACATCCTGTTTTTCCAATTAAAGCCAGCCCTCTGTGTGCCAATAATCAGTGCACAGGACGAACACAAACTACAGTAGTCCCTCAGGGAAAGATAAATATCGTTTTTATGAAAGGCCTTTTTCTCTCACAAGAACTTCACTGGAAAAAGTCCTGATTTTAGGGCCTTTAATTTTAGTTCTGATGTTATCATGTTTTAAGAAATATGAGAGAGATTCTTCTTCTTCTCTGAACTCACGTCATTGGGATATATTTAACAGTCTGCAGTGACCTCAATTATTCAGGTGCAAGTCTCATTTCACATGTGAGAAGGAATAATATTGACTTTGATTTTAATAGGAATAAATACACACACACCAGTTAGAAGTAGGACAAATATTTAAAGTCGATTAAACTCCTGAGTCATAGTGAATCGACTGTTACTGAGTGATGTTGGGTAAACCCCACCTTTAGCTTGTTCCAGCTCGACTTCCAGCATCGTGTTCACACGACATGCCGTGCCACATGCCGCTAATATCTACAAAGACACAGGGCGTACTCACCCGTCATCATTTTTCTAGGAAGCTTCCTGAATCTCGTCGGCTGGCTGTCTGCGTTTACATCAGCCCTGACTTTAGAAATAACAAGGGGACATGTGAGTGAGACGGTTTGGATGCTATTAAAGGTCACCGGGCACGGGGCCACATGCCTTTCTGTTTTCAGGACCCCCCCCCCCACTTCACTAGATATGAAGCAGCAGCACAGGCAGCACCGTGTCCTCATACAAACACTCTTAGTTTTGGCAGTGAGATATGAGTTTGTGTGTATTCTAGCCTGTTGCTCGGATACATGTTGGAGGTTCATTCACATCACTGCAGTCTTGTTATATGTAAACAGTGTTTTCTATTGAACTGACAGTAATACAGTGGCGCTAAATGTCAGGTGGTAAGTTATGGTCAGCGAGAGATGTTGGCATGTTTTGGGATCTAGTTGAAGTTGTTGATGTAGTAGTAGACACTGACACTACGCACATGTGCAACACTGACAGACTTCAGCCACTGAGGAAGATCCTGACTGTAAATCACAGCAGAATTCAACCATCATGATAGGTTACACGTATAAAGTAAATAAAACTACTCCCTGAATATGCACAGCTTTTTCAACTCTATATCATTAGGCATTTTCTGGTTATTTCTGTTATTATTATATCAGTTTGTTGTATCATTACTGAGTGGAACAGTCGATCCAACAGGGGTTTTACACTGGATGTGCAACAGCTGCATAACGGCTGCAGGAGTTGCTGCTGTCTGGCTTGTATCTCCTCTAGAGTTTATCTGAGTTATCTCACGTATCCTGTAACCTGTTGTCAGCTGTTGTTGTCGTTGTAATGAATGATGGTTCTGTTTTATTTGCTCTTTTGATATCAGAGATTGCTTTCTGGTGTTATGACAGCGTCAGGGGGGTGATATCATCAGGACACTATCCTGTTTACTTTAAAGAAGGGTGCTGAACTCATACAGACACCGGCTGACTGGAGCGAGAGGGGCAGACACATGTACGGAGGACTGCAAAAAAAACCATCCTCCATAACCTGATGTTAGGATTTGATGATTGACACAGCCAATGTGCTTTATGCTAACTTTTCATCACATGCAAGTGACTTCTTTTACCAAATAAATGTCCTGGACAGAAATTCAGATGTGTGTAGGTAGACTGTAGCGGTGGCTGAAGTAGACAAAGTTAATGTGGGAGGGGGTGAGCAGCTTCTGGAGTAGTTATCGTCCATTTATGGTTATCGAGGTGAACTGCTCAATATATCGTGATATTGATTTGAGGTCATATCGCCCAGCCCTACCTTCATGGTATAGATTTCATACTTCTGACAAAAACATAGTGAACACAGAGCCAGTTTCATTTTTCTGTTAACGTATCTTTGATGAGATCTACATGCAGCTTGTGGGAGACAGATGTGAGACATGCTGCTCAGCCTGCAGTGTGGAGGGAGTGATCCCTTCACATAAAAACAAAAATGATTGACATGCAGCTGTTATGCATCCAGAGTAAAACTGGCATAATTCTGTGCATTCCAGGCGTTTGCACGATGTGTAGGATCACAGATGTTGTTGAAGTTGAAAAATGCTGTGCTACAAGAAAGAGTTGACTACCATCTAGTGTTGGTGATACACGACTGTTCATATTTGCTTTGAGATATCTGAAGGAATTCCAAACCTGTAACTCCACAAAGCTGGATTCACATCGTGTTGTTTATATAAGCACAAAGTCATGTCTGCAGAACGACCTCTACATCTCTACATCTCTGTGTGTACTCCCGGGGTCATCCGTCTGCTTTCCTGTGTCCTCATGTCCAGATGAAGCTCATGAAGCTGCTCCAGCGTCTCCCAGCCAGCGTGGTACGGCGGCTGCACCGAGAGCGCTACAGGAAACCCACATGGCTGACACCGATACCCGACAGCCACAAGCTCACCGAGGAGGATATCACAGACTTTGTACAGAGTATGATGCAGCCGGTTCTGCTGGCCATGTTCAGCAAGACAGGCAGCCTGGATGCAGCCCAAGCCCTGCAGAACCTTGCTTTAATGAGGCCGGAGCTGGTCATTCCCCCCGTGTTGGAGAGGTAACTAGAGAGTATCCTGCGTCCGAAGCCCCGGAGCAGTGTTTATTTTTTACTGCTTTTATAACCAACACAAAGAGCTGATTGTTTTCTGTCTCTGCCACAGAACATACCCAGCGCTGGAGACGTTAATAGAGCCACACCAGCTGACTGCCACTCTGAGCTGCATGATCGGGGTGGCACGGAGCTTAGTGTCAGGTGGGCAGCGCTTTCCCGAGGGGCCCACTCACATGCTGCCCCTGCTCATGAGGGCCCTACCGGGAGTTGACCCAAATGACTTCAGCAAGTGCATGGTACTTAGATTGTCTTCTTCATAAAATCTGTCTTTGTTGGATTTTTTTTCATATTTTGGGTGCCAGGCTGCATTTCTTAAGTCTTCTTTGACCGTTTTCTCTCGTCCCACAGATCACATTCCAGTTTATTGCAACATTTGTGACCCTTGTGCCTTTGGTGGACTGTTCGTCTGCCCTCCATGACAGAACTGACTTGACAGAGGTCACTATCATTTCCTCTCTTCTGCTCACGATTGAATTTTTATATTTCCACCTAAAGTAAATAAACAGAATCATGATTTTTTAAACTGCTTTCATATCACTGTGTACTAATTTTCTTCTTTTTTTTATATTTCCAGGTTGAAAGAGAGATGTGCTCTGCCTCAGCTGAGTTTGAAGACTTTGTGCTTCAGTTCATGGACAGGTATGTGACATTTTTGTTACGATGAGCAGTCGTTCATGTGTGGAAGTGGCTTTTAGTCACATAGTGGTGAAACAAATAACATTGTAGCACCTTTGGATCAACATGTGAGCATCCACCAGCAGTACTTGCTCTTAACTCTCAAATAAAAACATATTTAATTTGTAGTCAGGCCCCTTTAGAGTGTCAGAGATCATGTCCTTGTGCCCCCTCATCCCAATGGCACTGGATTCAGATCTTATGTTTACTGTCATAAATCTTTAACCATTTTTGTAAGTGTTTACATCAGCGTTCATTTGTTTGCATTTTGATTTGTTTTCACAACATAAATTGATCATTTTGGTGGAGATGATTGTCACCAGTTTGTATTTACATGAAAAACTGGAGCAGATTTCTTTGAGTTAAAGGTAAAAGTAAATCCAGAAAATGCAATGCTCGCAAAAACTCAAGGTTAATTTGTATGTCTTGTTTCTTTGAAAGCTGTGAAAGTGACCCTCATTAGCTGCAGCATTTTGCCTGTTTAGTACTTAAGTGTATTATGTTTGTCCGTGCAGATGCTTCGCCCTGATAGACAGCAGCACTCTGGAACAAACGCGAGAGGAAACAGAAACTGAGAAAATGACTCACTTGGAGAGTCTGGTCGAGCTCGGGCTGTCCTCCACCTTTAGCACCATCCTCACTCAGTGCTCTTTGGACATTTTTAAGGTAAAACCAGATCATCACTCCCTCAGACGACGGTGAATTTTCCATTTAAAACACACTGAAAACATTTGAAATATTGTCAACAGGTGGCTCTGGAAAAGGTGTTCAACTTTGCAACCACAAACATCTTTGAGACGCGTGTATCAGGGAGAATGGTGGCTGACATGTGCAGAGCGGCTGCTAAGGTAAGACTCATCCTCTCGAACTTATCATAGACATAAAAAGCACTCACATCTCAGGGTGGTTCATCATCTTCATCCTCTTGTACTTTTTCAGTGTCACCCTGCAGAGTCACTCAAGGTGTTTGTGCCCCACTGCTGCAATGCAATAAACCAAATCGCCACCAGTAAGTGCTAATCTCACAGTGAAGGCAGCTCTATTTAGGAGGATTTCTTTCTTTGGTGTTTATCTGATTTAATGTTTTTAACAGATGAGGAAGTGTTGAACGAAGAGGAGCTGGACAAAGAGTTGTTGTGGAATCTCCAGCTGCTGTCCGAGGTGATTAAGTCCACTACAAATATCTCACTTAACCTCTTAACTTTTATATTTACCCTCATCTTTTTCATTTGCGTTATACCCTACCCTGAATTTCTCGCTCTCTGCTGTTTTCATAACAGGTGACTCGGGTGGACGGCGATAAGATGCTTCCCTATCGGTCAGACCTGGTCCAGATTTTGCAGTTGACGCTTCACCTCAAGTGTAAGCAGGGCTACACGCTAGCTTGCAACCTGCTGCACCACATCCTTCGCTCCACAGCCCTCATCTACCCCACAGAGTACTGCAGTGTGCCTGGAGGCTTCCACCAGCCAATCACTGACTACCTACCTATCAAGGTAGGCGCTTCAACTCATGACCAAAATTAAGCTTCCTTTATTTTTGTGGTGGTACTTCTCATAGCTGATCTATTAGCCAGTGTAAGTTTGTATTTTTTTATTATTGTTGTTTATTAACTTGTGTTGTGTATGTTTGGAACATTACAAAAAGAACAGCAGAAAAAACACCCAGGTCGCCATACAGGGTTCCTGCAGATCCTTTAAAAGTCTCACAAATCTTAAATTAGATTTATAATATTAAAGGTCTTAAATTTCACTTACAAGAGGTCTCCAGTTTTGTATGGCACTATGGTTTGTTGTGTAATCTTTAGCTGAGACACTTATCTCAGAGCAAATAACCACGGGTCGCAATTAAAACATATGGTCAAAACATATTATGTCAATATAATATATCTTGTGTTACCCTGCAGAGTAGGAAACAAATGAGCTGCAACAACTGAGTAGGCCTTATGCTTTAGAAATGACCGTTTAATAAGAGTATCCTGATGTGAGCCATTCTGCAGAGTAAATATTTGTCCCATTTTTATTTGGTTTGCAGAGGTGAATAGTGACTATGACATGGTTTCTAAGATGTGTCAAAGAGCTCTGAACTTGAATTTATAGTTTAATATGACACACGTGTAATATGCTCTTTATTCACCGGTACAAGGAAAGGTTTGTGTTCTAGAAATCCCTCAAAAAGTCTTAAATTTGATTTTAAGAAGTCTCGAGTTTGATGTTAAAGAGTGAGGAGGAATCCTTTGAGAGCAACCGCAGCTGAAAAAAACAGCTTAAAGAAGCTAACCACTTTGTCTTTAATAGATCCGTACAGTTAGTGTGTACGGTGTATTCTGTCAGAAAGATAGACATTCGTCCTTAAGTCACCAGCCAACCAATAAAACTCTCTACTGCACCCTCAGTGACCTGGTTGATTAATTGTCTCTCCTCTTCGGATGGTTCGTTAGTGAAGCAGACTGTACTTTGATCCCATTAAGTGTCTTCCTGAGTTGAAGCATGGACAGCCGATCACTTGACTGGATTACTGTGTCCTACAATGCAAAAGAAATGTCATGTCTGTCATGGTTTCCAGTTTGCTAGCAGCACCGGAGGCTGAGGGAGTGTGAAATGTTCTTTGTTAGTCTTTCAATTGAGCTTCGTTCAGTCAGAGTTCAGTCACAGAAAATGAAGAAGGTGGCAGTGTGTGGAGATTCAAGTCAGTTCCTCTTATTGGGTAGTTTTCTACATATTAGGGTCATGCATAATGATCAGAAAAGAAATAATTGTCAGAGTTGTGCCAAAACTATTTCACATCTATTTTCTCATAAGGCTGATATTTCTACTAAACTGACCTCTGTTAATTATTTAAGTTTCATTGTTGGTCGTTCATTGTGTGTCATGCAGGACTGGGGTCGGCCTGGGGATCTTTGGAACCTGGATATCCGGTGGCATGTGCCCAGCGTCGAGGAGACAGCTTTTGCTTTCTATTTACTGGACCTGATCCTGCAGCCTGAACTCCAGCGCCTTCAGAGATTCTCACAGGGAGACCAGGACATGAGCAGGTGAGGAGGAACACATCAGAGCGTTCACCTGTACCCTTCGAACCTCATCTCCTGATTTCTACCCGCATAATTACAGAGACTCTAAAATCTGATACATGATGGTGTATTTTTACAGAGACGATGTTCTGCAGAGTCTGACCATCATTCAGCACTGCCTCCTGGGAGCTGGGAGTCTTATGCCTCCATTGAAAGGAGAGCCCATTCCTGAACTGTAAGCAATTACATGCAAGTGCATAACTGTGCAAACTAAATTTCTTCACTCAAATGCTGCATTTGACAAGTTATTTAACACCTTAGACTTTTTAGATAAAATCAAAGTTTTACCACCATTGCACTTTTTCAGTCCTCTAAAACCAGTAGGTAGAGAAATATCTGTGCAAATCCATCATGTATTTTTATGCACTACTTACTTCGACCCAATTTATTCTTAAATCTGTGTTCCAGTCAGATTTACAGAGGCTAATTTAAGATTACAGAACACATGTACATATAATCCTGCAGGTCAAGAACGTGGTTTTTCATCTGCACTTTACTTTTCTTCATAACATGTTAAAGAAAAATCTTGTCTTGTGGTGTCCGGTGTGTTACAGACGTGTGTAAAAGGCAGTAATACAAACATCCTGTTTGCACAAAGCACCATTCATACAAAGAGCTGTTTAAAGTCAAGCAAAAATACAAACTGAAATGCAAAATATGAAACATTTCTAAATATAATATCAAGATAGAAAGACAAAACAGCATTTGATAAGCTTTGTGCTTTGGTAAAAGGCTCCACTGGCCCTTTCGTTGCACATTTTATTCCTCCAAAATATGTCTTCACACGAGTTAATATCTTGGCTTTGAACCTGTTTTCCACCCAAGGGTCCACAGCATGGTGAATCTGGATGAGACCAACCTCTACACTGGAATGCAGTATGGTACGTCAGTCACCTTTGAAGTGCTGTTACATGATAATGGTGCAGCTTTGGAAAGATGTAAAGTATGAGCTTTGTTAGAGCACAACGTGACATTGTAATATAATCTCCACTTGCAGATGAATCTAGAGAGAACTACAGAGACGCCGTGTGCAGCGTGATGAGACAGCTGCTGCGTAAGTGTGCAAAAACGTCGACTATTCTGGCCTGCAGTCTGTGTTTGGTCTGATGCCACGTCCTTACCTACCCAGTTTGTCTTACACTGGAAGTAACAGGAAAGCTTTTGTTGGTTTTAAGTGTCCTTTTGTTTTTTTACAGATTACATCCTGGAGCACTCTGAAGATGACACCAAGTCTCTTTTCTTAATCATCAAGGTGAGCAGACAGTCACATAAAATAACCGTCTTTCAAATGAAGACGATACTCTTGTTTTTATCAGTGCGTTGATCGTTCCAACAGTCGCTAGTTTTATTTAAAAATGGAAGTGACACTCCATGTTTGCACAAATACTTTCCACAAGTATTCGTTAACTCTGTCTGTGATATTTTGCAGATTATCAGTGACCTGTTGCATTTCAAAGGCTCTCACAAACACGAGTTTGACTCCAGGTGGAAGAGCTTCAACCTGGTGAAGAAATCGATGGAAAACAGAGTAAGAGTCTGAGGGTTTTTTTTGTTACTCTTGTGCTGTTGTTGCTATAGGTAAGCATTCAAAGACATGCACTGGCAGTCCACAAGTTGAATACTGTTTTGTATTTGCAGCTTCATGGCAGAAAGCAGCACATCAGAGCCCTGCTGATAGACAGAGTCATGCTCCAGCACGAGGTAAGCCCTTGAAAGACTTGAGGAGAGTCCCAAACCGTGTATTATCTCGTTAGAGCATGTATAAGTGAATCTTTCTGTTTTTTATCAGCTGCGAAAGCTGACGGTGGAGGGATGTCAGTACAGGAGCATCCACCAGGAGCTGATGAGAGATCTGTTGAGGCTTTCCACAAGCACCTACAGTCAAGTGAGTTGTCATAAAACACACATGACATGTTTTCCTAACACTCCTGAGGTCAATGATAACTAAAAACGACTTTATATGACCTTCCAGGTTCGCAGCAGAGCTCAGAGTGTGCTCTTCACTGCACTGGGAACTTACAACTTCTGCTGCAGAGATCTGATCCCTCATGTCCTACAGTTTCTCAACCCAGCCAACAAAAGCGTCACACAGCAGCAGTTCAAAGTAAGACCGCCCGCCTCCCCCTCTGCGTGTTCCTAAACAAAGAAACTTAAAGAGAAAAGTTTAAGTTCATAAGAAGTTAATGCTTCATTGTTACCTCTCCAGGGTGCCTTGTACTGTCTTCTGGGGAATCACAGCGGAGTGTGCCTGGCAAATTTGCACGACTGGGAGTGCATCGCTCTGACATGGCCCGCCATCGTCCGCTCCGGGCTCAGCTCGGCCATGTCCCTGGAGAAGCCCTCCATCGTGCGCCTCTTCGATGACCTCGCAGACAAAATCCATCGGCAGTATGAGACCATCGGCATCGACTTCTCTGTAAGAAAATCTTTAAAACAGTTTCACAAATGGTTCATAAAAGTCCCTGAGTGTTCAGCCGTTCTACTTTGATACTGTTCTAGAGATGGATACCAGTCTTACCATAACAGTTCATCATATTACACTGGCCTGCATGATTATCTCTTACTGCATGTACATGGTTACATGATGTGGTTTGGTATTCAAATTTTGAAATACAATTACACACAAGTATCATATATTTAATAATGCTTACTAACTATAGTATATATAGTACAAATTATATGTATGTTATATAAACCAAAGCTATACCTGTATATGAGTATAGTAACAGAATGAATAATAATAAAATTAAAAATGAATAAATAAATAATGATAATGATAATCATGATGACAACAACAACAATAATAATAAAAATAATAATAATGATAATAATAATAATTATAGTAATGATATAGTACATTTTATGCCATAATGTTTGCAGCACATTTTCTTTACACACAGATGCATACATTATATTTAATGTGGGTTTATTAAATTATAAGTAATGCACTAGAATTCCACAAAACATGTTCTAACATGGGAAATATTGTTCACTGGTGCTTTATTTTGCTTTAATTTCTCTATTCCCCCCAAAAAAAACATAATAAATCGTGCATTTTGTTCATATATTCTGTGATTAATTTTGAATTAGCAGGCTCAAACTTTTCTCTGTGATAGGCGATGATGTGAGGAGTATTTTTCAAGCCAACCTTAACCAGAAATGAGAAATTACAGCCTTTATGATTAAAATGTTATAGCACCATAATAATGGAAATGTAAGCAAGAGAGGGCTCAGCTGTTGTGTGACAGTAGCCAAATAAATGTGGTGTTTTATTTTGAAAAATTCCCTGAAATTCTCTAAGAATCTTTTAGTAAAATTAAAATGTTCTTATCTGCTTCTCATCTGACCGTGCATCAGAGAGAAGTGTGATATCTTCTTTAAATACTGCAGCTCCATCCTCCTTTCTCATAAGGGAGTTTTCACTTCAGTACTAACTATGTCTTAACCCACTAATCCTCTCATCCCTTTAGATTCCTGAAGAGTGCTGCGCTGTGGCCAAACAACTTATGATCACTGGAAATCCTCTCCCGGTGGAGCCCGTCCCTACAGAGGAAGGAATAGCGGAGGGTCTTAAGAGAAAGGAGCTCAAGAACATCGAATCCATCCAGTAAGTTCACACCTACAAAGACTAAGAACCTTTAGCACAGCTCATGTTTGGTACTTGTTTAGTAGCTTAACTTGATTCTCGGGTCACTTTATGTCTTCGAGTTGTAGAATATGATGCTGACATTTTTTTTTTACACATTTACAGGAAGTACGAACAGCTCATGGGTGATCTGCTGGACTGCATCGACAACAGGAACATGTAGGTTAATTTATAAGAGACTACTTTCATCACGTCATGTTTAATCTTATTTATCACATTATTTACAGTCTTAAATTTCTGCTCTAGGCCTTGGAAATTCGAACACATTTCTATTGGCTTCCTTTCATTGCTGCTGAGGGACGACCACCAACTCCCACCGGCTGCTGTTACGTTCTTCGTCAAAAGCCTCAACCATGACTCCCTCTATGTCCGCAAGGTGTGGCATACACACGATAAGAAACACGGTTGTGCTGTTGCATGGACATAAGACGTAAGATAATGGTCTAGTTAACGTGTCAGCGTTTAAGAGGTAGAGTGGGAAAAGAAACAATATTTTGACACGCTTTTGGATGGTAATTGTCAGAAAATGTCCATAATTTTTGGTGCTCTATCATGATTGGAAATAAAAGATCTCAATAAATAAAATCACAAAAGTAGTTCCTCAAATCAAAGCCTTCATCTTTGTGTGAACAGTTTTTCTGACATGTCTTGTTTTCTCCTTTAGGTGGCGATATCAGCCGTGGCAGGGATCATGAAACAAATAAAGAGACCCCATAAGAAAGTCCCTGTCAGCCCATCAGAGATCTGTAAGCGTCATAAAGTTTTGGTTCTTGTGTTTTAGAAATAAGTGAAATTTAATCTTTAAGAATAAAAATAACAACTTTGCTTTACTGAATTTTCACAGGTGGACAGGAGTTAAGCGCCATGATAGCAGGAGACCGTCAAGACAACCAGTGGCTTCAGTATAACAGCAGCAACCTGCCGCGCACGCAGCAGGACTGGGACAGCTGTGTGTTTGTAGAGAAGACTCACTGGGGATACTACTGCTGGCCAAGGTTTTTACTTTATGACTCTTGTTTGGTTTGTTTGACTTTCTGTTTCTCTGGACATCTTTCTTTTTTTTCACCGCCTCCTCTTGTTTGCTCTCCAGAAAACTGATGATGTATGCACCACTGGAGGAGCAGCCCAAACAGAACCTGCCCAGAGAGGACATGACTGAGGTTTGTGCACAAATAAGAGGAAAATATGAGACACTGGAAGGAGTGAAGTCCTTTTAAATGTCGACTTAGTGTGAGTAACATTAATCCTCTTTTTAACAGCGGGAGCAGATCATCTTCGACCATTTCTCAGACCCAGTATTCATCAACCAGTTCATCGAGTTTCTCTCTCTTGAGGACCGGAAAGGCAAGGATAAGTTCAGTCCTCGCAGGTTCTGTCTGTTCAAGGTGAGAGTCCTGTAAGTTTAGAGTGAAATCCAAACACGGTTTTAAGTCGGCTGCTCATGAAAACTCTCGTTTCCGTCTGCTTCTTCCTCCAGGGATTGTTCCGCAACTTTGGCGATGCCTTTCTCCTCCTGCTGCAGCCGCACATGGAGCGCCTGGTGACAGACTCTCACGAGAGCAAACAGCGCTGCGTCGCAGAGATCATCTCTGGTCTGATCAGAGGCTGCAAACACTGGAGCTACTCCAAGGTATGGATGAGAAGCTCTTTAAATGAGGTGGTGAGAAGTTTCGATGTCTCAGATCAGAATCTGGGAAAAGAAATCAAAGTGCTATCGAGTCTGGTGGTTTCTATGATGTGACCCAAGACCTAACATGGAATAACTCTGGGGGTCAGTTGCTTGCATGTGGAGAGCTCTGAATTTGGCTTTGTGTCATACTTTTGATTGTCTTTAATTTTAAAAACTCTTCATAGTTGTTTGCTGCTGCTGTTACTGCAAAATAGCTTTGGACAAAACACCCAAACTTTGCAGAAAGTCCCAGAAATGAAAAAATAAAAAAGCAGTTGAATGTTAACTTTAGATATATATAAGTATGTCAGGGTAAGAGCTATTTAATTGAACAAACAATGTGACATTGGATTTCTGCAGGATATGTTTAAGGTCAGGTCAGTAAAATGGCCTTTAGGTGAAATAAAACATCACAATTATAAAGTCCAAATGTTGCACCAGGAAAGAAAAACATGGAGGAGATTTTTTTTTATTTTTCCCGACATTAGAAAATAGTAATTGCATCTGGAACTGCCATCTGATAAACTGCCAAACATGAGCTCTTATCTGCTAGAAGCACGTCATTAAAACCACTGATGCCAGTATAAAACAGTTTATCAGTTTATTATTAAAAACATGACACGTGCCTTTCAGCCAGGTAACAGAAAAGTATAGTTGTTAGTGGTTTTGATCAAGTCCCAATTTGTTTTATAGGCTGGGAGGAGTTTGTAACTGGTTGAGAAACAGACTGAAACCGATACTAATGCTTTTTATGTGCGTGTTCATACAGATCCTCAACTCAACGGCATTATGGGCTGATTTCTGTTTTCGTTCACAGGTTGACAAACTCTGGGAGCTGTTGTGTCCACTGCTCCGCACCGCTCTGTCCAACATCACAATAGAAACCTATGCAGACTGGGGCACCTGCATCGCCACCGCCTGTGTAGGCTCCTTTTTGTTTTTATCTATCATGCTTTAATTCACCGTCTTTTTAACTTGCATCATCCACCTTTGCATCAATACGACTCTGTTATTTCCTTCTCATACAGGAGAGCAGAGACCCGCGCAAGCTGCACTGGCTGTTTGAGATGCTAATGGAGTCCCCAGTCAACGGCGAGGGGGGCTCCTTTGTGGATGCCTGGTGAGTTGAAAGGCCGCTGCCTGATGCAGAAATTGATGCGACTGAATAAAAACGTTGACTGTGATTCTGTCCTCTTTCCAGTCGTCTCTACGTGCTGCAGGGAGGTTTGGCTCAGCAGGAGTGGCGCGTCCCGGAGCTGCTCCACAGGTTGCTACAATACCTGGAGCCCAAACTCACGCAGGTGTACAAGAATGTGCGGGAGCGCATTGGCAGGTGAGGCGCTTTTAACACCCCGCACAGACCACTTGAAGTGTGTTTTTCTCATTTTGTTGGCCCTCTCTTATTCTCTTTGTGTTGTTGTCTCTTCAGCGTGCTCACATACATCTTCATGATCGATGTCAACCTGCCGTACACTCAGCCGACCACCTCCCCGCGCATCGCCGACTTCACAGAGCGGATCCTGGTGCAGCTCAAGCCTCTGACTGAGGGTGACGAGGAGATCCAGAACCACGTGATCGAGGAGAACGAGGTGGGAGAGCAGGATGAGCGGACGCAAGCAATCAAGCTACTCAAAACAGGTCGGTCTGCACACTTGAACTTAATAGTTAATGCAAATACTGGTTCATTTTAATGCATGAAGCAACATTTGAAGTATCAGGGTCCTTCTTTAAACACCAGTATCCCTCTGTTTGAATGTCTGCAGTACTTAAGTGGCTGATCGCAAGTGCTGGTCGCTCCTTCTCCACTGCTGTTCCTGAACAACTACGGCTGCTTCCTCTGCTCTTCAAGGTGAAAAACTCACTCGCCTTTATTCCTCCTGAACCGCTGTCTACATTATTACCAGCTTCATTTATTTTTTACACCGCCCGAGGACCTGAATGACACCTGCATCTTCATTAAGCTCGTCTTTTATTCCAGATCGCTCCGGTAGAGAACGATGACAGCTACGACGAACTCAAGAGGGACGCGAAGACCTGTCTGTCTCTGATGTCTCAGGGACTTCTCTACTCAGAGCAGATCCCCATGGTCCTCAGTGCCCTGCAAGAGGTGAGTAACCTGGAAACTGGAGAGTCTGATGTTTCTTTTCGCACGTGACCAGGCATTATACAGGCCCTTCAAATAAAATCCCCCCCCCTGCAGGATTAGCAGGAAGAAAAGATTTAAAGCTGAGTGAATGACGTCCCACTGTGATTCTCTGTAGTCTTGCCAGCTGTGGATTCATTCTTAAATGATCGGTGACATTATCATTTCTTGGGAGCAGTTTGAAAGAAATGCTGCAAGTACTTTTTTCATGAGGTTGTATTAACAAAAAAAAAGGTGAATTATTTGCTGGACTTGACTTTCTATATGTCATAGGGCCTGACCGTTATGGATTTTTTCAGGCCGATGCCGATTATTATGGGGGGGGGACCTGATTACCGATTAATCGGCTGATTTTTTAAATTTTTTTATGAAGTTATAAAAAATATGTATATACTGTAGATATGCTGTAGGCTACTGCTCTTCACGCCGACAGGAAGACCGACTGATCAAACTCAGACCAGAAAAGTGTTTTCAACGAGATCCGTCACTCTGCTGTGCTGTGAGGTAGTTAGTAGATGAAGATTGTCATGAGGTCGCTGCGCCATCTACAGGATAAGTCGGGGATCTTTTCAAATGCCGGAACATTTTCGAAGTAAAACCGAATCTTATTCTCCGCATTTTATTTCTGAAAATATTGGCGAAAATCAGTGAGTTTTGGCCAATTACAGATTAGCCTCGAACAGGCTAAAATTGGCCGATTTATTCAACTCGCCTGTGGGGCCCTAATATGCAATCCACTGATGTTGCAACCGAGCTCAGTGGATCAGTCTCTCCCTGGCTGAAGCGCGCCCCCCTATGGCCTCTTTTCCCGACTTGATTCCCTGAACCATGTTTTAGGGTCATAAGAGCAGGGGTCACACGGCTGCAGTCATACCCGTGACGTGCACGTGTGGCTGTGTTGCAGACCCCCGTCAGCTCCTCAAACAGAGATAAAACCTGAGCTCAGTCTGTGCACACGTGTTTTCTGTCAGTGAAGCCAAGAGTGTTACGTTACGCGTGTTTACTTTCTTTTGTTTCTGATGAAACTGGGAGTGTTGTAGGTAACTCTGTTCAGCCCTTTTCACTTTCTACTTTCTACCAACCAGTTAAAAAATGCCCAGAACAGTTGTCGCCCAGTAGTCGAGATTAAGATATCCTTAACCCTGACCTGTGGAGTGGTGTGGAAGGTGTTGAACATGATAGCAAGCATTTTCAAAATAAGCAGCACCCCTCAATAAAAAGCCTAAATGATGTGATCAGTCGGGGCATTAACAGAGAGATGAAAACTTTGTCCCAGAACCAAGAACTGAAGAAGAATCTCTGTGCTTTTCCACCACAGGGAGAAAGGTTGCTTTACAAGTGTTGCTCTTTTTTTTCAGGTCGACTAATCTCAAAACTTTCTGGAGTCTTTAAGCCTTCATGAATGTAGATGACGATTCGCCAGAGAAACCCTGAAACCCCTTGAAAAATATCCTCCGTTATTACACGTTTTTTTGAGGCTACAAAAATGATTTCGACTGAAGATGTTTCTGTTTTGTTGTGTGTTTCAGATTGCTGGCAGCAGCTCCTGGCATGCTCGCTACACCGTGCTCACATACCTCCAGATAATGGTTTTCTACAATCTGTTCACCTTCATGAGCGATCAGAAAGCAGTGAATGACGTGCGAGCGCTGGTGATTCGGCTGCTGGAGGACGAGCAGCTGGAGGTAAAAGGACTCACCGGTTCACGGCTGTTTTTACCTCAAAACCGCTCAAATATGAAGTTAAAACATATTCAGTCCGTTTGAGCTGCCACTGGAGGATGATTGGAAGACAAACAAACATACGACAGCTTGATTATATAACCTTTCCGAGCTATCGGCCAATACATGCTTGTTTATGCTAGCAGGCCTCACTGTAGTGATTCAGCACTCTCCTCCTGGCTCTACACTCTCTTCCCCCCCTCCGGCCTTCTAGCTGTTTCTATGGAAACCACAGGCTGCAGTAATCTGTTGCTATGGAGATAACGTCCAGATTGAAGGAGGATGAGAGGGAAAGGGATGGAGTTGAGACAAAGGAGAAGTGGGGGATGGATGGAAGTAGCCGTTTTTTTATTTAATTTGGCCTCTCAAACTCACCTAAACCGGATTTATAGAACTCAAATTTATGACTGTGATCGCTCTTTTTTCTTCTGAATCAATTAAATATGAAAAATTCTCAAGCTCTACTGCTTTTATATTCCTGATAATGGTGCTAAGACACTTTTAACGCTTTTTTTGTACACTATCACCTTTAACGTGTATTGAGAAACACAGAAGAAAAGATGATATAAACCCTTAAAGAGAAAAAAAAAACAGCTGCTTCTCTTTCTACCTCGTAGAGCTTCACAGTCTGAGAAGCTTTCCCTCTGGAGAAAACTGTTTAAAGACCTCCTTAAAACCCTTCCAAGTTTAGCTATCTTGCTCAACAGAGATACAAACTGTGCAACAGACAATTTTAGCCAGCGTTATGGAGAAACATCCCCCTCATGCACACACACACATCCACCCCCATGGTCCCCAGCTGGCTGCTATTTCCATCCAGCTGGCCACTGTACATACAAATGGAGAACACCCTGCCTAATGATAATGTTGCTCGGCTATATTTTATACACTGCACCAAGAGACTGTCAGCAAGGTGCTGAGGCTAGTGTGTAAGTATGAGCAGGGAAAGGACCAGTTAGAGGTCCTACAGCAGATTGTAGGAGTATTTTTATAACAGGGTTTTTAAGGAACAAAAAGTACCGTGTATTTAAAATGGGTAAAACACAATCCAACAACTTTTACAGAATAACTCAAGCTGGGTTCAAGATTAAAAAAAAAAAAAGGCTGGTCAGCATTTTACAATTTGTCTTCCTCCTTTAACACAAAGACACAAGATAAACAAAAATAAACTAATCAGAGCACCATTGATTATTCACTCTAAGTTTCTAAGCACTACGACTTTTGGAAGACGAATAAACTCTACTTCCCTTTAAATGAGAATCATATATCCTTAAATCTGTGGTGCTGTTATGTAGAATTAATACGGTTTATCTTAATTGATTTCTAGTGTTTCTGATTTTTTATATCTGTCTTTTTACATGTGAGATGTCTCAACAAACTTACAAACCATCTCTCTTATGATTTGAAATTGTGACGAATATATCACTTTTATTCCCCTTCTTGTCTTTGTGCGTTTAACCAGGTAAGAGAAATGGCGGCCACGACACTAAGTGGCTTCCTTCAGTGCAATTTCCTGTCCATGGACGGCCCCATGCAGGCGCATTTCGAAGCTCTCTGCAAGACTTGCTTACCGAAGAAGAGGAAGAGGGATCTTGGCTCTATAGTGGACACTATACCCTCTGCTGGTAGGAATTAAATTGACGATGAAGACATTTAGTTAGACACAGCATATGCAGCTCTGTCTTTTTTTAATGGATTCCCTTCTGTTGGGTTTTTGTAGACCTGGTGCGGCGCCATGCTGGTGTTCTCGGGTTGAGTGCTTGCATTCTCTCAAGCCCGTATGATGTGCCCACCTGGATGCCCCAGCTGCTGATGGACCTGAGCGCTCACCTGAATGACACACAGCCCATTGAAGTAAGTGTAATCACCCACTGATGGTGTCGCCACTGCAGCAACTTAAGTGAAAAAATGTGATAAATATCTCTAACCTGTGTTTCCAATCTTACAGATGACCGTGAAGAAAACACTGTCAAACTTCCGAAGGACTCACCATGACAACTGGCAGCAACACAAGCAGCAGTTCACAGATGACCAGCTGCTGGTTTTGACTGATTTACTGGTCTCCCCCTGTTATTATGCCTAAAACCTGGTAATGTACTTACCAGGTTTCACTGACTATTTCCCAGACACACACCAAAGAGCATGAAAGTTGATAATTGAGATGAATTACTAAACGATATATAAAACAAAATGTGCAAGAAATAAATTAAGATTGTAGATTCTTTTTTAACAATTACTTTTTTTTTTAATTTTGTAAAGAAAGAGGTCCTAAACCCACCTACTTATTGTCCTTTTTTTGTTTATTAGTCATGGGACAACCCAAAATCTACACATACCAGCCTGCAATGTGGAGAAGTTTCCAGGTCTTGACTGATAACAGACACAACACCACCGAGAAGAAAAGTGTCACGCATAGCAACTACCTTGTGTCACTGGAAAGGACTGAAAAAGTTGTGTATTTATGTATTTAGCTCATTTACATTTCTACTATACTTAATATTTAAGGATCAATCATAGCAGGGATGGATGACCTGCAGTTTGTAACATTACTGTACAGTTTTTTTCTTCTCTTTTTGGTTTGTGTGCATGTGCACGAGTGTGTGTGTGTGCGTGTGTTTGAGTTTATGGGATGCTTGAAGACATCTGCCAGTGTCCCACACATTTCTCAGGATTCCTTCCCAAGTTTCAACTCTGAGCCAACACATTGTCCGGTGTAGGACACGCTCGATATTTCACTAGTGGAGTATTTGTCTGAAGCCACACAAAACTGTCAACTTTAGATTAGGCTTTCACATACAACACACAATGTTTGTGTTGGTGTTTGATCTATATATGATTATATGCATCCTGTATGTGTATGTCATTGTATAGCAAATATGCACAAACATATTTATTTATTTATTTGACGTTTTTTCTTTTTTTTTTCTTTTGAAGTGCTTCGTTTTATTTTCCTTTTTTTCATAGAAAGTATTTCTGAGTTTAAGTAGTAAGTGAGATTTTAGCAGTGGAGCCTATTCTCATCTGCTATGGCAAAGAAAGGGAGAGGGCAAGCTCCCCACTGCTGTGATGTGTGAAGTGTTTGCTGTGAGGACCTGAGCACAGTTTGTGCACCATTTCATGTGTCTAGGTGCAAGAAGACAACCTAACCGCCTGTTCCTAATTTTGATCTCTTCCCTCTGACTCTTGGGTACGTTGATCTTTTCTAAAACACAGTGAGATGGGATGAAATTATTTTGGTTTGTGTATGTTCCCCCTGATGACTTGAAATCAGTCCAAGCATTGAAGCATTTAGTTACCTCACTTATGTATAGTGTAGTGCCAAAACTGCAGTGATTTTTTTTAGATGTACTGTTTGCTTATTGAATGAGATGACAATAAATGGTTTGTAACAAAACAAAACTTGTATTTAATCTGTCTTTTTATGGAAATATATTGTGTTCTTTAAACATTTTGGTGTCATTGAAATCTACTGGTTTGGTTGTGTTTCAACAAGCAGCATGTTGCTTCTTTTATGGTACCTCAGGACCTTTTTTTCTGTTTTATTTCAAATTGTAATTTTTTATCATAGTATACTATGACATTTTTTGTCATACAAAACTATGACTTTTTTCATACAAAAATTATAATTTTTTACCATAGTATACTATCACATTTTAATAATAGTATACTATAACATTTTTATTGTACTGACATTTTTTCATACTAAAATTCGAAAATTAAATGATAATATACTGACATTTTTCAGACTAAAATTTTAAATTTTAACATACTATACTTTGACAATTTTTAGAATACTATATTTTTTTCATACTATACTATGATTTTTTTACAGAAAAATTTGAAATTTTTATCTTAGTATACTGTGACATTTTTCACAATCATTTTTTATAATAAAATTGTAATTTTTTTCATAGGATACCATGTCAATTTTTATCATACTAAGAATTTTTATCATACTAAAATTCAAAAATTAAATTATACTATACTATGACATTTTTTGTATCACTAAAATATGATTTTTAAGAACTAAAATTTGAAATTTTAATCATAGTATACTCTGACATTTTTATCATACTATACTATGACATTTTTGAGCACACTTTTCTATGACATTTTTTATTAAACTATAAAATGACATTTTTTATACTATACTTTGACAATCTTAATCATACTATACTTTGATTTTTGATAGTAAAATTTAAAATTTTATAGTTTACTATGGCATTTCTAACAGACTATACTAAGCTATTTGTTTCATACTAAAATTGTAATTTTTTATCATACTATACTATGACATTTTGTCATATGAAACTATGACTTTTCATATACTTACATTTTTTATACTAAAATTTGAAATTTTAAACATACTTTACAATGACATTTTTATCATACTATATTCTTACATTTTTAGAACACTATACTATGATATTTTTTATCATACTATACTATGACATTTTTTGTCATACAAAACTATGACTTTTTTCATACAAAAATTCCAAATTTTTATCATGGTATACTATTACAATTTAATTATAGTATACTATGACATTCCTATCATACTATACTATGACATATTTCAAACTTAAATTTGAATTTTTTATCATACGATGTTATGAAAAGTTAATTATACTTTGCTATGACATTTTTTGTAATACTAAAATAAGACCTTTTTAGTACTAGAATTTGGAATTTTTGACATTGTATTCCATCAAATTTTAATCATACTATACAATGACAATTATATCATACTATACTATGACATTTTTTTGTTGTTCTAAAATATGACTTTTTTTAGTACTAAAATTTGAAATTTTTATCATAGTATACTATGACATCTTTACTATACTTTTCAATGACATTTTTAAGCCCACTATACTGTAGCATTTTTTGTCATACGAAACTATGACTTTTTTCATACAAAAATTCCAAATTTTTATCAGACTATACCATCAAAATTTAATCATAGTATACTATGACATTTCTATCATACTATACTATGAAATTTTTTCAAACTTAAATTTTAAATTTTTATCATACTATACTATGACAAGTTTATCATACTTTACTATGACACTTTTTGTAATACTAAAATGAGACATTTTTTTCTTGAACTAAAATTTGAAATTTTAATAATGGTATACCATGACCTTTTTTATCATACTATACATTGACATTTTTGAGCACATTATACTATGACATTTTTTTCTTAAACTATAAAATGACAGTTTTTTATACTATACTTTGACATTTTTAATCATACTTTGCTTTGATTTTTTTAAATTAAAATTTGAAAATTGTTATCATAGTATACTAGGACATTTCTAACAGACTTTACTAAGCTTTTTGTTTCATACTGAAATTGTAATTTTAATCATACTTTACAATGACTTTTTTCATACTAAAAATTTTTTTAGAATTTTTGTTAGAATTTTTTTTTCATAGTATACTATGACAATTTATTATACTATACTGACATTTTACAACATACTGTACTATGGCATTTTTTTCATACTAAAATTCGAAATTTTTGTCATACTATACTATTATTTTTCTTATAATAGTATATTCTGACATTTTTCAAAAAAAACACTCTTTACACAACATTCCTGGATGTTAACCTATTTGACCACTCCAAAAACATGCAAAAATAGTTAACGTGTACATGTGTGTGTATTTAAACTCATATTAATCTGCAGAAAGTGTACCCTGTCCTTTGGTGTATTGTCAGCAGCCTGAAATATTGTGAGGGAATCGTCACTTCGTGTCGCCTAGCAACAAAGTAGTTGAGCCACTTCTTCCAAGGACGGTTCAGAAAAGCAGAGAAATATATTTGAAAAAATTTATTATTTTTAGTCGACAACTTTGTTACACAGACGTTATTAAATCAGTGTTAATCTTATAAACACCTTTGGTTAAAAATATATATATATATATTTATATATACATTTTTTTTACATAGCCACCTTGTGTTGCCATGGTGAAAAATCTGACGTGTCAGTGAATATCTAATGTAACAGTCCCTCTGAAATGATCTGCCGTGCAAGAAAACTGAAGGTCTGCTTTTCTCACACCCTGTGTTTTATCGTCTGGTGTGAAATTGGAGGTGTGAATATTTACAGACTGACTACTTGAATGCGGTGCTTTTGCTCATGCCTGGATACGTAGGCAGTGACTTCATACTCATTTTTCAGTGCACGTCTACTGGCCGTCGTTCTGGTATAAAAAATCGGATATATCGCCAAGAAAAACGAAAATACTATCATCTGTTTGAGCTGTGGACGCTTTGAAAATGCAGGAACAGCGACGAAACGTGTTTTATCACGGTGTTTGTCATCTGCTTGCGGTGTTACTCGATGATTTTCTGTAAGAATACGATTTTTTTTCTTCTTCTCAAAGCCGTGGTGCGTTCAATTACCGTCATATTGCTCTAAAATGAAGATGGGCTGTATGGAATGATGGAGAGGATGCACGCACGATCGTTTACAGATGGTAGGTTTCATTTCGTTTAGTTAATGGCCTATTCATTGCCTGCATATCTTAATCTACTTTGGTACATTAAAAAAAAGGGGGAAAAAAACGATGATTGTGATTTGCATATATTTGGAGGCTACTAGATCTCAGCAGGCACTGTGTGAGTAGGTGTGTTTGTGTGTGTATTTGGGGGGGTCATAATCCAAATGCAGTGGTGCATAGCTTTAGCATACTGTAGATAGTCTCTTACATGTGGTGCACACTGACTGTATAGTGCAGCTTTATATTCAACATGTAGGGGAGACCGGGGCCGGCTGCAACGTTTTATTTTCTTAATTTCTCCCAGTTACTTTTATGCTATTGAGGCTTGATCAGGCTTATTTAAATACATTTACCTATACATCTACTAATAACCTAATCCATGCCAATGATATTGATTTAAATTTGAAATGAACCCCACTATAAGAGCAGTGAACACAAACAAAAACATGATCTTTAAAATCTGATCTTTAATATTTAATTCATATATATTCATTAATTAAAGTGCAATACTGTGATTTTCACCTGTAATGTTTTACAATGTTTTCAAGAATACCCGGCTGCAGACACAGCACAGCGTGCACAGTCGGACCTCATCTGGACCAACTGCTTTGCTAAAGTTGTTCTTTAAGATCCAAGGAGCAGTCTAGTTTCCAACTTAGTCTTTTCACCTAAGGTGATTTTGACAGTGCATGCACCTTCAGAGGTCTGCAGCCAGGTCCTTCTCAGTATATTCCACATAACACTTTTTATTATTATTTTTAAACAAACCTACCTAAAATCAATGTACACATAAAATTGAACACTAAAACGGAACACTACGGGTAAAATTGAACACTTTGCAACTTCACAAATGGATGAAGCATAGATGTAGACATTAAATCCATTGAATCACTTGTGATAAAACATTATGTGCAAGATAAACATGTCCCCTGTGTTCCTAGTTGGAGGAAGGTCTAACTGAGCATGTGCAGAATGAGTGCTATCTCTCAAGAATGATTCTGACCAGAGGGATAAAGGTCCTTACACACAGAGACCGTTTTTGTCATGCGATTATTTCGGACGTCAACATTTTTTTTCCAACCCGTATCCTGTCAATAGGAAAGTAAATAATTGTTTCAGCAGAACTTCAAATTGTCCAACGGACATCCCAAAATAGGTTCTGAAGCGACCGTGGTCCAGTTTCAGCTCCTGAACCAAGCAGTGAAACTCACCAAGTTCTCTTCTTTTTTGTAATATTGGATGCAATAATATTAGACGCAAATGTGCTACATTTCTTATTCTTTTGAGAAAGCAAAAGGAGTACCAATTCGCCATCACTTGAAGTTGAAGTAGACTCCATTTTTGTCCTCTCGCTTCCACCCAGGACGCCGTAGGTTGTTAAGGGAAGGTCCTGCCCTGCTTCGCCTCTGATTGGCTATAAGTGCTGACCGTTTGGCTTGAGCGTGTGATGATGTTTCCAGCTTTTCTAGCCAATCAGAGGTGAAGGAGGCGAGTCTTCCCCGGGATGCGTCTAATTCCCCCCGGATAGTTGCAAAATCGCATCTGGCTTGATGTGTAAAGTCAGGCGCGTCAAAATTTGCCTCCGAATATTTTGTGATTTCAAGTTCTATATTCATGTCAGCCTCGGTGTGTAAGGACTTGTTGACTTGTTGCAACAGTTCCCATCTCCCCCATCTCTTATTGCACCGTGTTAGTCCAGCTGTACATTTCAGTCATGTGTGAATGAATCAAATACAGACTATCCTACAGTGTATTAGCTAATATTTGACTGTGTCCCTTGTAGCTCTCTACCATGGTGGCAGGAACAGCAGAGGCAAAAGATACAGTAAACATCGCTCTACGTAAAGGAATAATGTTGGATTTGAAGACTTTGGGATTATTATAAACCCTGGATGATACAATGAACACCACTGTAACACCATCAGACCTGGTAGATGCGCCACGGCAGCAGAACTTCAGCGGCACCCTGGGCGGACAGAATCTGTCAGGCTGGGCCGTCATCCACACCGCCACCTTGACCTTCTGCTCCCTCCTCCTCATCTTCATCTTCCTCCTTGGCTCCTATGGCAATCTCGTGGTGTTCTTGTCCTTTTTTGACCCCATGTTTCGCAAGTTCCGCACCAACTTTGACTTCATGATCCTCAACTTGTCTTTTTGCGACTTGTTTATTTGCTGCGTGACCGCTCCTATGTTCGCACTCGTGCTCTTTCTGGATGCAGGCGGAGGGGACGGTGTGTCCAAGAGTTTCTGCTTTGCTTTCCACCTGACCAGCTCGGGGTTTATCATCATGTCCCTGGAGACGGTGGCTGTCATTGCTCTCCACAGACTGCGCATGGTTTTGGGGCAGCAGCCTAACCGCACAGCCTCTTTCCCCTGCACGCTGGCCCTCACCGCCCTGCTGTGGACATCTAGCTTCACCATGGCTGCCCTTCTCACCATGCGAGCGTACCCACGCAGAGATGGACCTTGCTTGCCTCACTTTGGCTTCGGAGGAGGAAAGGCCAGGGTAGTGTTGTATGTTTACTTGGCAGACTTTGCTTTTTGTGTCGCTGTGGTGTCTGTGTCCTATCTGATGATTGCTCAGACACTGAGGAAGAATGCGCAAGTAAGGAAATGTCCAGTTATCAGCGTAGACGCCACATGCCCTCCACCTCCACCACCTCTTCTCGCAGCAGGCTTTGAGAGCATGCAGTGTGCGGTCCCAGGTCCCCCGCTGTATCGTAACCAGACGTACAACAAACTGCAGAATGTTCAGACTCACTCTTACGCCAACAAAACCAGCCAGCCTCTGGTTCCAGGAGCTGCTCAAGGAGCGACCTGCTGTCAGCTGGTCTCTACAGTCAACCTGGCCACAGCCAAAGACTCTAAGGCGGTCGTTACATGTGTTGTGATAGTGTTTTCTGTGCTGCTGTGCTGCCTGCCCATGGGAGTCTCACTTGCACAGGATGTTTTGTCACCAGAGAGCAGCTTTGCACATTACCAGTTTGAACTGTGCGGTTTTGTGCTCATTTTTCTCAAATCGGGAATCAACCCCTTTGTGTACTCACGCAACAGCGCAGGCCTCCGCCGCCGTGTGCTGTGCTGCATGCAGTGGGCGGCTCTGGGTTTCCTCTGCTGCAAGAACAAGACTCGTCTGCACGCAATGGGGAAAGGAAGCCTGGAAGTCAATCGCAATAAATCCTCCCATCATGAGACCAACTCGGCCTACGTTCTGTCTCCCAAGCCACAGAGGAGGCTGGTGGACCAGGCTTGTGGGCCCAGTCACTCGAGGGACTGTGCGGGGAGCCCAAAGGCCACAGGCGCTCGTAAACCTCGCCCTCCGAGCACCTCGACGCCTATCAACACCCGCATTGAGCCCTACTACAGCATATACAACAGCAGTCCGTCTGCAGGGCCAAGTTCGCCCACCAGCTTGCAGCCCGTCAGCTCTCAGACATTTGCATTCGCCAAGTCGTACGTAGCAATGCACTACCACACACACCAAGATGCGCTGCAAGACTTTGAAAGCAGCTCAGTGCATCAGATTCCCATTCCCTCAGTTTGAGTAAAGAGCTGCTGACGGAAAGTTTGGACCACATCTCCATGACTTTGAGTCGAAAAAAGGAACATAAAAGCAACATTTTATGTATTTGGACTCTGTATAACCTCTTGTTCTCTTCTGCAATGGAAATACATGTCACGTTATCTGAAGTGGGAAAAACTACAGGAGCAGAATTATTAGCCTTGCCATGTAAACGAAAACCAAGCAATAGAGTTGTCATGGAAGTGTCTGTTGCAAAAATGTTATTTACTTACTATAATAGAGACGATATTCCCACGGTAGCCATGTTCCTCTGTCGTCACAGTCAGGGTGGAGAGCTCAGATGCTGTGTCCAAGGTTAGCATCCACTCCAGCTAGGCTTAAACACTATATAACTATAACATTATTCCTAATTGAATCATAATTTATCAAATGCCAGTTATAAAAAATGCTGAAGACATCTGAAGGCACTTAACAAAAGAGCAGATCTAGACTTTTCTATTTTTACAGAGACCTAACATTTATCCATCATGAGTAAAACATGTTGCTACATTTAGCTAGCTGTAGCAGCGAGGGAAAGGTCAAGTAGAAGCGGCCGACTGCTGTGACTGTGTTGGGTCTGCAGAGAGAAAGAGGGACTTAGAGAAACACCAGCAAAAACAAATAAAACAGGCGACTACAACACCAGCAACAATGGAAAAACTGTTGGCAGGAACAGCGAAGTAAACCTATATACAATTCAAAGAAGCACAAAGGAAGCAAATTAGGAGTCCATTCCCGATATGATTCCAGCAACACGTCCTAAAAATTCAACGAATCATCTCTGGATTTATGCCGAGCATTTTTAAATTGCTGATCAGAGTGGAAGTGGTGAAATCTTAACGTTGAGCAATTGAGCGTCTCCATCCTCACTGTGGCGTGAGAGTAAACCAGCTGCCCTGCGAACGTGGGAAACCAATTTAATGACTTGTGTTACAGAAACTGCATTTTGCATAATTCTGCCCCAGTGTTGCACAAGCATGTGCTGATATAATCCAAACTTCTGTGGGCTTTCACTGCAGCCAGACTGCAGCAGCTGGTGTCACTGCTGTGCCGCTTCCACTCTGCTGGAAGCTCCCTGAGCTCTGATTTCGGCTGCTGTGGGTTTTTGCATCGCTGTGGAAGTCCCACACAGGCCCACACATGGCTGTCGACGGCATGAGGTTGCACTTTTGATGGACTTTTGCTTCTTAAGAGAAATGTATTTGTGAACATCATACATAATACATAATAAATGTTTGGCAAGTGCAGATGAATCGTGCTTTTATTTTGTAAAATGATCACTAAAATGGTTAATGGACTGAAAAGTAGATGGGAAATCATGTATTTTATTATTGAAAGCTCCACTGAGGGATTTTTTTAGTTGGTTATGTTACCGACTGATTTGAATACTGATGTCTCTAATTACAATAATACTCAAATCCACTTCTATTTCATGCACCGAGTAGAAACAGACAGACATACTCTAACAAATCAGCCATGACAAAACAAAGCTGCAAAGGAAATCCCGGCTAAGCTCACAAAAGCTTTTAGCAGAGAGCTAAAAATGATGGAGTAATGCTTTCATAAAACCACCTGTTTCATAAGTGAGGAGGATTATACAATACTTGGAGTGCTAGCACCATCTAGTGGCCAGAAATGTACTTTGGTGACATAAAACATACTCCAGCTTTGTAGGTTTGGTTGGAGACTGCTACAGTTGTCTCATTTCCTGAGACGGAGATATATATAAGTGGGAATTTAATACTTTTGATTATGAGGATGGTTTCACGATCTCATGATCATTTTGTTGGATTTAATTATTTTATCTGCAGTGAAAGTCTGGATCACAAAAAAAAATAATGACGATGATGATCGTTAAATGACTACACCGTGTCGATAGTCCAAAGGTCTGTCTGAATAACTGCATCAACAGTGACGGGTGAGTTTTAATGTTTACTTTTGTCAATCAGATGACTCATCTTTTATTGGATATTTTTACAGCAGCAGCTGAACTTTGTGCATCTTTGTGGGATATGACCCGAGTACTCCTGGTACATGGTAGAAACGGCAAAGCAGAGGGAAAGATCAGAGATGTATGAGAGGATATATTTGTCAGATTGAGCTGCCTACCTGGGCGAGATCTCAGGTGTAGCTCCTTTTCAATATTTTTAAATTGAGATACTTAAAGGGGTCAGATTTGGTCCTCTGGACACCTATTAAACAGGTCTACTGTCTGTTGTTCCTCTGCGAGTAAAATTGCACCACTTGTGTTCTTACAATACACACAAAAATTAAAGCTCCTGTGAGGAACTTTCAGGTTGTCAATTTGGCGTCCCTCTGTGCTTCTCCTGTCCTCTGCATACTTAGGTAGGATCTTCTGACACGTACTTTATCCTGCTGACTTTTGACATTAAAGCGTAAAGCTTAATATAAACATTTAACATACAAAATGTAACCAGGGATGTTTCTTCAGCTGTGATACCGACACCTGCCCCCTCACACTGATTTCAGGCATCAAAAGTTCTGATATAAAAATCAAAAATCTTCTCTCTGATGGTCGTTTGCTTCTTTGTGTCATAAAAAATTTCCCGAACGTTCAAAAAAATCCTCACAGGAGCTTTAAGTAAAAAACAATTGTTTCATTGAGTTGAGATATCATCGTTTTCCTTGTGTAAGAATGATGAATGCTCAAAGAGGTTTCAGGTTTGAGTTTTATTCTTTGCCTCGACTGCATTCATTTCCATCCCTGTGATACAGCAGTTAACAGGACCCCAGTGTGCATCTTCATAAAACCACAGAGAACCTCCATCAGGAGCCCGCAGCCGTTCTGCATATCCTAAAGACTTAAATGAAGCTTTAATTAACCACATGTACTGACTTTTATTTCTTCCCCACACCCTCTAACGCATAAGTTAAACCCACTCATCCTGTAAACTAACACAGCACACACTCTTAACTGCTGCAAAAAATATTCTCAGGTTTGCATTTTCTCTTACCTTTAAGTGCCGCTCTCACGCTCTCACACACACTCACACCTTTAAGACAATAAAACCACCGTGAATTTAGTCGCTTTCCCTGATGATTATACGTTTGCTGATTCATTACCCCTTCGCTTCAACATTTATCAACAGAGAGTGAAGCATAGATATGAAGGACAGGCAGTAAACCTACTGCCTTATGAAGTGAGGCTTCAGCCCCATTTCACTGGGTTTTCACCGCTTCTGATCCATCTTGCCAGCTGGACTGCGCTGATGTAGCTTCACCCACGGCACAGATGAGCTCAGGATGAGGCTGTGCTCCCAGGTTACCTGAAGACCAGCCTCAGGATCAAGTAAAACCTCCAGTTTGGCATTTGGTGCAGCTTCATGGGCATCTGTCCTCCTCTTACAGAGAGGTTACTGCTTCGTTCCTTCAAGTGCACCTCTGTCCATCTGTCCTCCTGTCGTCCTTCATGCGTCGTTACTGTCATGTGATCATTTTCAGGTTAGCTGGAGATCGATAAGAGGCCGTGTTCATCAGCAGTGTCGAGAATTCTGCATATGACCGGAGACTCAACCTGGAAGAGAAAACAGATGTTATGTGCTGCGAAACACCTTCACCTCTCATCTCCCTAGAGTCAGTCATTTTAAGTACATTAATGTCTATTTTCCTTTAGTTTTCTCTGTAAGTTAAGGGGGAAAAGACACTCCTGAAATTAATAGTATTTTTATCAGAAAGCTTAGGCTTTTAAAAACAATGATAGTAAAAAAGATCAGAGTCCGTCATTTTGCACCTACGGCCTCTCCGACCACCACCACACAACACTCACAATCATACACCAGTGGAGGACACAAACTGGGAGCAAGGTGGGTTAAGTGTCTTGCCCAAGGACACCACGGACAGACTAGGGATAGGGGGAATCGAACCGCCAGCCTTCCAGTTATTGGACGACCGCTCTACCCCTTGAGCTACTGCCGCCCATTAAGTCTGATTCTGGATGTATCTGCTAGGATTAGACAGCTCTTCCTGCTGTTTCTCTCCAATTACAAATAAATAAATCCCCCTCATTTACCATTGAGTCTACCCATTTGGAAACATTTTTAAAAAGTTGTTTTTTTTCATCGTTTATTTGAAAAGATTTCACATTTTCTATAGTTATTACATGGAAAGTGAAATGCTGTAACCTGCTAACTGTATAAATTATGATAATTAAGACCCATGGAGCTCATGACAATCAGAAACCCACTATCTCAAATTCCATCCATCCATTTTCTACCGCTTATTCCCGTTCCCGGGGTCACGGAGGGCCTGGAGCCTATCCCAGCATCTTCGGACGAAGGCAGGGGACGAACAACAACCATCCACGCTCACATTCACACCTACAGGCAATTTTGAAAGTGGCCAATTAACCTAACCCCACTTCTGCATGTTTTTGGGATGTAGGAGGAAACCGGAGTTCCTGGAGTAAACCCATGCAGGTACAGTGAGAACATGCAAACTCCACACAGAAACACCCTGACCCAGATTCGAACCCAGGACCTTCTTGCTGTGAGGTGACGGTGCTAACCACTACACCATTGTGCCGCCCCTAATATCTCAAATTATTAGACTAAATATAATGAATGTCAAATTCCTGAAAAGAGCGTCCGTTCATACGCCAAATATCTGGTTGCAGTGCCCTCACCAAACACAGCTGATATAAAATATGGACATTTCTCAGAATACTTGAATTTGTTGATGCTGATAAAACGCGGATAAGGGATCAGATCCCACCAGTTACAGTAGTGCCAAGCACAATGATTGTTGAAGTGATTTAATCCTCGACTTCCTGACTTCAAATCCCTGCTGTTAAAAAAGTCGATTCATCACTTCTGCACCTCGCCGGATCAATAAAAACATAAATAATAGATGATCTAGTTTGCACTTTACTTTTATAACTTTAACAGGCAGTTTGTATGCGAGCTACGTTTGAGACCTGTGATTCATGCACGTGTTTTTTTCACTCGCTGTCGCTCACTGGTTGCCATGCCGACTTACCCCGAGGATGTACTGACACGTCTGAGGCTCCAGCATGTAGACGGTGACAGCATGGGGAGACTCAGACTCTTTACATCTGACAGCGGGGAGAGAGAGAAATGAGATCTGTGAATCGACTGGGAGGCATCAGCGTAACGTCTTACTCATGTGTTGACTCAGAGCGGCGACACTGGATCGGTGCCATGGTAACACCCTCTGTGTGACTATTCACTCACTTCAGCTTCACAATGACCTGTCTCGGCTTCCCTGTGAGATCGCACACATCCCCTCGGCCGTAGAAGTGGGAGACCAGCCTAATGTGGAGCAGAGGGAGACGTTTTTAGTGATCTCTTTTAAATTTACGTTCAGGGAAATTTAGAAAGTTCAGTTGTCCTACTTGACTTTCTGCACGCCGTCATCTTTGAGCTGATAGGACCGGGCCACGTTCCTTTTGGCCCAGTCAATGTGCTCCTCGGTGTTCCAGTTCCCGACCACGACGATGTTCTTCCCCTGATCCTTTTCCTGAAGGAGGAACATCATCATCATTCAAATGCAACATGACGTACTCAGAAACCTCATATCCTCCAGACGGATGAGGATATTTATGCCTCTTTATGATGCACAGATTCAGACGTCATCTCCACCTTGTACCTGAAACCTAAGGCTCAAGAGACTGAAATGACATCAAGCCTGTGATGAGTGAGTCTACGAGGGCTTGAAAGGGTATAAAAATGAAGAGTTGAAGACCCTTTTATGAGGTTAGATCAAACCTGGTTAAAAGCATCACTATTAAAGGTGGGGTAGGCAGGATTCTGTTAAAGAAGCATCTTTTTTTGTGGTGTATATACGAAAAAGCTTTTAATATCAGTTAGTAGCTATTAGTTATTGATGGCATTAGGTTATACCACAATATCGCTTTGTTCTGTCGTGTCTATGTAATCAACATTTTTAATATTTTTGAGCGGCCCGCTCTTTTTAAATGTAAACAAAGTCGTTCCCCATCTCCCCCAACCTGATTGGCTGTGAGGCAGACGCTGCTCCCTCGTGTTTTGAGGCACGCTCCACATCCTTGAATAACATTCATGAGCCCAAACAAAGTTAGCGTACTACAATATCTGACTGTAGAAACCAACCAGAAAGTACGGAAAATTGTCTGAATCCTGCTTTGGCCACGACTGCCGACACAAGCAAGAAAACAAAGTGTATACTAGAGACTCTGACAGAACAACAAGTGCTTAAAAAAGGTAGACCACTCTGGCAAGAGCTAAAAAGCCGGGTCAACAATGATGGGGGACGCTTTGGGATCTTCGTGACCCTGTAACCTTTGTGCTAGACAGGTAAACCGCTTTAACAAAGTAAGACAAGTGTCTGTAACAGAAGTGTTTCTTGTCAAACGGGACCTGCTGCGTGTTGTAGCGCCGCTAAACTGTTGACCTCGGGTCCTGGATTATGTCACTTTATCCTAGTTGTAGAAGTCCTGCAAACATTGTGTTTGCTGGTAGTCTGTTGGCCTCTACAGCAGCACCAATGCTTTTTACGTTCAGGTTGACTGATTCAGAAAACAGACGCCTGTATACGACGTACAGAAGCAAAAACAGTAGAAGGTGGGACTCTTACCTCGTGGTACTGATGGACATGCTTTCCATAACAGAACTCATACTTCCACCATCCTACCCCCTGAAACACACAGACGATAATAATGACTATACAGAGTTGTTCATGTAACGCTGCCCAAGTGCTCCAGATGAACAGGACTCACCCCGTGGAGGCAGTACGAGCCGCTGAGGAAGTCTTTGATCAGCTGCTCATCGGTCAGCCGAGAGATGTGTGTGGTTCCCACGGTGACCTGAGACTGCCCCCCGACCATTATGGGTTTGTGAGTGGAGGTGAAGGCTTCCTCCCTCACTGGTGACACCTCCTCCTGTAACACATTGAAGGTATGTTAGCACGGCTGTCATCAATACACGCAGCGCCCATCTTCAACTGCAGCCCCGCCTCACCTCCGTGGTCTCAGCGCTGGCTCGAAAAGGCGGTTTAAGCAGATCCTCCCGCTCCTTGTCAAACATGGAGAGCTTGTAAGGCTGCGTGGGGGAGCCGGCCAGAGACTGGCAGAAGATGGTGTTCACCGGGGAAGACTTGAACCTGAAAGGAGCATGTGTTAGATTTATGATCATTACAAGGACATTGCTTTAACTTGTTTACTTTGAAACTGGGTCCATACTTAAACTCACAATGTTTATAGTTATTAAACCCGACAGATGTACCTGTATTTGGGGTGTGCACAAAGCAGCGGAGTCAACACCACCACCTCGTATTCACATGTCGTGACCTCGGCGACCGAGAGGATCTCATGTTTGGCCTCGGGATGACAGACGTACAGCACAGACGTGGAGCGAGCCATGTTCTGTTTCAGCACGCAGGGCGTCCCGTTTCCCATCTCCAGTGAGAAGTATGGAGTCAGCTGACCTTCGATGTTCTTGGTGGGCACCTGGACAACCACAGCACGAGTACAGGGACCAGAAAAGAGATGAAAACTGTGAGCGCTGACAGCCAGACAGTTAAGTTTGTGTCTTCTTACAGTTTTGTATTTTACTTACTTCTGTTGGATCCTCTGATTTGACCTTTGCCGTCTCTTCAGCTGAATCAGATAAAGATAAAATCATTGCTTTGGAAAAGGACGAGAAAACAAAACAGCACAAAGGTGATATAATCTTCAGCGTGAAAAACTCACCTGCTTCTGTTGACGAGCTCTTCTGCGCCGCATTCCCGAGGAAGTACTCCTGAACATTAATCTTCTGTTAAAACACGTCATAACATTCAGTGCATCCTACACAATATACTTGCTTCCTACTCAAGTCATCTACGACTCATTTTCCCCCCAACACTGACCTGTCCAGTCTCCTTCTCTTCGTGATACTGCCGTATATGCTTCCCGTGACACACCTCATACGTCCAGTATGACTCAATCTGAAAGAGCGAGGAAACAGCTGCTGTTTACGCTTCGCTAATGTAGCCTGAATGACTAAATGCAGTTTCGGTTTCCATGCAGAGAGAGAAACTGAGAAGTTAGATGAAAATCACTGAAAGCTGGAGAGTCTCACCCTGTAGGAGCAGCTGCTGCGTTTGAAGAGAGGCTCCAGCAGTTCTCCAGGAGTGGGCCCGGCGTAATCCTTCTCATCATCCTAAAACAAGAAAAGTCAGAAGATACAATTCAATACAATAGTAATAAAACTGTGAGCAACGAGGCAGTGCAGAAAAATCAGCGTCAAAAAACAAAACAGCATCTCTGCAATGAGAGCAAATGAAGGTGCAGGAGTCTTTTATTCATCAGGTTATGGATTTACATGTTTGGCATCTTTAACGCTGTGTATATAAAAGTACTCATTGGATATTAGCTCATCAAAAGCATTATTACTTGGATAATCAATAAATGTTTTAAGAGGTTCAATTCAAGCTGTTTAAAAGTGTGTTTGTTTTCTCAGCAAAACAGCCTAAATCCTAACTGTGATGAACAACATATATGTTACATCTATGATATTTAATATCACATAGTTAGGAGTTCAATCAATAAATGATTAAAAGTAGATGCATACATTTGAAAACTGTATACAGACTGTGAATCGCTTTTGAAACATTGATGAATAATCTTCAAGTTTGTCTAATACACAGGACAAACAACTATGTGCACACAGGAAGAGATAAAAACAAAGCAGTTTTAACTTGAAGTGACTATCTAAGATTAATCGGTGATCAGCCACTTCTTTAATGTCTATGTTTGTTTGATGAAAAAACACTGAAGGCTATGAAGTGTTCAGAAGAATAAAGCAGCTGTCTGAAGGCCGTTTTCACCACTTATTACACTTCACTTTGGAGAACATTTCTATCGAATTATTCTGTTTTTATTCATACAAATCCCCAAGAGACGGACAGAGAAAAAACGGAAGAAACCCTTATTGATGATGATGATACTGAGATGTCAAAGACAGAGCAGGTATAATAAAACCACCAGAGAGGGTTTAGATATAGCAATGAGATGAAACAGAGAAAAGTCAGTATCTGTAAGTGATAAAATATTTCTACAAGGGTGAGAAAATAAGATGATTGTGCCAAAAGTTAAATCAGGTTGAGTAATTCAAATACTAAATGTGAGTTTTAGGAGACTCATCTGAACTCTGAAGGACTAAATTTCACTAATATATGCGTCAAACGCCTTTTCTGAGTTCATCATTCTGCTCTTTGACTGATTCATCATATTACTCATGTCTCGAGTGGCATCCACTCAGAAATAATCATAAGTAAACCTGGAAAGATATTACACTTTACAGCTGATTTGAAGAAGTTTTTAATCGGGCAGACTTGGTGTCCTGGTGGTTGTGAGAGTGTGTGTATGTGTGTGTGTATGGGTCTCTGTTAAATGCTGGCTTAGAGGGTGGGTGGGTTTTTCGCAGTTTGTATCTTATTTGTATTCCCTGATCCTCTTCTTCTTGTTTACAGGACTATGTGATACAAGTTTATGTATGTAAGTGCTTTATGAATAAAGTGATTGATTGATTAGTTGATTGATTGATGAAAAGCTCCAGCAAAGAGAAAATATGAAGAGTAGTGAGTGATAAAAGTGCAAAATATTGCAGAAATAGACACTTAAATGTGTAACAGATACTTAAAAACTGCAGAAGAGTAAAGTGACAACCTCTTTGTTCTTCTTTTTTTGTGATTTCTGCTCAAAATCTCCAAAAATAACTTCATAGACAAAGATTAGGGTTTATTTTGCTTACCTGCTCTTCGTTTGCCAGGGATGGGAGCAGACATTTATACTTCTCCTTCTCTGTTGTTGTCATAATAACAAAATCATCCTCTTTATAAAGTGCACCTGAGGCTGGCTGAAACACAAAGACATTAAATATTAACTATTAAGCCAAAGTGTAAAGGAAAAAGAGTGTTAAATACTGTCACCACTGTGTGAGAGGCAGCAGTAGTAGGAGAAGAGTTCTTGTATAGGGAAACATACCAGCGTGAATTCAGGGCCAGGCCAGTTGATCTTAAAGAGGATCTCATCACTGAAGGTCGGGTACCCCCCTCTGTTTGATGAAACACTGATGCAGACCTCCAGAAGACCCCCCAACACCAGCACCAGCAGCCCCGCCGTCATCTCTCCTTACCGGGCTGCTGAGCTCCTACAGCCCGTTCTGCATCAACGACAGCAGCCCGCTCACCTTGCTCTGTCACCGGGCTGACGAGAAAATGTAAAAGGGGAGCAGGAAGTCCGGGAGAGTCCGGGTAAGTCCGGGTTAATAGACGTGACTTACGACTTAATGACGGTTGTCAACAGAGCTAAGAGATACAGGAAGTGAGCTGTTTGCTTGCCACGTCGAGTTCCGGCTGTGCGTGAGGCGGAAAAGACAGCAGCGCCATTTACCGGTGGCGTGCGGTAATGCGAGAGAAGATCACAACCTGGAGAAAAAGTGACAAAAGAAACCAGAGCATATCCCAGCATCTTCGGGCAGAGGCAGGGGACACCCTGGACAAGTTGCCAGTTCATTGCAGGGCTGACATGTAGAGACAAACAACTATCCACGCTCACATTCACACCTACGGGCAATTTGAAAGTGGCCAATTAACCTAACCCCACTTAGGCATTATTATGGGAAGTGGGAGGAAACCAGAGTACCTGCAGTAAACCCACGCAGACACACAGAAACACCCTGACCCAGATTCAAACCCAGGACCTTCTTGCTGTGAGGTGACAGTGACTTTGGAGTAGCTACAAGGATAGTACATGATACTTTACACATTGTGTTCATATGTGTGTATACATTATGTGTGTGCATATGTGCATGCGACTTCTGTGGAAATGTTCAATGCTTTGGATGTTCATTTTATCTTTTAAGATTGAAAAAAGGCCCGTGTCCTGAAAGTGAAATATAAAATACTCACATAATTTCAAACTCACTCCTTTAGTCAGACATGTTCTTATCAGCCACATTTTAGCACTCAAACTTTGCCAATCGGTGTTTTTTGACTGCAGGAATTTACTTGCAGTATTACATATTACATTGCCATATGGTCTGAGTCTTCTTCTACTCACATGCCTTATGGCCCAGATATGGTAATGCAAAGAAAACTTAAAAGAGGCCGTTAAAAGAGGACATTTTGAGTCATACATTTTTTTGAAAGGGTCCGTGCCACCCTTGGCCACCCATTTGGACACACCCCTTAGAAAATTATGCATCATGTCTTTTTTTTTCACTTTTGTTAAAAGAGTAATTATGTCAATATATTAGGGATCATTTTAGGTTTCTTTAGATTAATAAAGCAGCAATTCTCCCTCAACTTTACCATATCCCCATGTGCTTGACTGCAGCTCAAATACTGAGCTCACATAAGAGTCCTTCATTACACTAATGTTGAATGTGCAAAAATAAATTCATGTTGCCTCCTCTCTGACCCCTAGTGGATGGATTTGGAAGTTGAATGATGTCAGTGCTTGTATTTTAGGGAGTCTTCTCAACAAGGGATCAACAATAGATCCTGTTATGAAACTGATTTACAGAACATTTCCAAGATAATACATCAGTTGACTTATATACAGGCAACAACGCGAGCAGCTCTGTGCCAAATGTGCAGCACCCTCACTATTTCACCCTGAGACTCTGTTGATGCAGCAATGCTGTGCTACAAACGCCAATAAACAACCTCTCCACACCCATCCGTGCAGTTCACATGGAAACAGCTCTCATTTACCGTGAAATTTAAAACTTAGACCTTGAAAAGACGTGTTGTTGCATTTCACTGTCGAGGCAAAATGTTGAGAGCGTCTCGGATTGATGGAAACACAGAGGGATGGGACTTTTTTTCCCCACCTGTTGGTGGAGCTGTTGATGTGAGAATGAGCAGCGGAGGAGTCAGGAGAGAGGAGAGAGATTACAGCAGAGATTTTGAGACAAAGAGAGGGAGGATTAGGAGGAGAAGAGGATATGGAGGAACAGGGAAGGATACAAGAAAGTGAACGCCCTACTAGACTATATCCACCCTCGACAAGCACTCTACTCTGCTCACATACACACACCTGTCTCCTATGTACATACCACATGTGGATGTTAATATTTATATATGCTCATACCTAGTGTGTGTGCATATAGTAGGCTATGTTCTGTATTTGAGAAAGATTAGATCAAATAATGTAGTCCAGACAGAAGACAGACATCATACATTGTGTTTCTGGGGTCATGATTTCTCTCTGCAGGGTTATTTTTGCTGCTCTAACTTCTGACCATGTGTGTAAAATGTTAACCTTCAGAAACACATTTGATAATGAAAGTATGTTTGGGAGGTCTTTGCAGTATTTCAGAGTCATCTCAGTCGACAGGTAGCAACTACACTTAGATATTTCCTCATTAAGGTGACGGCGAACAATAATTTGGCAAATATAAGTTGTTGTTTTTCTTGCAGAGACTTGAGCGCAATTAATACAGGATTAGTCTTCCCTGAGAGCCTCTGACGTCAGTGTTTGGTGTGGTGCATAAGCTCTGGATAAACCAGGTCTGATGTCAACTCCATTTACTGACATTTCTGATTGAAAACTGCGAGGTGCTGGAGGCAGAGTCACACTCTGTAAGGAACAGCCCGCCAGAAATTCCTGAAAAGCAGAAGACGTCAAAATCCAGTAAACTTTCACAAAGAACATGCATTAAAAGCTTTAGGACACAAACTTTGTGAAGTTGTAACCTTACCTCATATGGAGTTTGAAAGCTTTAGTCCTAAATCCAACATCCAGCCTTTACCCTTTTTAACAGTAGTCAGAGATATCAGCTGTGTCCCAATCCGTGAAGGACCGAGTATTTGTGTCCCACAAAGACCGGTCAGGCCAAACTTATGAGGATTACATGCCTCTGTCACCAGCCCTTCCCACCCTCATCATAACGTCATTCAGTGTCACCCCTGTCTTTAAAGCAGGGTACACACACAAAGATAATCAGGTTGTTTTTGTCCTGATTTTCCCCCTCCTGACCAAGGACGACAATCTGAAGATTATCTTGTGTCTTCTAAGATTATCCTGTGGTCTGAAGTGTATAAAGACTGAATTTGTCCTGATAATTGGGTCCAAAAGGGGTCGGGTCGACAATCATAAATATTAAACTTGTTCAATATTTACTACCAAAAATCTTCACGACTCCATCAAATGTAGCCAATCAAGAAGCGAGCTGACTGAGGAACAAGGAACCAAATGAAGCGAATAAAAATAAAGCATGGCCTACAGGAGTACGGGATTTAGGACGGGCTTTTTCTGTCAAAAGTACTCCCAAAACCACCATCATTCCCTCCTCTTGTGTCCTCTTCCATGCTGCGTCTTGTGTTTCCCGTTTGCTGCTACAAGTCTTCTTCGTTTTTGTTAGATCACAATTTATCATGTGAGATTTCTGTCTTGGAGGACTAGATTCTAGATCGGTGGTGGAACAGAATCGTTTTGTGTGTGGTGTGCTGTGATGAGATTATCAGAGCATAGTTAGCTAACAGAGGCTAACATAGACAGTAAGCATGCATAAACCCAGATTCGGTAAATGCTGACTCATTATAACTTACAGTATATGACAGCATTGGCAGAAAGGCACAGTTGATATGGTCCTTTAGCTTCTTTGTAAACAGCTAACATGTCCGCCTGATTCACCGAATTTGTAACCTCAACGTCATCAAAGCAAACGCATTATAAAAACTGTTGGTTAAACAGCCTTTTGCCTTCACGCAGGGGTCTGCGGGTTGCAGCTTGATGGCTACCTGCTAATTCTGATTGCAATGACAGTGTCATGAGTGAGTCTGGTTAATAACACGACTCACTAAACATACAGAGTTCACTCACACCAACTTTCGCACATTGTGGCATTGACCCTGTATGCAACAGCTGATCTTCTAGCATCCATGTATGGATAATGCCATATCTTTGTCATTTTCACATCCCTCTGTCCTCTTCCGCTGAAGTTTTGTTTACTTCTTGACTTCGAAATGTGAAGTGTGCAAACAGCACTCTGACTGGTTCGAGTTCGACAGTGGTGAAAACATGCAAGATGAACTTGATCGTCAACTACATCAAAAACACACGTTAGCCTGACTGATGGAAATTCAATTTAACGCAATTTCATTCAACCCATGTGCTAACATGTATTTTAAAAGTCCGCTGATGCCGTTAAACAAAGTTTTTGTACATTTTTATTTACTGAGAGAGATCTGATTTCAACAGTATTCCAAAAGTCTGTTCATTTTTGTCAGACTCGGCCAATAAATCGTTTTTCTGAGCATGTTAGCGTGAGTGAAAGTCAGGTTTACATGACGTCAAACTATCTCTCTTTGAGTTGAATACTTTACCCTCCTTCCTCCTCCTATCCATTCGAACCGTTGCTGTCTGTTTCCAGCAGCAACAATGATTGTCGAAACAGTAGAAGCTGAGACTCAGCGTGTAGAAAAAAACTCATCACTTTCCCCAAATTTTTTACAGCCTGACTGATGAAATGCATCTGAACTGACCACTCTGAAACGAGCATTTTCATTTATTTGACTGCCACTGATGGGGCGAGCCTGATTTACATAGATGCCTTCCTCGCACACTCTCACCTTATGCATAATTGATACAACTGTCATCTCCCCGACCATAATAACATCATTCCAGAGGGAGCAGAGAGAAATGAATCCTGACATTTGAAGGTCCCGAGTGAGATTAAGATATCTCCCGAGGTGTCATCAGAAAAAATACCCACAGAATATGTCAGGTGTCAGATCAATAATGTCACTTGTGTTGGATTTTTTTAATGGGATTCAATATTGATTTAGCAGAAGGATTTCTACATGTCGTCTTTTCATTGTAATCTTTAAAGGCTTCCTCTGCAAGAAGTGCTGTTTTTCCGGCGTTTCCCTCTGGACTCATCCTTACATCTTGTCTAATTAATCAATTATGCTTCATACTTGTGTTCACATTAATATTGCACACTTGTCGGATGTGTTAACATAACATCATGCTTCTTTTCTCCTGCTGCCTAGATCACACTGACTCCTATTGTGCTCTAACTTTGTTGGAGTGATCAGGCTCAAACCGTCCAAAGGTGTGTAAAGTGTCAGAACATGTTGTTGCCTCCTGATGTGCATTTTAAAGCAGGCTTGAGTTAAATCTCCCACTTCTGTTTTCTCTCACAGTTGTCACTCATTCGTTTGTTGTGCTTTATTCCTCCTAAAACGCTCTGTTATAGGCTGAACAAATCTCATAAAGCGGCTACTACTTGAATAAATGATGCAAAGGAGCCAAACAAAGTCAATAAAGTCAGCAAAACTAGAAAGAAATGGATTTAACCACGCCGGAGGATGAGACTTCTGCTCTTCACATCCCTGCAGGGA